GAGGGGGAGTGTAGTGGTAGTGGATGGTGATGGTGCAGGTGTTTGCAAGAAGAGTCAAAAGAGCTGCTGTGCTTATCTTTCTTTCCACTATTCTTTTTTTTTTTTTTTATGTTTGAGTTTTTTTTTTTTTTTTTTTCTTTATGTTATTTTTTTGCCTCCAAGGCGTGGAGTGGATTGCCTGGAGACTTTCAGTGGAGGAGGATAAGAAAAGGTGGTCCGTGTGACTGGCTTTCCCTTTTGGGATTAACTACTTTTTTCCCTGCCTCGGACCTCCGATGCTCGTTTCCTGCAACCATGAGACACACCTCACCTTCATTCCATTCGACTTCCTTCGGTGCTCTAATTCCAGGGCTTCCATGCATTATTCACACCTCTATTATTGTCCTTACTTGACTCTAGCAGGAAACTAGAACTACTCCGGAGTAGATATTCCTCCAGTACTTCCGCCAATCCCGCCCCTCCGGCCGACTGTCGGAGCTCCCCCTCGTTTCGGCTGCCGCCCTTCGGAACCTTGAAAGGCGGCTTAACCCCGAACATGCTTGCCTATCGATACCGCTATCGTCCTTCAAACTTGGCACTTATCATCACTCATCAGCGACGATTGATCGTTGTCAGAGAAGAACCATGCCGATGACACAATTGCAAGACCCGGCCCCCATTTCCTTGTCAGACTGTCACAGAAACCGAGACACGACTCAGCCTGCAGCAGGAGATCATATTGACTGGCTCATTCCTCCCGCCCCCGGAGCAATTTGGTAGCCGCGGGGAATCGATGCCGTACCCCCCCCGTCCTGCGTCTGGACGATAAGATGAGCCCGGGAGAAAAAGAAATGATGGGACAGATCGCGACAGCGGATACTTACACAGTAGAATAAGCAAGCAAACCAACACATCGGCCCTTGGAACCGATTGCCAACTCGAGTCAAACTAGCAATCGTCACAGTCGTGGTCCAGACCCTCCCCCCTTCCATGAAACCAGGTCGATAGAAACTAAACCGACTAACTTAGTAACTGTATTTACCCATCGGTTTCCCCTCCGGATCTGTCTCAGCCAGCGTCTGCAATTTGACTGCAGGGCAGCAGAGATGACGACGATAAGGCAATGCAGCAGCAAGTGGTGTGAAAGGGGGGGTTGCTGCAGACGCTTCAAACAGTACAATCTGCAAGCACAGTGCAGGGCACAACCACCGTAAAATCAGAATAGTTACATCTACGGTATTGATCTAATCGGAACCACGCGCTCCGTCCAAGACATGAAGCCAACCACGGCAGTCCACGGCAACACGTTCTTCACTCTGCCTTCAGCGTTGGTAGAACATTACATTGGAAACCCAAACAAAAAAAAACAGCATTCGTAGATCCGACGTGACATAATCGCGGACATGCTTTTTAGGCTGTTTCTCCTTGACACCACCCCCCAAAGTCTCCCTTATTCGCACCCCCTCGCCAATAGTCCTTCATACCGACAACAACTAGTTCCTGTCTTGGCTACAGACTACGGTTCTCCGATCTGCAGGCGTTTCGCAGGACGGTTGTTCCACGGAGGGCGCGCCCAGTGTGACTGACGACTTTCGCCAACCGAATCCGGTGTTTGCTTTGCTAGGCTGCGTCGCGTTGCTTATGCTGACGATACCTTTGAGCCTTGGCTTTTGGCCGCCTTTTAGGCCTGCAGAAGTTTTTTGGTACGAAGGCTCTTGGCTTGGCTTGTGGTATGTATGTAAGTTACTCCGTATGTGATGCTCGATCGTCACCTACCGGTAACTTAGATATTAGATACTAGATACTAGATACATACTACTTATCCTCGAGCCTAAATCCCGGAGTAAATGGGCTACTAGCGCTGCAGCGAAGCCACCATCGCCGTGGATTCCGCGCAGGCGAGAGACCCAACGACGCCAAATCAGAACCACCACGCCCCTTTCCAGTTATCCTCATTAGTACTGCGTACATGGCCACGTAAAATTCCAGTAAACTGAAAGGAATAACTATAGAGCCAAGAACAACCAGCTCAAACAACCTGATAAGTCAACGAGCAGTACGGAGGCCGGGACCAAACCTCCTTCCAAGTTCAGCCCGGTTCGATCCAAATCACAGGGCAAGGCGTGTGTGTGTACCTACAGCTGAGCGGGCCACGTCCACCATCATCATCCATCTTCTCCCCTAATCTGCGGTCATCCATCCATCGCCAATCGCTCTCGCAGGCGGCGCAGCGGTCGCTTCTGTGTGGTCCGTGCCAATAACCTTTGACTTCGATTGGAAATCATGCAGTAAGTATCAAACTGAGGGGGGAAAACTCAAGGGGCGAACTGGCTGGGAATTGTTCCGTCCGTTTGGATTCCCGTCCAGTCGGCCGCTTTCGTTTCTAGAGCGGACGTTCATCCGCGGGTCTTACTGTCTGGACTCTTGAGTGTGTAGGTCAGTATGCGGGCCGCAAGTCCGAGGATAAGATTTAGGTGAGTACTCCGTACTACTCCGTAAAATCACAACCCAGTTAAAATGACTTTGTATATGATATGAGAGTATAGTGGTGCAGAATTAGACAGTATGGAGAACCTATACTTCAGCTCAGCGTCTACAAGCCAACAGGTGCACATGTATGAAGTAATATGAGTATGTACTTGTACTGTATATGGCTCCGGACATCTGCCGCCCTACACCTCAACCCAAGTCTGACTACCTACGTATATCTTTTTATGTTCCCACCAGACATCACACGTAGCACGCCTCCTAGAATATCCAAACTGTGGTTGGTATCTTCCACTCCCATCTCCCCGAACCCGCCCCCCACCCGACTGATCTCAGCCCTGGCGTTATCTGCTACGTCATGTCCGTCCTACCGCACCGACTGTCTGTCCACCCAGAGATCTCAATGCAACTCACATGAGGCATCCGTCCTTGATACTCGAGTGTAGATCGCTGGTGCCAACTCGCACGCGCCGAACCTCACGTGATCTCGCTGCCGCCTGCGCGCCCCGATCGGGGCTGCCCACGGCGGAGGAGCCCGTGGTCCGAGCACCGCTCATGACCGGAGCCACCAGCTCGGCCGAGGAAGGCTCCGGGTTGCCTTCCAGTGCAAACACCTCCACCATCCACTCGTACCACACCTTGCGGTTGTCCGTTTGTCGGTACATCGTAACCACCACTTCTCCGTTATCGGGAACGTTCAAGGGTGTCTGTAATTTAGGCTATCAGTGGACCATACGCAGCAAGGGAAGGGGAAGTGTTGCTTTGTCAAGCTATCTCAGGGGGCGCGCGACTTGGACGGATGAAAAGTAGGTAGTACTAACCTTGAGAGGGAAATAGATGGGGAACCAGCTAATCATGTCTTGACTCTTGGCATCCATGGTCACGGGATTTGTCGACAACTCAATGTCGCGGTAGAGCACAGTCTCAAAGTATCCCGCCAGGCCGTGGCAGACGCCTCGGTTCTGGACAGGGAACGTTAGACGTGTGCGCCGTACGTTGTGGGCATTGGAGATGGTCGAGGAGGAAGGGGACTGCGGAGGGATGTTCAGGTTCGGGTGCTCGAAGGACCAGGTGGTTTGGACAAAGGGGACGGGCGTCTCGCCCGATCCACCGGGCAGGGTGGAAATCGAGTTGCGGGTGTTGTGGCTACCCGGTCCGGAGTTCATAAGTGCGGTGGCCGAGGGCTGGTTCGTGGACAGGAAGTCGATGGCATGAAGCATCACCACGTATGGCGTTTCGGGGGCGGCAGGGTTGGAGATGGATTGGTTTGTCACGTCGGCGTGCAGCTTAGGTGCCGCAATCGGGGTGAGATGGGCGGTGTATGAGGCCGGGATGGAGATGCCGTGAACTGGGGTGAGAAGGTGCGTGACGCCGTCGAGGCATTCAGGCGAAAGCTCATTGTCACCAAAGGAGCCCAGTAGCTCGGAGACGAGGATGTCGATGGTGGTAGGAACGAGTTCGGAGCCCGCGGTGCCGGATGTGAGTGCATGAGTAGCGGCGACCTGGGGCCCCTTCCAGCTTCGCATATCGGAGTGGACCAATGTGACTTTTCCACCCCAGTGGTTCTTGTTGTGACGCTGGAGAAGAACAAATGCGTTCGGATTCTTCTCCACTGCCCAGAGGTCGATTTCCACGCCTGTCTCGGCGCTGGCTCGAAGGGCACGGCCGACGAGTGGTCCCCGGCCGGCTCCCACGACAGCGACCACCACCTTGCCGTCTGGCCCGGACTTGGGCTTCTTCGACCAATCCGTCAGGGCCTTGGCAATGGCCCTCTCATACCAATCGTACTTGATTGGGTCTTTCTCAAAGACCTCGTAGGTGATACTCTCCAAGTTGACGGTCAGCGGCTGCAGAGGGGCTTGCAGATAATCTTGATAGCCTACTCCGAACCGTTCCATAGCGCTGCGGGAAGGCTGGCGGGACTGGAGATTGCGAACATAAGATAGATGGGGAGTGGGATCGTGGTGCTTTTTGTGCGAAACTGCAGCTTGCGCGAGGCTGGGATACTCAGAGCCTGAGCCTGGCGTGTCATTCTCAAAAGACTCGTCCATCTCTACACCGGGGATGGGGCCAACATCGCAGAGGAGTATCCAGGGGGCGGTTCGGAGGCGCATGAAGCGAGCAATCAAAGCTTGGTGCGCCTTGGACAACACTGGATAACCCTTTTGGTTCTTGATGAAAGTATTACCATTAATCGTAAGCATGTGGGTCGGCTCGGAGTACCAGCGAGACTGCACAGACATAGGGGGAAGTTGCTTGGGGAGGGAGAGTGCTAGTAAAGTGATCAGTAAAAGACAAACTCAGAGTCAGACTAATGGAGTTGCAGCGACGCGCCATACCTACAACAAGCCTGGTGTGGTATCTACAAACTCTTCTGATGATGTCCCAGGCATCCCAGGTGCCGAACGGGTCGACCCTTGACACAGGAGCCACCGCATCCCTGACAAACTCTCTGCGCGCAAGGCTGGCCAAATCAGTGATCTTGTCTCCCTGAAGATCTGGGCTGTCAACCATTTGCGTCCAGACGTGGAATTGAATATAAGGTGCGACATTGATGGCATCTTGCATAGCCCGCGCATAGTAGATTATTTGCTCGGAATGGGCATCGTTGTGGTGAAGTTTCGGCCCCGGAACCAGCAGATATCCAATGCCACAGAAGGCCGCATAATTCACTTCCAGCATGAAGACCTGGCGAGAAATGTCCGCGATAAGGGGATCCGGGGAGCACAGGTCAATCCACGAGCTGGTTACGCCGACCAGCTGGGTCATTGCCTCGTTCGGGGTCAAATGCGTGTCAGCGGGCCCCAACTCAGGAATCACAAGCGGCCGTGTGTTATCGGTGGTCATCATCGTTTCATTGGAGCCTGACGCCGAGGGTTGTAAGCTCCCTTGATATGTCGATAGAAGGGCGAGCACTCGGGATTGGAAGTGGGAGGTGGTTACCGGTGCAGTCAGCATGTCATACTGCCGGTGGGAAGTGGATTAGCCAATGCTTGCAACGAAATGTTGTAGTCCTCGTACATTACTCTCATGTGCCGCCTGCACCAACTCATTTGTGATGGCGACCTTCCGGTCCGCCTCATGCTGCCCGATGCAGAAGGTGATGTTGACATTGTCGGTGTTGGTAAAGGAATCCATTCTAGCGGGGGAGGAGGTATGAAGGGCTATAAAGATGCGAGGAAGAACAGGAGGCCAGCCGCGTGAAAGCGACTGAATTCGAGTCGTCGGGATCGATGTGTTGGGTGATGGTCTATCTATATATTGTCGAGAACGGCTTGTTGATCCGATAGAAAGATTGTGGTCCCACCTAATCGTCGATCAATTGAGTTTCAGTACAAAATGAATCCGTAGGCCAATTGCTGGAGCAAAAGACACGGGAGGAATAGAAGGATGTCTATACTGACGAGATGCGATCACCCAAGAGTTCTGCGGAGGAGAAAAGCCACCCTGTGGTCACCCAAGATGTGTGCCTGAGTGGATGGAGCTGGCTGTCAACGGTGGTTCTGGGTGTTATTTTCCCCCTGCCTGTCCGAACCGCCGTGGGGTAAATCGCGGCAGAATACCTGGGCGGTCAAAAAGATAAAAAGTATCTGTGGCGAGGCCCGGTCGACCTGCCTATCCGGGCCGCCTTTTTTTCTGAAAACTCGCCTCCAGCAACAGTTCGGTGACGGACGAACCTCTCTCGCGACTCGTTGTCAACCCGCCGTTCTACCAAATCCCACTCTCTGTTGACGCCATGGTTGATCGTCGCTCGGACTCTGAGAACGGTTTGCGTGCTAAGCGTCAAAAAATGGACAAAGCTGAGACAGATCCCAAGGACAACCCGTACCTGGCTCACATGTATCCCGACAATGGCGATGCGAACCTTCATCCGGCCTTTGGCAAGATGAAGCGCCATCAGACGACGGCTGCTCTGGCTAAGAAGGTCGAAGATGGCGAGATCAACCCTTTCAACAACCAGCCCTTCTCCAGCAAATACGTCTCCATCCTGAAGACTCGTCGCGATCTCCCCGTCCATGCCCAGAGGTAAGTTCTCGCTGCACGTTTTATTCTCTGCCAGTGCTGCATTTCAGTGTCAAGTTTTCTGATTACCCGCAGAGATGAATTCTTAGAGCTCTACCAGAAGTCGCAGATCCTCGTCTTCGTCGGTGAGACGGGTTCCGGAAAGACGACACAGATCCCTCAGTTCGTGCTGTTCGATGATATGCCGCAAACCCAGCGCAAGATGGTCGCTTGTACCCAACCTCGTCGTGTCGCTGCCATGTCCGTTGCCCAGCGTGTGGCTGCCGAGTTGGATGTCAAGCTCGGAGAGGAAGTCGGTTACAGCATTCGTTTCGAAGATATGACTAGTTCCAAGACCGTGCTCAAGTATATGACGGATGGTATGCTGCTGAGAGAAGCCATGCACGACCACGACCTTAACCGCTACAGCACCATCATTCTGGACGAGGCTCACGAAAGAACCATGGCTACCGATGTCCTTATGGGTCTTCTGAAGGAGGTTGTGGTGCGCCGACCTGACCTGAAGATCATTATCATGTCTGCCACTTTGGATGCGCAGAAGTTCCAGCGTTACTTCAACGATGCCCCCCTCCTTGCAGTGCCTGGTCGTACCCACCCTGTCGAGATCTTCTATACCCCTGAGCCCGAGCAGGATTATGTCGAAGCCGCCATTCGGACTGTGCTCCAGATTCACGCTACCGAAGACGAGGGAGATATTCTGCTGTTCTTGACTGGTGAAGAAGAAATTGAAGACGCTTCTCGGAAGATCTCCCTTGAGGCGGACGAGATGATGCGCGAGGCAGATGCTGGACCGATCAAGGTCTACCCGCTGTATGGTAGTCTTCCTCCTCACATGCAACAGCGCATCTTCGAGCCAGCACCGCCTCCTCGTCGTCCGGGTGGTCGTCCCGGTAGAAAGGTCATTGTGTCCACCAACATTGCCGAAACGTCTCTTACCATTGATGGTATCGTCTACGTCGTCGACCCTGGTTTCTCGAAACAGAAGATCTATAATCCACGTATCCGTGTCGAGTCTCTGTTGGTTTCTCCGATCTCCAAGGCTTCCGCCCAACAGAGAGCTGGTCGTGCTGGTCGTACGCGCCCCGGAAAGTGTTTCCGTCTCTACACCGAAGGCGCCTTCAAGAAGGAACTGATCGACCAAACATATCCCGAAATTCTCCGTTCCAACCTTTCCTCGACAGTGCTGGAGTTGAAGAAGCTTGGCATCGACGATCTGGTCCACTTCGATTTGATGGATCCTCCTGCTCCCGAGACCTTGATGAGAGCCTTGGAGGAACTCAACTACCTCGCCTGTCTGGATGACGATGGAAATTTGACACAGCTGGGTCGTCTCGCCTCCGAATTCCCTCTCGACCCAGCCCTTGCCGTCATGCTCATCAGCTCCCCCGAATTCTACTGCTCGAACGAGATTCTTTCCATTACCGCCCTTCTTTCAGTTCCCCAGGTGTTTGTCCGCCCGGCCTCTCAAAGGAAGCGCGCAGACGAAATGAAAGACCTATTTGCCCACCCTGACGGTGACCATTTGACCCTCCTCAATGTCTACCACGCCTTCAAGAGCCCCGAAGCTCAGGCGGACCTCAAGCAGTGGTGCCACGACCACTTCCTTTCTCTTCGTTCGCTCCAGTCGGCCGATAACGTTCGTATGCAACTTCTGCGCATCATGGAACGCGAGGAGCTCGAGATGATCTCGACCCCCTTCGAGGACAAGAAGTACTATGAGAACATCCGCCGCGCGCTGTGCGCCGGTTTCTTTATGCAAGTCGCCAAGAAGGAGAGCCAGGGCAAGAGCATGTACATGACCATCAAAGACCATCAGAACGTTCTGCTCCACCCGTCCACAGTGCTCGGTCACGAGGCCGAATGGGTCTTGTACAATGAGTTCGTTCTCACCACCAAGAACTACATCCGTACCGTGACGGCTGTCAAGCCCGAATGGCTTATTGTAAGCTTTCCTGTCTGAATCGTGACCTCACGTCGAACTCATGCTAACCGCCTTGTGCCAATCAGGACATTGCGCCGAACTACTACGACATCTCCACCTTCCCCAAGGGCGACATCCGTTCCTCACTGCTCCGCGCCGCTGAGCGACTCTCGCGTCGCGAGAAGATCCGTGCGGAGAAGAGACGTTAGACCAGGAGGAAGCTTCTTTGCTGATATTTTCTTTTTCTCTTTCTCTGTCACGAAATATAATAGACTATTTTTCCCTTGTGTTCTGAAACAGAAATATGATATCAATATTCCACGGCCGGCTTGCATTATGCCAAGGGACAAGACCATATACCCATTTCTTACAGAAACCACTTACTCAGTAAATAGACTATCTAATTGAGTAAAATACATGCCTCACTACATAGATACACCTATCCGTCTGATCCGACAGCTATCGCAGTCCACGACAAGAAAGCTATACACCCTTTTTCAAGATCCACAGCGGCACCTCCCAAGATTCCGCGCCTAGTGTTTCTCCATCACGCGCGTGAAACCTAGTAGCCAGTACATCAAGACCAAGTGATAGCCACCAGAACCTCAGAAAAGTCGAGTTGACATGGGCATCGTAAACGAAAGATCGTAGACGATGCATTTCCCTCCCCCTCCAAAAGAACATAAAACCACACTATGTATGTACTCCGCACTGTACATCCTAAGGCACCAACGCATGGAGATTCGCGCGGCAGCCTTAGGCCCACAACACAATCCTCTGCCACGAGCCCTCCCCAGATTGTCCTTCAACTTCACAGCCTAAGACATCCAGCCTAAGACCCCCAGCCCAAGGCACCCAGCCTAAGTCATCCAGCCTAAGGCCCCCAGCTACAGGTCGATACCTGAATCCACAGCCTCAGGCAGAAAAAAAGCGGGTCTATCACCAAGTTCCCACTACACACCACCAACAATCGCCGCGGTGGTGTAGTGGTATTAACATTGCAGAGCCCCCGACTTCGAGAGCGGGTGGAGTGCAGATTCTGGGTTCGAGTCCCAGTCGCGGCATTTCTTTTTGCGGACTTTTGCGTTGAGGGAAGGGGGAGGGCGTCATGAAGATGTCAGAGGGTGTTAAGGTGTAGGTCACCACGGAGGTCGTTCCCCGAGGGAGGGAGCGGAGGGGGGTTGAGGCAACCACCAAGACCAGACAAGGCACGTGGTGTGGTGGATGGAATGTGGTGCTTTCCCTGGGTAAAGACGGACATTGACAATCAAGTGCGAGAGTATTATTATGAGGAACTGGACGGTATTGAGAATCTGGTATCTGAATTGTATGTCCAATGCAGTGGACATCTTTTCTGTATAACATGGAGTATGAGTATAATGTACAGATGCTATAGCGGACAGGGTTCGTTCTGTTTACCACTTCGATAGAAGTAAAAGAAAATAAAAAATAAATTGGTGACCAATACGGAGGATCACTCGAATCGTCTCCTGTTTGGGAGGAGGACCCCTTAAGTAGACATTTTGTATATGTACAGTCTGCGCAGCAGGAGTGAAGTGTACTGCTGTCCTTTTCCCCCGTGAAACCTGTCTCCATCCCTTGGGGTGTTGATGGCGGCAAGGCCATCTCCTGGAGTACGAAGCGTGGACTCGACAGTCGTCAGGACAATACTGAGGATTGAGATATCGTCCTAAGGTTGTAATGACCGCAGCAAAGCGGTGCGTTCACGCCTTGGAAGAAGGCATCATTCCAAACGACATGGTCCATTTCTTCCTGGCAGCTAGACCTTGGCCTCCCCGCGTTGGGCTAGGTGTAGGTGAGACTAGATCATGTGCCAAGGGTGCTGTCAAGTCGGGACGAGATGCAGGGACATGGTGCGAGACATGGGGCGGCGGTGTAGTTGGAGTGGTGGTAGGGCGAGTAAGAGGGGTCGAAGTAGTGGTGGTGGCGGATTGAGTAGAGGACGGGAGGTTGGATGTTTGAGGGAGACTATTGGAAACGGTGACAGTCCGGTGCAGATCGAAGACCATGCGCTTGAGCTGCGCAATTTCAGCCTGTAGCGTGGCGATTTCGCTCTTCTGTGCGTTAACCACGGCGGCGTTCTGCTGCTGTATCTCTTGGGCTTGCTGACTGATCTCTTTCAAGAGTGTGGTGCGGTCGTCCTGGGCGAGATCGCCGGTACCGCCTTCTTCGGTAGCTTTGTGCATGGCCACAGGTCCAGCGAGAACAGCAGATAGGACGTCTTGGGCGTATTTCTTCATCATATCTTGCCATTGAGCAGTGGAGGCTCGTTCGGTTGTCAGATTTTCCAGGTGCTCGCTAACAGCTTGCACAAAAGAGTAGCATTTCTCCCACATTGTTCGTCGCGAGGCCTGAGCGGCTTCTGGACCGGCGGCAGCCAGGGCAGCCTTCCAGCGATCATATTTGACATCGCGCTTGAAGCTCAGATCCAGTTGCTTTTCCGCGCACTTCCAATGGAAGCCGCTCTTTACAAACGCTTCAATAATTTTGTTGGACAACTCCGGTTGCCCGCATTCGTCACAGAGATAAACCATCTTAACGATTAGGCGCTCAACGCGGGTCGGCCTGTGCTCCGTTGTCGATCCGATAAAAGCGACGGTTCTTTGCAAGGCTTGAATTCCCCTTGGCCAGTCAAACCGGATAGCATAAAAACCGAGGTAAGAGCTCAAAGTCGCGTAGTCATCCATATACCCCGATGCTCGTGAGACTTGCAGGTAGGCATCTGCACGGTCTGGCTGATTGAATCGTAAGCAAGACCGAATAAGCGTGCCGTAGATGACGGCATTCGCACTGTCCACGGGCGGAACTTGGATTTCAATCCCATTGACCACGACACTCTTGTAGAGGCCTAAATTACCCATATCCAGCGGGTATCCTTCTCCGGACAGCTGGCGGAGGAACAAGTCGAACCCTTTCAGATTCTTGGACTTCCGGAAAAAGTTCAAGATTGAGATGATGAGGGAGGATGTAAGCGGAAATTTGTGGGGAATGATGGCGTGTAGAATCAATTCACATATGTCGTTTTCTCGGGTCTTGGTAAATGCTAGCAGCATATGCTTCAAGGCTAGACTTCTGTCCGGATTAGTGCATTTCGTGAGATTGTTGGCTAATCTGAGGAGAAGCTCCTGGAGAGACATCCTGTTTGACAGGTAAAGGTTCGTATCTCGGAAAATCTCTCCGTCAAGTTTGTGACGCTCCGTGACTTGTTCCTGAGCTGAGAGCGCGTTCATCTCCGCTTCCAAGTCGTCTATATTGGCACGCTTGGAAGCTTTGACATCCTTCATTCGATTGCGAAGCTTGTCCAAGTGTGATAGAAGTTCCGGCACGTTGGCCACAGGCATTGAATAATCAACAGCGTATTTCATCTGCAGACCCTGATAACTATGAGCGACTCCCCGTCGCACCAGTAGTCTTATAGCCAATTGTTTCAACGCCAATTTGCGAATGGCTTTTTGACGGACAAGGCTTTCTTTGAGCCATTGAGGAGTGTCAAAGTCTTCCAGATGCCACAGGTTGTCCTCCTCCGTGACTTCTAGCAACGGGTCTTCGCTGATTTTGTCGAGCTGCTCTATGCTGTTCTCGTCTATATATTGACTACTCTTGCTGAGAGCAGCTTTTCGGCTCGTATGATACGAGCGACTAGAGAGATTTGTCGTAGGCCATTGGTATCGATGCGACGTTGGTCTTGTCTGTGTCCCGGCGCGCAGTGTCGGAGAAGCCGCGTCACCTCCCTGACTGCGGCGGGCAAAGATGGCCTCTACCAAGCGTTCCTCCTCGTCAAGCAGCGCATTGACTTCTCCCTTCGCGGCTGCGATCTTCTCCTCCCACTCATTGCGGCGCTGACCTTTGGCCTGGGCGTCTGCTAAGGCGGCAGCGGCGAAGATACTCGTGTACAGGGCGGTGACCGAATTGCCCAAGCGAAGTCGTTTCTTGCTTGCCGTTGTAGCCCCTCGCGATGCTACGCCCTGGGAAACGGTGCTGAGGCAGGAGACGCATCGGCAGGTTGACTGCGCCGGGGTGACGCGGGACCAGAGACCTTTCATTCTCCGGTCATTTCTGCGCCCTGAGTTGCGGCCGAGAAGGTAGTTTCGATATGGGTTCAGGACCAATTGACCGAGCTATCGAACAAACAAATCCAATGGCACGCACCGGTAGGGCGTTGACTGAAGCGGTGAGATCGTAAGGGCGAAAGGGCCGATAATGAAGATTGGGAACTTTTGCATCCAACAGGAATTCCGTCGGCAAAAGTCGCACCACACCGCATGCAAACGAGGCAAACACCCGACTCGGGGGCCCCCCTTCCCTTCCCATTTCCCCGATGGTCAACGATACATACCGTTACGGCAATCAGTTTAGTTCATTCACTAGTTCACTCTTCACCTCCCAGCTGCTTTTAGTCGATAGACAGCGATCTGTCAGATTCGCAGGTACCTTTAGGGAATCTGTCTGGTTATAGCCGCAGTCCTATTCAGCTATCAGTCGACCAGCTGGTGCGATCATCGCTGAAATTGACCATGCTCGTCAGGCTAGCTGCTGCTCTCTTGGCCCTAAGCGGCACTCTGGTCAGCGCCCACGGGTCGCACTCGAATGACCAACCCCCTTCGTCCGACTGGGCAACACGGCATATGCAGGGTAAGGACCCTGTGGAAACCTTGAGGGCCAATGCAGTGTGATTGATTACCTGTTTGTGTTGCTAGAGGAACATCACATCGATGCCTTCGATCCCGCTTCCTTCTTCTCCCTCCACGACTACGATGCCTCGGGAGTCTGGACCCCTGAGGAGGTGCGCAAAACCTATGGCATGGACGACGAGTCGAATGCAGGCGTGTCGGAAGATAGCAAATTGCAAGGCATCCGCGAAGTTTTCAACATCTTCGATCCGACCAACACGGGCGTCATTAGTCGTGATAACTGGATGCGTCTCATCGCGGAGGGAGCTCGACTTCCCGATCTCGGACTCGGACCGGGCCATCACGGGGACATTGAGTACGAGTACGAGATTCACCACTTCGAAAGGTTCCACGGCGACGATGCAAAGGAGGAGGACCTCACCCACCCAGAGGATATCGAGCACTTCCGGAGACATGACGAGGAGGATCTCGCCATGGAGCGCCTCGAACAACTCGAGAGTATGCAGATTGTGGAGGCCAACATACCGCAGAAGTTCCTGAAACGGAGCTAGAGAGCTGTACTTCTAGAAATCCTTACGCTGTTGTCACTGTACTGTACATATGTTTCATGAGATGATGATGAGCGTCGGTTGCTTTCCTCGAAAGTGGGTGTTAAGCGGTTGAAGCCTTTGTCTCTTCGCTGGATGACAACCGTACGTCGAACACGCAATGCATCACCCCCGGCGCATAAGTCTTGACCTGCTCAACATGCCTACACTCAGCAGCAGCAGCAGCAGCAGCAGTGGTCGTCGATTGAGGCTTCACGCCCAACACTTTCTCTCGCAACTTCCCCAACTCCGCAGTGACATGATCCCTCTTCGCCTCAATCGCCTGCACATTCACATTCTCATGAACATGCACCCACCCACCCATCTCGCCGTCCACAATCCTGCAAGCATTCTCATACGCAAAGCAAGACGAAGGAAGGAGGCCCAAGTTAACATGCCTGACCCTATTCCACTCCCCTGGCCTCATGGACTCCCTGATTTCTCCCAAGATTTGCGCCGCAAACCGATTATCACCATGGAACACAACCACGCGATCCTCCTCCGTCAAGCGCTCCACCACTTCTCTCAACGAATGTCCTCCCAGTAATGACCCATCCTCTCCCACCCGGAACACCTTACATCCCCATCCATTCTCCATGCACCCCCTCCGCAATCCCTCGACCGACCACCCATTAATCTCAAACCCCCACACCCTCTTCACCCCGCGCTTCAGATACGAAAACACAAAATATCCGATCCCAGCATACATGTCCACCACACTGGTCCCAGAGACATATTCTCCGAGCTGCCGCTCATCCAACCCCTCAAACCCATTCCCGAGTATCCGCGCTTTCTCTGTAATATTGCCCCGTGAGAACATGGTGTATAACGGCGCCCAGATCTGCACGATTCCATGGTTCTGGACCGTCCGCACCCAGAAGGCCTGCTCCAAGTCTCTGGAGGTGGGACACGCCAGCGCCGCCTCGCCCTCAGCCTCGACCTTGGCCGGGCACGCAAATGACGGAGATGCAGGCGGCATCGGCCCGAAATCACCATATAGTGGGATCAGACCTCCCGGACTGCGGATTCGGTTTTCCGCTCCGGAGTTGGGATCTGTGAGCGCAATTGGCGCGTTCATGGCCACATGGGTGAGGCCGTAGCGGGAAAAGGATTGGAGAAGCGTGGCGAAGAGGGTCTGCCGCTGCGCCGCGGTGAGCTCTTGGTACAAGGAGTGCCAGGCGGGTGGGGTGGTGAGGGCGTTGACTGGGAGGAGTAGGAGGGGTTCGTAAATGGTGAAACGCTTGGGGAGGGAGGTGAGGGTGAGGTTATGTTTGGCTAGGGTATCTGGGGGCAGGTGCTGGGTGATGAAAGCCTGAATACTATGGTGGAGGGGGTTGAGGGTCTGTTTCTTGGGCTTTCTTTGCAGGCGAGGAGATGATATAACTGGGGTATCGGCTGGGTGGCTTGGGGTGGCCTCCTGCTCTGGAGCTTTGATGTTTGGTTGCATTATGCTCTCAATTCCACACGAAGGTAAGTAGTTTTCAATACATCGGTGCATGCATAATCTGGGTGGAAGCAGCCGCGCGGATATGTAATGCGCGTTGTCGATCTGAATTGTATATTAGCGAGGATCATTATTATATAGCGTGAGGTCACCACTTACCAGGAACAACCCAGAGCTCTATCTATCAATATCTATACTCTGGTTGACACGGCAGCTATCGTCGATGGATCGGTTGCATTTAATTCGACTGTTTCCCGGATTGGATGAAAATGTCAGGTCATGTGACCGCGCGTACTTCATGGCTGTAGTCATTGATAGAATTACACACACAATCTGGACTGTTTAACCAGGGATTTATATGATAGGAGAAGCCATAAACATACCTTTGTAGTGCTTAGTACCCAATAGCTCATGAGTGCCTTATATGCCAGGCAGCCAGCCCTGGCTCATGACATCAAGTGATGGCAACGCGACACAAAGGCGGCAGCGCGAGCGGCACGCGATTTGCCTGATTTTATGTCCCAGGCTCTCCACCGCTTTCTCCCGATTGCAGTTTGATACTCTTTTGCTACTGCCATCTTGAAGTAGACGTATTTCTTGTGCACTCACTACCCGGTTCCAGGTGATATCTAATGAGCACAGAAAAGCGTCTACTGTGTGTTGAGTAATCCGTGACGTTATTGCGGTACGTCGGCGTTCGGGCCCGCCGTCGGTAACATCCATAGAAAGCCACTACTACTATGGATCCTGATATGGATGTCGACTCGCCGGAGCCACGAGGAACTAAACGACCAGCGGATGCGGTTGAGCAAAGTGATGAACCCAAGAGGCCGAAAAGAATCAGGGTCAGTGCACTCAATCTAATCCTAGAACCGTCATACTCACAATCATAGGCTCTCGACCCTGATGTGGTCAACAAGATTGCCGCTGGAGAGATCATTGTTGCCCCCATGCACGCCCTGAAAGAGTTAATCGAGAACGCTGTAGACGCTGGATCAACCTCCATTGAGATTTTGGTCAAGGATGGTGGGCTAAAACTCCTCCAAATCACTGACAATGGCCATGGTATCGACGTGAGTTTTGTTCTGATTTCCCCGACTTTCACCTGCTGATCAGACAAAGCGAGATGATCTACCCATTCTCTGTGAGCGATTCACAACTTCCAAGTTGAAAGCGTTTGAGGACCTTTCCTCGATCGGAACCTACGGGTTCCGAGGCGAGGCTCTCGCGAGTATCAGCCACATCGCCCATCTAACCGTCACCACGAAGACGGCCGGATCTAGCTGTGCCTGGAAAGCGGTCTACAGTGACGGCAAGCTTGTTCCTGCTAAGCCTGGGCAAAGTGCTGCTCCAAGAGCCACTGCTGGACGTGGAGGCACTCAGATAACGGTAGGTAGCTGGCGCCATCCGGCGGACGCTGTGCTGACCCTACGTAGGTCGAGGATCTATTCTACAACGTGCCCACCAGACGACGAGCGTTTCGCTCTGCAAGCGAAGAATACGCCAAGATTCTAGATGTGGTCGGACGATACTCTGTACATTGCGCGGGAGTGGCCTTCTCGTGCCGTAAACACGGCGACTCGGGCGTCAGCATCTCCACCCCGGCTAACGCAAGCACCATCGACCGTATCCGGCAGATCCACGGCAGCGCTGTGGCCAACGAGCTCGTGGAGTTTGATGTTGAGGATGACAAGCTCGGTTTCCGCTCGTCTGGGCTGGTGACCAACGCCAACTACCACGTCAAGCGCACGGTCATCCTACTGTTTATCAACCACCGCGCTGTCGAGTCCACACCCTTGAAACGAGCCATCGAGCAGACATACTCAAACTTCCTCCCCAAAGGCGGCCATCCTTTTGTCTACATTGACTTGGAGATCGAACCTCAACGGGTCGACGTTAACGTCCACCCCACGAAACGGGAAGTCAATTTCTTGAACGAGGACGAGATCATCGAAAGCATCTGCAGCGATATCCGCTCAAGGCTGGCCCAAGTTGACTCCAGCCGGACTTTCCTCACCCAGACTCTTCTCCCTGGCGTGAGAACGATGGCCGACGCAGAAGGACTCGAGGACGAAGTCAGCAGCGCAGCCCCTAAAACCCCCAAGACCCCCGCGACAACCAAGAAACCATACGAACACAACCTGGTGCGCACCGACTCGAAAGTCCGCAAGATCACTTCCATGCTCTCCCCCGCCGTTGGCACAACCACGACAACCCCGACCTCCACAACCGAACCCCCCACTGGGTCAGGGACTGTCCTAGACGAGGGCCTCCACTACGAGACTACGGACCGCGAACCCCTACGCATCGCCCTGACCTCGATCAAGAACCTCCGCGCCGCCGTACGCAGCAATATGCACACGACCCTGACGGAAACCATCGCCTCGCTGACCTACGTCGGCCTCGTCGACGAACGCCGCCGCATCGCCGCCATCCAATCCGGCGTGAAGCTTTACCTAGTCGACTACGGGATGTTCTGCCACGAATTCTTCTACCAGATCGGCCTCACCGACTTTGGCAACTTCGGCCTCATCACCCTCGACCCCGCCCCTGCCCTTCTCGACCTCCTCCACATCGCTGCAGAAGCCGAAGCCGAAGCCGACACCAAGACGACCAACCCGACCGAAACCCAAGAAATCTACCAAAAAGCACCCCAAGTCATCGCGCAGACGCTCATTTCCCGCCGCGAAATGCTCAACGAGTACTTTGGGCTCAACATCGACGAAGACGGCACCCTGCACTCCATCCCGCTGCTACTGAAAGGCTACCTGCCGTCTCTCGGCAAACTGCCCCGGTTTTTGTTAAGGCTGGGCCCTTATGTCGACTGGACCAGCGAGGAGGAGTGTTTCCGGACGTTTCTGCGTGAGCTCGCTGCGTTCTATACTCCAGAGCCGTTGCCGCTCCCGCATCATCGGCCGACGGATATCTCTGCTGCTGCTGCTGCTGCTGCTGCTTCTACCAACACCCCCGCAAATGCGGGAATGGAGGAGGATCCGAACAATACCGAGAACGCGCCGCAAGCCCAACCACCCTCTCGACAACACGTACCCGACAACCAACCCCCTACCGATGAAAACATCGCCGACCCCGCAGCAGAGACACAGATCGCGCACCGCCGCGCCCAAATGGCCCGCATGCTCGAGCACGTAGTATTTCCGGCGATGCGGGGTCGGCTGGTGGCGACGACGAGGCTGTTGAGGGGGGTGATTGAGGTGGCAGATCTGAAAGGATTGTATCGGGTTTTTGAGCGGTGTTGATTGTTGCTTCTTAGGAGGTAGGTGGATTGGTGGTGGTGTTGAACGTGTTTCTGTTTCTTGCATTCCGTTCCTAGGTCGGGTTGTTTGATGTATATATGAGTCTTTCTGTGTTCTCTGTGGATTTATACCCACCCGGCTTGTTGGGATTTTTTCTTGATATGTACGTCATCATAGTTAGTGTGAATCTGGGGATGAGAGGTAGGATGGTTATATGAATGCTAGATCTGGGGGATGATCTGCCTTATTCGTGTTTAATGGTCTACTATCTTTCGAAAGGACTACTTGAGACCTTATTGAGTACCCCGATTGAATCTCAGAGAGAGGGTGGATGTTACAGCTCACATAGCCCTTGACTCACAGGTGGCTTGTCCATATCAGAACTGCATATTAAGGTCTATATCGTCATTGAATGGTACAGGCTACATTACTTTTTCCTACACTGTGAAGAAACACAGTGGAATAGGATCAGACATTTGGATGGATGAATTGGCGTCATGACCTCTAACCAACCCGAACTGTGTCAAGATAGAGCCATAGAAGCAATAGACGAGACATACCCTTGAACATCCAACCTAGCCCATCGACTAGTTCCTATTGGCGAGCATCTCACGCCACCATATGAACAAACCATTATCCTCATACATCACTAGCATGTATCCGGATGCATGTCGCAGATGAATTCTCCTCAATCAAATCATCTCTCAGAAAATACCGAATTTCCCCATTGACGCCCATCCACAGATATAAAATAAAGCATACAAAAGTGAGATCCCATTTAAATCGATCCAGTTCATGTCCTCGTAAGATTTCAGTATCAACAGTCGTCAAAAGTGTGCGCGTGTCTCCAGCTCCAAGGGATTGACCCCTGCAAGCTTCTGGTCGGACCCCGGCTGCATTGCAGCTCATGTGCATGATGCACAGCAGGGTCTGCCGCTACCTGCTGGTAATCCTTCTGCAGGAGAGGTATATGTATGGTACTGCCAAGTCACCCGCTACCGCGAATACGGCTTGTTCATGAGCGCAATCTCGCGGGCCACAGTCGGCCATTCTAGTTCTCTTCTGGGGGTCTTGTTGCGCTTTTGTACCTGCAACTCCTCCCATTTAAGAAGTTCATAACTGTTTACCACGTTAGCATTGCCATCCAGCCACAGGGGTATCCACAAAAGACTTACACGAAACGCAGATGAGGTTGAATAATGACATTGAGTCTCCTCGCACGCACGAAGCAACTGGCGTAGATGTTAGACAAGCACCCTCAAGCTCTCAATCATACTCACTATGCTCTAGGGAAAGACAAATTGAGAGATGACATGACTTCGGCTATGCAGATTGTAGCCGAGCGTGAAACTCCCACTCGACAGTGGACCAAAGTAGCCATTCCGTCGCGCTTGCCTTGACCTGAAGAGACGGTCAGTATTTAGCCCTCGATTGCTCATAGCACATGCTTACGGATAAACTCCAAGCACTTTTCAAACTCCTGAGTCAACGGGTCGATGCCATTATCCTGGACTTTGGTGATGTGCAACACATTCTTCGGGTCCATCTTCGTGGTCTCGGATGCGGTCCACGTAACCGACTCACCAATGCTGAGAACACGACGGATCCCGAGCTCCCAGAGCATCTCTGGGTTATTCGCATGAGAGAGGTTGCCCAGGTACATGTATGGCAAGATCCTACTCGGGAGGGAACCGTCGCAATATCTGAACCATTGCGGATCGGGTAGACTGGTGAGTTTGTGGGATTTGGTCGCCGGACTTCCCTGCAAAAGCCGACCTTGCACACTGCTTAAGAATGTGACATCCGATGGATATGCAAAGAAGTTCCGCTTCTTCTCACTGTGTAGTCGGAGCCAGGCGGTGGGGGCAGAGATGCCTTCAGCGAACATTAGGTACGCAAGTGCGAGGAGTGAGCTTTCAGTGTAACCGTCGGGACAATGAATGAGTATCTTGTGTGGCCTTCTACTAAGAGGTGGCATCGAGACGTCTCCATCTGCATCAACTGTATGCTCCGGCTCTTCCGGGTTTGCCAGATAATATAGCCAGCGAATTGTGTTGATCAAATCGTCCACCTCTCTAGTCTCAGCCGAAGGCACGAGGATCGATCCTGAGGAGGGGAATTCCAATTTCTGTGGTCCCTCTTCGAGTTGCTTGTTGAGATTTGCCAGAAAACGAGGCCCCGGAATGCTTGCGAGCTCGCTTGTTTCAATCAAGAGGTCAAAAGGCTCCGCAGATGGGCATCCATCTGGTCCCGATAACAATAGATAGTCAGATGTGGGTCCCAACCATACGTTCCTCGAGAACTCGGATGCACGGGACATCTCGCACATCTCGAACCGTTCCCATTGAACTGGTTGATATTAGCAGTGTTCTTGCCTCAAGATGAAGGGTCACTGACAGAAGTCCATCACCTGGTTTGTCAGCTGACCATTACTACCAATCGCGACAAGCTCGGGCGACTTCGCTTCAACTTCAGAAAAGGGAGCTGTTCGAAGGTTAGCTTGATGTCTGCGCACACGATCTGCTTTGACTCACAAGCAAGAATAAACGTGTTATACGCCGGTAAGGTTTGTTCCAAATCATTCTTCAATCTCCAATGGTACTGTGCTGTTGCCAGTCTTGCCGCTATATCCAAAACCTGCCTTTGACTGACACTGTCCTCTCCATAAACGATAATGTCAGATAATGGAGCCAATTTCGCGGTTTGTATCTGGAAGTTGCGCACTGAGAAGCCTTCTCGCGGGTCTACAGCTAGAAACTCTCTACCCGAAGGGGCCAGCAGTTCATCCGGAGACACTGCACCTTTGATGCGTGCCCGGCTCAAGTCACCGCCGACTTTTACAATGGTAATGCCTCGCCAGCACTTGGGAATTCGCCGGAGGGAGCGCCGGCGGTTCGTGAAGAAGCCGACCTGCAAATTATTGTCTGGGTGGAGTCCATGAAGCCATGGGAAGACTTGCGAGGGATCAGGCAATGGTTGAGAGGCCCAGTGATTCAGAGCCGCAGCCAGACTCGCGCGGTCTATCGAGTATATCGGAGGCGACTGCGACAATTGCAGGAATGCATCAGGCGGATGCAAGAGCGAGGGCGGCTGGAGGCCGGCGTTGGTGGTTCTTCCAGCGGAAGACGGGGTGTGAGCGGAAACCGGGGAAGGACCCGTTGGACAAACAGGCAGATGCTTGTTGGGGATAGGCGATGAGGTTCGGTTCAAGTTCAGCGCGGGGGTGATCCCGGACGGTGGGGGAGTGGAATGTCGCAGCGTGTGCTGCTGCACCACGACGGTCGCCATACTGGTAGATGCTCCAATGGTTGCGGTCGGGGAGAAGTATGAAACCCCAAGAAGAATTGTTACACCACAAGAAGTCAATCAGTGGTGCATCAGTATCTAGTGGTCTCAGGTTTCAGCCACTAATGGTGTGGTGATGTTGTCTGCGGAAGAGATCTCCTTTAGCAACGGATTCGCAATGGTTAACCATAACAAGTGTATTATGCTCGGCACAATAACAACTGACAGGTGCGGGGGAGAAGGTGACATACGCCAGACTTTATTAGTACGTTCAGTAAGGTTTAGAATGGTGATCTAATGGAACCAGACGGTATCAGTAAGGGGAACCAAGGACTGAAGGTGAGGCAGCAGTCGGAAAGATAGAAAGGCAGTGGAGGAAGCGGGTGAGCAGGCGATCGATTGAATGTGGGTGTAATCGAGGGGCGTTTAGATCAAGGAACTGAAGTGGGAAGTGGACACAGGGAGGGATACCCACCGACTAGCTGCCAACCCCACAAATGATAAGGAGGCTTGACCACGAGTAGTGCTGAGTAGCGGGCGGGAAAGGGTGGAGCAAAAATAGGAATGAAAGAATGGATGGGAGAGTGGAATGAGGAACAGAGGAGGAAGAGTAAGGAAGGGAGAAAGGATCGAGTAGAAAAGAAGAATTAGAAGAGACGGGGAGGCGAAATGCGAAGATAAACTGAAAAGAGCAATAGATAGACGCAGTAATAATTGATAATGGCCCAACAGTGAATCAGGCCGGATTATTCCTGCAGCTGTTTTGTTCTGGGGGTGTATTGAATTCCCCCCCGTGATTGCTAAGTTGTGAACTGCATAGATCAGATCGGGCTGTGGTGGTAGAAGAAAATAGACAGAAAAAAAAAAGACGAGTAGGAAAACAGGAGGTTAAGGGAGAAGTGAATGATTGTACAAGAAAGGGAGTGAATGAAAGATGATGGATTAGTGATGATGATGATGATGATGTTGTTGTTGTACAGAGTGGGGAGGGGTAAGAAAAGGGCACTAGTAATTAGGAGTTGGCACGGGCTGTGGGACTCTCTCCAGCTTCCCCTCCTCCCTTTCGACGCCCTATTCATATTGTTATTATTACTATGATTGTTATTCTTATTTTATTCCTATACCTGTGAGTGAGGATGGTATTTTCAATTATCAACTATTCATCTCTGGTCCAACCAAACCAATTCCAACTGATAAGTATCCGTCCTCTGTGAACCTCTCTACCCAGTGGGCCCTTGAGATCGGGCAGAGACTCCACCAAGGGAGAGAGATCATACACATACCAACTGCTGATACAAATCAACATACCGTTTGCGGCCAATGAAGCCTCGGGGCGAGGCCATTCCAGCCCAGTAATTATTGCGGCGCTTTGATAACACCACCCACCTAGTTATCCACATCAGCATCAGCGTCAACAGATCTCCTTCGAGATGCCTACACCACATCCCCACCATCTCTCTTCAAACGAAGCGCAGAGTCAGTAAAATGATGCCAGACTCCGAACAACAACAACAACAACCCGATGGAAGGCGACAGAGAAACAATAAAATCCTGGACTCTGCGTCGAGCCCAGGTGTTGTGACACGGTAGCACAGGGAAAGCCGCAGCAAAGCCGTGCACACACACACACACACACACACACACACACACACACACACACACACACATCCCCAGCTCTCGTAATCTCGAATCAAATTCCATCCTGTTTCCTCTCCCCCACTCCTCTTTCGCCCACCATGCAGGACCCCTAGTCAACGGCGTTCTCACTGGAAGCAAGTGATTTGCGGGCTCTTTTACCTAAGGTATTTTCCATCACTACCTTAGTATCTACAATCGAACAACGGGGGGAGGCGGGGAGGGGCCCCCAGCATCCATGGTTCCCGTCAAGTCATGCGTTCTTTGAATCCCCACCCAGTTTGGCCCAGGCGCCAACCAGCACCACCCGCGATGAAAGGATATACTCAAGGATGGAATGGAACCCTCGCGATGACATCGAGATTACAAAAGCTTTTTCGCCTTTGATAACCACATACAATTTATCATCTCGCAGGAGAGTGGTTACCATGGATGACCCGATGGACGGTGGTATCAATCTTTCTCTGTCCGGGAGGGGTTGGAAAAGGATCCGTTGTTGTCCTACAACTTGACGGAGGCATGTTTCCTTTCAGATCAAGTCAACTGTCCGGACACACTCGGTCCACATTTTATGTTTCATTTTCTGCCGCCGAGAGTGGCTTTTTGAATCTCCCTGACCTTCAAGCTGGCTGTGGATTTCCGTTGATTCCCGGTTTTCTGGGCCCTTGCATGCGACTATCAATGCACTGTGCGGGGTTCCATGTAAGAGCGTTTGTAGTAGTTGTGTTATTCGGGTATTTTGTTCTTACTCTTCTGTACATTACAAGCTTGATCCACCTGGGGCACGCGATAAGACCGTGTGTCGCTGCCGCCACCGGTGGTGGTTGAATGCATCCTGCATCTAGTTACAGAATAGACATATCATAACCATCCTCACAGACCAATGCTTGATTGCCCATCGACCATCACCTGTAGCCATTCAGATATAAAATAGCAGTAGCCAATTCATGGCATAAACGGAGAGATGGAAACCTGAAACCGCCACTGATCGGGCAGGTATTGACTGCCTTGGCAGCAGGGCATTTAACTAATTATCTAACTAGTAAGTAACCCCCGCCAATCTGTAGAATTGAATTAGTTCTAGACATTAGAGACTGGACCCGTAAAGCACGGACCTGATAGAATCGTCCAGTCTCCACCGAGTCCACCCAGCAAGTCACTTCTAGTACCGTGTGGTCTTCCAAGTCTTGATGCCTTGCGCTAGCTAGCTAGCTAGCTTAGTGAGATAGTTAACAACAATCCAGCTTCTACCCCCATTCTTAGTTGTTTCCCCCATAACTAGTGGTCCACTGGTCAACCCGGCACAGAGTACGGACTGCTTTCCTCGTGCTCCTCCTGCCCTCCGCATTTGCTTTGCGCTGGGGCCTGCTGGCGCCACTACGCCCTACACACCAATACCTAGGTAGTTACCTGCTAGCAGGGCCTGCATGCTTGAACTACTGTACAGAAAGTTGAAGGATGGTTTGGATTCCCTTTCGCAACGCCACGTGCACATGCACCCCCCATCCATACATACCCACAGCTTGTGGGGGGGGGGGGGGGGGGTCGGTTTCTCGCTTGGCTTCGTGGTCGTCGCTGGTAGGATTTGTGTTGCAGACAAGCTAGTATTGCATTTGATAAGGATATCTACATACTAGTGGAATATGGAATATGGCATATGGCATATGGGATATGAGAAGGAGAGGTGCAGAATCTGCAGTTGCCAAGCAACCCTGCGCTCGCATATATGCCGGGTACAAGTACTGGATGATCGTGGCTCGAGTCCTTTTCATCTTCGCCCACCACTCTTCTTTTATCATCTATACCTTACTTCTCTCTCGCTCTGGCAGATGTGATGCCAGAAGTGATACCTGAACAACAAATTCACACCTACTACTAAGTACTACCTACCGATGCGAACTAGGGTTGCAGTCCGGGAAATCTTTCAGCTGCGACTGCAGACACTCACTCCCCTTCAACCAACAAGAAGGTAAAGACAACACAAACCGAACCAAGCCATCAACTTCCGTTCTATAGCACCCTCTCGCACTTTTATACGACATAAAGTTTTAGATATACTTACGCCTGACAGGACACACTTTCATACCCATGAAAATATGATACAGTAAACCGTGCCAACATACCGATACTAATTACAGGTTAAGTCCCCTCCATCCAGACGGACTCCCTAAGCCCCCGCCAAATCCATCAACTCCCTCCCCAACCGCAACAAATAAAACCTCGCCATCTCCCCCGGCACCCCCTCAAACGCCTTCGCGATCTTCTGCACATCCCCGCGGCCCTTCTCATACGCCTGTAGATCCCGGTTCCCGTACACGTCCCGCCCGGCCGCATAGCCCGCCCGCAGATTCCGGAAGAAGACGTTCACCGCCACGCTGACCTGGTTCTGCGTGGGCGAGGCCGTGTGCAGCCACAGCGGAGGCAGGAAGAGGATGTCTCCCGCCCGCAGCCGGGCTTCGTGCGGCGAGGTGTGCGGGATGTGGGTGATCGTGGTTTCTGTTCCAGGGTCTGGGTGGTTGGCGGACGAGGTTTTGAAGATGTTGAGGTTCGAGCTGGAGGCACCGGCGGGCACATGGAGGTATTGCACGTCGCTGGGCGGGTACAGGATGAGTCGTTTATCGCCGCGGATTTGGCAGAGGATGTTGGCCATGACCTATTTTGACCCTGGGGTCAGTCCTAGTCTCGGGTCTCGGGGTTGGGGGATTGAGTGTGGGTCTTGTTCTGCGGCATGCACAGTTTGCAGGCAGATAGTAGGCAGAAAAAAAAAAAGAGGGGAAGGACGTACATCGTAATGAAGCCACAACGTGACAGGCCCCGAAATTCGCAGCGGGGAACTATGTGCATTCTCCGTGACAACAGAAAATGCCTCCGGCAGGCGAAAATCATCGCCCAACCCAGGAAAATCCACCGCCAGATTGGCGGGCAGTTTCGCGGGCTGATCGGCCGAGATGCTTCGCAGGTATTGGCGGCCACCCGCATGCACCTCGTCCAGGAACGTGCCGAACTCCTTGGTCGTGTAGGAGAAGTTCTTCGTCTGGAAACTCATGTGCTCGGACTGGGCCTCATGCACGACAACCTTGTCCGCAGTTAGTATCAGGGGACTTGCGCATGTCCATGCTTGTCGTAGCTGTACTTACCTTTCGCTCTCGGCCAACGGCCTGCTCGAGATACGCCTTGGTCCAGAGGGAGGTGCACGGCCCGAGGTCCGATCCTTCGATGATGACGGGCTTCCCTTCGGCGAGGATCTGTTGGAATTGCGCGGCGGTCTGGACCTGGACGCGAGGAATGAGTGTCACTTCCTTGGCGGTTGTTGTGTCGGAGCTAAAGTTCGGAGAGCATGTCGGCGCTCCCGCTACTTGTGGGGGAGATACGGGTTCAGGAATCAATGTCCAATTATTGCCGATGCTTGAATCGACCTGCTTCAGAATCCAGGTGCCCTCTGACCAGAATGTTCCGAAGGAGAAGCAGACTGCACCACCACCAAGAAAGAGGACCTCATCTCGGTCTACTGCATGAGATGCATGGCCCACCAGCAGAGGCCTGGGGGCTCCAGATCCCTTTCCGAGCCCGATGCTAGACAGTATGCTCGGGCTTAGCGATGGAGACTCGCTGCGAAGCTGAGTAGCAAGCTCCGCCAGGTTGAGAAGCAGAAGCTCCTGTTGAGCAGGCACAATTTGACGAGGAATGATGCCACCGCCAATCACCAACCCCCTCGAAGTCTGGCTGGTGGTCGCACCGAAGCGGCTGAGACTAGTGGAAAGGGGCGACAGCGCGCGTAAGTCTTTGGTTCGATCTTGGACATCCAAACAGAAAGACTTCTCGCCACGCCGAAGCAAGGTCCAGACCCAAAAGTCTTCAACGATGACCCCATCATCGCTCATTCCGCCGAACAGGACGCCGGAAGTGTTGTCGATATTTGCCAGACAAGCGCCAAATCGAGCACCAGGATTTCCGCCGCTGATCTCAACTGGTAACCATCCGTCTGCGTTGCTCCACACCAACCAGCTATCGAGGGTAGCGCCGTCGCTAGACTTTCCGCCGTATACGACGACATGGTCCGAGTCGAACGTTACTCGAGTCGCACTATGCCTGAACCTCGCTGTCGGGAGACTGGCGGTCGGGCGCCACTGATCGCCTTGTCTTACCCAACAATCTCCAAACCCTGCGGCGGGCGAAGCACGGCCTCCGACAAGCAAACAATCGCTCCCAGAGAGGTGGGTGATTGTGTGACACATTCGGGCAGAGATGTCACGCGGAGGGAACGACCAATGAGGCTTGACAGCCTCCTCGGATCTCGAATACAGGTCGGTTGTTGCCAATCGCGTCTGTCGTCCTAGTCCAGCGTGATACCCAATGGTGTTGTCCTCGTCTGGGACAAGCGCTCCAAACCTCCTTTGCCCGAGGCCTGAAGTATGTACCAGTTCAAATTCGTTGGATACATCGACCGGGGAAGCCGATGGTTCACTCCGTCCGGTGGTTGGAGCCAGAAACTCATCCTTGGTAGAGGCAATCAAGAGAAAGTAGTGAGATGAGAAGAGAGCAAACTCCTCCCACTCATCGAATGGTTCGACCTCGTCCAAGGAGCAGCGCAGCGACCGGCTCACGAAATCGTCATCCGACCATATATCCCATAAGCTCCTTGCGTGTGCATGCTGCCACCCGGCCTTCTTGAACCGCTGCTCCTGTTCGTTTAATGAAGGGAACTCGTGGATCGAGTAGAGAGGCGCGCCGAGCTTCTTGAAGTGTTTCATCATGGTGGAGGCGAAAGGATGGTCGGGTCCGTCGGGGAAGAACTGCTCCAAGATGCAGAACCGGGCATCTTTCAAACTGGCGTCAGCAACTTGCCGCAGACTTTCATGGGGGGACCTGGCTGGCTTGTCTAACCATTGTTCATCTGTGCAGCCCATTTCAAAACTTCATTGGCAGATTTGACATCCATGTACGTCAAGGAGACCTCCGCAAGGAAAAGTACCGAACAGTCGGCTGGGAGGATTTCTCGCCGCAGGACATCGTCCAGCTTCTTCAAGTTCTTCAGATCGCAGCCGATCGCAATATAATGCTCACTCTGAATCTGGATGGCACTTTCATCCGACAAGAACTCTACATTTTCGAGAAGCTGCGTGATCTCCTCGGTCCTCCTAATGGCCGTTTTCTTATTGATCATGAGCTTCTCGTAATCAATATCCACAAATCGCGTATCTTTACAGAGGGGCTTCTCGGTGTTGAGGAGAATGAATGGTAGCGGATCACTACGACTCCCCGACTTAGTATACTGGTTCCAACACGTCGGGCAGTTTCCTTCGACTACGACTCACAATCCACATCCCAAGTTGAGGACGAATTTCGGCTTTCCGGAGGGCTCTGCCATGAATTTGCGCACCGTCTCTGCCATTGCATGCATCCGGAGCCAATAGCCACGGTTGATCAATGGCGACCGGCGCTGGGGCTTCTTCACGAAGTACCGAAAGTAATGCGGTTTAGGGTAGTAGAGCATCTCGACGCTGCGCTTCGATACGATACTGCTATTATTGGTCTTGAAGAAGAAGTTAGAACTATAGTTGAGAGAATAGACGGAGAAATTCCGTAAACAGTGTAGGCACTGGCCAGTCATCGGCGCAGGCGCATAGTAACAGATGACCCCGCGGCGGGGATGGGATAGGACTGACTTACCCCCATGACTAGATCGGCCTCTTTCTCAGCTTTGGTAATGGCTGGCGCCATGACAGGCTTCTTGCCAGAAGCCTTCAAAGGGCCGGTATCCTTCTTCGCCGTCATAATGAGCGACTGTGGGGGGAGGAAAGCACAAACAGCGAGAAGGAGATTTGGTCGAGGGACAGAAAAGCGCGGGATGGAAATATTTCGTCCGTATTGATCGGTACCGGCGGCGGGCAATCAAGATGTGGCCCGAGCGTCGGATGCTGCTCGCTTGCCGCGCCTGACCGCCGTGACCGCCTGACGCAAACCGCGGCAAAAGAGCGACGAACCGCTTGTTCTCCGATCCCTCCGCATCCAACCAGTTGCTCCGCTACTCTTCATCCTCGCTATTGTCGTCCTGTGATCGCTCGTCTCCCGGGTTCGTGCAGTATCGGCTTGAGATTGATCACCAAAGTCTATCTTGCGTCTTTATCTTCGACACCCCCTCACACCTTCCACGAGATATGCGAGGCGAACAGCACCAACTGTGACGGAAGCGGTCCTGGGACGGGATCTGTTTAGCCCCTCCATTCAACAGCTCTGAAGCGTATCTTAGCCCCGCAGTCGACTCGATTCAGCCAGAAGTGTTTTTTACCGCCTGACTCAGCCTGATCGCCCTACATAGCTCCTCGAGATTAATCAAAAATAGACTCTCTGGACAAAGTGGTTGACGCGGTTGATCCCGGCGATCGATCGGTGCAGACAAAATGGCGATGAATTTCGTGACATTCAACCAGGACTATAGCTACCTGGCTGTCGGTAAGGATCGTCCGCATTTGCTTATGACGTACTGTTGGAATATCTCTTGACACCTATCAGCGACTTCTAAGGGGTTCCGAATTTTCACCACGGACCCTTTTGCGAAAAGCTATGAGACGAAGGAAGGGAACATCGCCATTATTGAGATGCTCTTTTCGACATCCCTGGTTGCGCTGATCCTGTCACCGCGTCGCCTTCAAATCACTAATACCAAGGTCCGTACGACATCCTTGTGTACATCTGTTGCATGTCGCGGGGTCGATGAACCTTGCGAAGATGTTCTTATCTGCTACCTTGTGCGCATCATGTATCGGCTGACGCTTTCTTTACTCCGGTCTAGCGCCAATCAACGATATGCGAGTTGACATTCCCTACCACCGTGCTGGCGGTCAAGCTGAATCGCAAACGACTGGTGATCGTCTTAGAGGACCAGATCTACCTCTATGATATCCAAACGATGAAACTGTTGTATACCATCGAGACCTCCCCGAATCCGAACGGTAAGACAACTCTTGTTGCTGCGCATTGAAGTTTATGTCTTCTGACGCCACATAGCGATCTGCGCTCTATCGCCATCATCTGATAACTGCTACCTCGCATATCCTCTGCCTCAGAAAGCACCGCCCTCGTCATTCACCCCACCTGCTCATGCGCCTCCCGGGACCACACATGTTTCACCTACTAGTGGTGAGGTTCTGATATTCGACACCTTGAAGTTGGAGGCCATCAATGTCATCGAGGCGCATCGGTCTCCACTGGCGTGCATCACACTGAACAGTGATGGCACATTGATAGCAACCGCTTCTGACAAAGGAACGATAATCCGTGTGTTCTCTGTCCCCGATGGCCACAAATTATACCAATTCCGCCGCGGATCGATACCGTCTAGGATCTACAGCATGTCATTCAATACCACGTCGACGCTTCTCTGCGTTTCTTCCTCCACTGAGACTATTCATCTCTTCAAATTGAGCCAGCCATCTCAGCCATCGAACACCAGTCCTTTGTCGTCTTCGCCCACTGCTGTCGATAGGAGGTATAGCCAAAGCTCCTACGGTCAATCCTCAGACCCAGACGATGTTGGCGGGGAGCCAGGCCCCTCTGAGCTCGCGTCCAGGAAACACAATGGAACCCTAATGGGGATCATCCGGCGCACTTCGCAAAATGTTGGTAGTTCCTTCGCCGCGAAGGTTGGAGGATACCTTCCCAAAGGCGTCAGCGAGATGTGGGAGCCCGCTCGAGACTTCGCGTGGATCAAACTGCCCAAATCTAGTCAGAGCCCCGGCGCCAATGGCAGCAACGGCCCGCTTCGCAGCGTCGTTGCGATGAGTACCAACACGCCGCAAGTGATGGTAGTGACCAGCGACGGGAATTTCTATGTTTTCAGTATCGATCTTTCCAAGGGAGGTGAGGGGACGCTGACCAAGCAATACTCGTAAGTGACCCCATTCGCCGCCATTAGTGATTGCACTTCACATTAAACCAAATCACAGTGTCCTCGATGCCAATGACCGATTAGGATACTCGGTAATGGATTATTGACCTTTGTCTTAAGATACCACTCATTTTCATCTTTGCCCTTGCGGTTTTGTCAAATCTAGTCAGTCGCTTGGAAGCCAGTCGCATTTGTCCTTTCTTTGAGCGTCTGCATTTTACCTTCTTTTGTGATGTTCGTGTTTCGTGTGAAGCTGTGTACGTACACGAGCACTGTCTTTTCGACCAGGTACTTAATCAGCTTCTTTTCTTCAATGGGTGCCGAGGAGTTTTCATATATGTCACTTTAGCTATCCTTGTCCTGTTTTTCTTTGACTTTCTGGAGCTTTGGGAAGGTGCGCGCAGAGAAGCTCTCCTCTGCTCGAGAGAAATGAAAACTCTTAGCGAGAGACCTGCGGAATTCATACTCGTTCGAGATTGACAAGTGTTAACAACACTTCTCTTCCTAGAGACTTTCGTTGCTCTCCACTCAATGTATGCTCCTAAGACACAGACGCTATAAGTATGCTCTTTCCCTTTCCTCTCTTGGCCAACTCTACATCGTCCTTTAAAAGTCGGCAAGTTTTATGTCTCCACCATGGAAGCAAGACTCCTCTCGCTTGAGGTAGACACTATACTGAACCGGACACTCTGTCCAGAGATAGCTTTCGAGGCCTCAGAGTCGGAGCATGCTTTGGGAATACTTGCCTTGATTTTCGTTGGCGTTGGTGTCTAGAGATGATATCAGATGGAAAACGATTCACCTACTCTACCTGCATTCCGGCATACTTCTAGAGTCAGAATGCAACAAGTCTGACCTACACTCGGAAGAGAGCATCCGCAGATTCACCAAGATATCAAGAATCAAGTATAATCGCTTGACACGCAAGTAGTCCGAAAGATTCAAAGACAAAGCAGACGAAGAAACATCCATAGACAACATGTGAAAAGCAAAGATTCAACGAAGCTGGTGACTGTTCTCGGCTTCACATTCCGAGATGTCTGCTCTTCTTGTAGCGTTGCCACCAGGACGTGGGAAGCAAGCACACTCCCAAGGATCCAGAACTGCGAAGCGCAGAAAACTTCCTCCGTCGTTGAATTACGCCAGTAGTGCACGCTACCTCTTTCTCAGTTACAGTGACCGTCTTGTTAGACCTCCTGGTCGGAGTGGCTGCCTTTCCAGCGTCCTTGCCGGGGTATTTCAACGCCCTCTCCCGGGCCAACTGCATCACCAGCATCTGAACAATAGGAGACTCCAAATCCCGAGGCATGCGAAAGGTTATGATCCTCTCCATTTTCTTCTCAGACAGCGGACCGACCCAGGTCAAGCCATAAGTGTTGCGACTGGCAGCGGCCCATTTTTCATATTTTGGAAACGGCTTGTTGAGAGCATCGTTGCCCGTGGGAGACCATTCGACCTCGACCCTAAGTCTTGTCCCATCTTTGGAGCCGTCTAGGGGCTTCAAGACAAAGTCGGCGCGCCCGATTCGACCATCCTCAACATGCAACCAACAAGACGCCTCATCATATGGCTCGGTGATTGGCTCATTACAGAAGTCTTGCTCCAATGCAACAAAGCGCCTTGGACCCCAGAAGACCTTTCGTGTAACCCAGAAAATGCCCAAGTTTTGGCCAAAGGTCCAGCGTTCGATGTATGGGTACATTTTCATGTACTCGTAGTTTGTCCTCCATTCACTTCCAAGAGACTAACAAATATTTTCAGCACAGTGCCTTGCTTGGGTAAAAATACAGGAAGACTCACTGGGTCTATGGGTTCAGTAGTCTTGGGAGGCTGAGGCTTCTCAGTCTGGGAAGAATTCTCCTCTTTGCATTGTTGAGCCCCTTAGCGTTGCCACTTGTGTTAGAGTGCTGATTCTTGTTATCGGACACTGATTTGGCAATCCTACTCACAGGACGTGATCATCTCCCTTGTGTAGGTCCAGTTTTCGGAATCAGGCTCGATCTCATTAGGAAAGGTTGCCATTGATACCAGTTCTATGAGAAACGAGTCACTGGCGACATTGAGAGAAGATTGGACCCCGGGACTAATTCTGGGGATACAACACGCATCGCAGAGGCTCTGGATGAGACGCTCTCGGGTTGGCCCAGGCTTTTCTTCGTTAAGCTCACTGTAGGCCATGGTTGCGCAAGCCAACGATGTGAGGCTGTAGAGGGAGCTCCGTACGATGAGGGTCTGGAGTGGATCTATTGCATCAATCGATCCTCTTCGTGAGTAGAATCTCTTGTAAGAGAGGCTACATATTACAAGGCTTTTTATGGTGCAACGTGCTCATAAGCTTGAGTCTGCTGCTAAGCTCAATGACGAGACGAGATGATCATGCTCGGGCAACGAGCGGAGCTGGTCTTCATGATGGCAGTGTGTTAGGCGTGGGCAACCCGTGGAACCGTATTCTTGCTACAACGAGACAGTGGTCTTACAGGAGAGGAGCTGTCGGAACTTTCAGTTGCCGAAATCATCTCATCATCCTGCCTGAAAAGCGTTCGTAACCAAGGATGGCAGGAATTTATTTATCATTTGGTGAGAGTTGTTTCCGATGGATATGTATTCCATGGGCTCGGATATCATGTTCTGACTGGGCCGGCTGACGGATGCAAACGCAGAGTTTGGAAGCTCCTCTCAACCCAGGGATGTTGATACTCATTCGATAGGAATACTATGCCTTCGGGAAGTACAAGCCGAAGACCTTGACATGAGCTTGCTATCTTGGCAGTTGCTATTTTCTCGAGTCATTGATTGTATTATATAAATACTAGTACTTTAGTACTTAGTGAAGTCGCGAAGAATCGGCATGAATAGAAGTTGATAAACAGCTGGAACTGCTCTAATATTTTCTCTTATAAATATCAGCAAGGTAGCCAATCTGCGAACTATTCATCAGACCCATTAGCAAAAAATAAGATGGAGAATAAGAAGAAGATTACAATATGCATTAAGTGTATGCTTCTATGAGAGTCGATGTCTTGGCGGCGCTACGTTACATAAGCAAGGTAGCTCCACAGGAGCGCAACGCCCGCCCGAGCGGCGAGGAAGTGAGAGAGAGAGCTTCCTCTGCTTCTCCATCAACAAGCTTATGATTTCACCCCCCTCGTCATCGCCTGCTCCCTAAAGGCCCGTTCTGATCGAGCTCTACCACCTCATATATCTCTATCAGAGCATTCTTCTACGCTCTAATTTCTCCTCCACTCCCGCCACCACATAGTCCTACTCGCCATATAATCGTCAGCAATGGCGCAAGATGGCGAGCGGTCAGCTCCCGCCGACAAGGGCAAGGGCAAGGTTGACGATGTGAAGGATCTTGCTGGAGGCAAGAAGGCACAGACCGCAGAAAAGCCTCAAGCTGACGGAAAGAAGAAGGACGAGGAGCCCCAAGAAGGTAGGCGATGAATGCCACTCGAGCCCGTGGCTTCTGGGCGGAAAGATCCCGACCCGACGCCGCTCCTGGCCACCAGCTATCCCAGGTCACTGCGACAGGTGCTAATTGAAGACAATGCAGAGGAACTCAACGAAGAGGACCAGCAATTGAAGAACGAGCTGGAGATGCTTGTGGAAAGATTAAAGGTATGGTCACTGCAGCTGTTTGTCCTAGGGCCTCCGAGCGATGACGTTAACTCTCCACCTTCCTGTCTAGGAGCCGGATACCTCTCTCTACAGCCCTGCCTTGGATGCAATCAAGAACTTCATAAAGACTTCGACCTCTTCGATGACCGCTGTCCCTAAGCCCTTGAAATTCCTCCGACCTCATTACGATGACCTCACGGCGCTTTATGACAAGTGGCCGGCTAGCCCGGTGAAGGTGCGTCTTTCTCGCACGAGGGTGCGGATTGAAGTGATAAATCTGACCGTCATATTTTGTTTAGGACTCCTTGGCCGACATGCTATCAGTTCTCGGAATGACATACGGAGATGAAGAGAAGCTAGAGACTCTGAAGTATCGCCTGCTGACCAAGTCGGAGGATCTCGGCTCATGGGGCCATGAGTACATCAGACATCTGGCTTTGGAGATTGGTCAAGAATATCAGAACAGGCTGAACACTGAGAAGGATGTACAAGACTTGATTGATCTTGCGCTCTCCCTTGTTCCGTACTTCCTCAAGCACAACGCTGAAGCCGATGCCGTCGACCTGCTGAGTGAGCTCGAGATCATCGAGGAAATCCCCCGCTTTGTCGATGAGAACACATACGCCAGAGTTTGTTTGTATATGGTTAGCATGGTCAACCTTCTCACATACCCAGAAGACCAGCAGTTCCTCCGCACTGCCCACGAGATTTATGTCACCTACAAGGAGCTCACCAAGGCCATCGTTCTTGCTATCCGCCTCAATGACACTGAGCTTATCAAGAGCGACTTGAATGCCACCTCGGACAGTTCGATCAAGAAGCAGATGGCTTTCCTCGTTTCTCGGCAACAAATATGGCTCGATCTTCCGGAATATGAAGAAGACCAGTCATTCATGGAATGCCTCAACAACACCTCGATTCCCAAGCACTTCAAGTCTCTTGGCAAGGAGCTCAACATTCTCGATCCCAAGATGCCGGAAGACATCTACAAGACTCACCTGGAAAGCTCTCGTGGCGCAGGCCTCACCAACGTTGATTCTGCAAGACACAATCTCGCTAGCGCCTTCGTCAACTCGTTCGCCAATGCCGGATTTGGAAACGATAAGATGATGCTGGTCGAGGGTGACAAGGGTCCTTGGGTATGGAAGACAAAGGACGACGGCATGCTGTCGACTACGGCTTCTCTGGGAATGCTTATGCACAGAGACGTTGAGATTGGACTGGACAAGATCGACAAGTACACTTACGCCTCGGAAGATCAGATCAAGGCTGGTGCATTGTTGTCGATTGGTATCCTCAACTCCGGTGTACGCATCGATTCAGAACCTGCCTTGGCTCTTCTGAGTGATCCTGAAAACCTGGAAGCCAAGAGCGTGCCCATGCGAGTTGCATCGATTATGGGTCTGGGACTGGCTTACGCTGGTTCGAACAAGGAGGAGCTGCTGGAGGTTCTTCTTCCGATTGTCGAGGATAGTTCTCTGGACATGCAGCTGTCTGCCATGGCAGCTGTTTCCTTGGGTCTTATCTTTGTTGGTTCCTCGAACCACCAGGTTAGTGAGGCGATCGCTACGACCTTGATGGACGAGGAGAGACAGAAGCAACTCAAGGACAAGTGGACCCGTTTCATGGCTCTTGGTCTCGCCCTTCTGTACTTTGGTCGCCAGGAAGAGGTTGATGTTATCCTCGACATCCTCAAGGCTGTGGATCACCCCATGGCTAAGCCCACTTCGGTGCTTGCCTCGGTTTGCGCCTGGGCCGGCACAGGCACCGTCCTGAAACTCCAGGAACTCCTTCACATCTGCAATGACATCATCGAGGAGAACGACGAGAAGAAGGGTGACGAGCTCGTGCAGTCGTATGCTGTTCTTGGCTTGTCGCTCATTGCCATGGGCGAGGAAGTTGGACAGGATATGATTCTCCGACAGTTTGGTCACCTCATGCACTACGGTGCCAGCAACATCCGGAAGGCTGTGCCCCTCGCTATGGGTCTGATTACCCCTAGCAACCCTCAGATGAAGGTCTACGATACCCTTTCGAGATACAGTCACGACACCGATAATGACGTTGCCATCAACGCCATCTTCGCCATGGGTCTCTGCGGCGCCGGTACCAACAACGCTCGCTTGGCCCAATTGCTCCGCCAGCTTGCGAGCTACTATCACCGTGATCAGAACTCCTTATTCATGGTCCGCATCGCACAGGGTCTTTTGCACATGGGCAAGGGTACCATGACCCTGAACCCCTTCCACACCGACAGACAGGTTTTGTCGCGTGTATCAGCCGCTGGTCTGCTTACCGTCCTTGTGTCCCTGATTGACGCCAAGCAATTTATTCTCGCCGAACATCACTACCTCCTTTACTTCCTCATCACTGCCATGTACCCCCGCTTCCTCGTCACTCTCGACGAAGACCTTCAGCCTCTCACCGTGAACGTCCGGGTCGGTCAGGCCGTGGACGTTGTTGGTCAGGCCGGTCGCCCGAAGACGATCACTGGGTGGCAGACGCAAAGTACGCCAGTCCTCTTGGCCTACGGTGAGCGGGCCGAGCTTGAAGACGAGCAGTACATCCCTCTCAGCAGCACTCTGGAGGGTTTGGTAATCTTGCGCAAGGTAAGCATGCGCTGACTCTGTGGCTAGGCCAGCTGCTAACAGGTATACAGAACCCTAACTGGGAGGCGGAGACATCCGCATAAACGAGATGAGAAACTGGACATGAAACTTTGCGAGCTTGAGGGCCGGGGAAATCACAGCATTGGGATTCTTGGACTTGATGTATTCAGAACGACCGGAAATACCTTATATCAGTTAGACCAATGGATATAGGAAGGGCAGTTCATGTTAAGATTGTTCACTCTAGATATTCATGATGCAGGTATGTTGATTCGTAGGTCGCAGGTATACAGCTCCGCATTGCATTGGGAGATGGATCCAGAACAGGAAACTAGGGCATAGGGCACGCGGAGCCCAGGACTTTTCCGGGTACCTTCAGGGACGCCGCCGCATCAACTCCATAAGTGAGTGCGAGAGCGCCTGAATCCATTCTCGAAAAACCCGAGTCGCTGTCAAATTTGCGCCTGGAACACGAAGGCTTAGATAGTGACCATGAAGCTCGACCCCAAAGCGATCCGATACCTCACGGCGGAGGACTTCCGCGTACTCTCGGCGGTATGCTATGCCCCTCCATATACACATTTTCCGCCTTGGAACCTTTTCTGTGCCATATTTCTTTTTTCTTTTTTCTTTTTTCTTTTTTTTTTTTGCTCTTAGTCGGCAAGTGCATCTTCTGACAAAGCTAACAGACCATGTTCTCTTGAGGAGTAAAGGTCGAACAAGGCAGTCGAAACCATGAGATTGTGCCTACTCCGCTGATTGCGCAGATCTCGGGCCTCCGCGGGGGAAGCGGAGTGCACCGATCGATCTCGAACCTGGCTAAGACGAACTTAATAGCGAAGGTGAAGAATGCTAAATGTATGTTTTTCTTTTCTGACTGGAAATTGCCGGCTGCATTGTTGTTTGCCGCCAGAGCGGGCTTACGGTTTACGCTACACATGCTTACCATCTTTTTTTTTGGGCTGTTGAAACAGACGACGGCTACCGCCTCACCTACGGCGGCCTCGACTACCTCGCGCTCCACGCGCATCAGAAGCAAAAAGTCATCTACTCCGTGGGCAACCAGATCGGCGTAGGCAAGGAATCCGACATCAACGTGGTAGCCAACCACCAGAAGCAGCAATGCATCCTGAAGATCCACCGACTGGGCCGCATCTCGTTCCGCACGGTCAAGACCAACCGCGACTACCTGCGCCACCGCACCTCGGCCTCGTGGATGTACATGTCGCGGCTGGCGGCGATGAAGGAGTTTGCATTCATGAAGGCGCTGCGCGAGAACGGGTTCTCGGTGCCCGAGCCCATTGCGCAGAACCGGCACACGATCGTTATGTCCCTGATTGACGCGTTCCCGCTGCGCCAGATTTCCTCGGTGGCGGATCCCGCGGGTCTGTATGCCGAGCTGATGGAGATGATTGTGCGGTTTGCGCGGTATGGGTTGATTCATGGTGATTTCAATGAGTTTAATATCTTGATCAAGGAGGTGGTGGTGGAGGAGGAGAGTGAGGACAAGAAGGGAAAGGGCCGCGAGGGAGACGACGAGGAGGAGAAGGTGCAGCTGGTGCCGGTCGTCATCGATTTCCCGCAGATGGTCTCCATCGATCACCCTAATGCGGAGATGTATTTCGATCGCGATGTGAACTGCATCAAGCGGTATTTTTCGCGCAAGTTTCACTTTGTGAGTGATGTGCCCGGCCCCTTCTTTGCTGAGGCCAAGAAGCAGATGATGCAGAATCCCGGGAAGCGGTTGGATGTGGAGGTGGAGGCCTCAGGTTTCTCGAGGAAGATGGCTCGCGAGTTGGAGAATTATATGCAAGAGGTTGGTGCGACAGGAGATGGTGGGAGTGATCGGGAGGGTGAGGAGGACGAAGAGGACGAAGAGGAGGAAGACGGGGAAGAGGAAGAGGAGGAGGATAGGCATTCGCAGTCGGATGAGATCGACGAGAGCTCTCGACGGCTGGGCAAGATGCAAGTGTCGCAGTAGCTGTGCTGTGAAGGTAAAAGATATGATAGCTCATGACCATAATGAATACCGTTATTCGGGAAATGGACTGCGTAGTAGTGTCTTCAGTATACCTTACTTTGTGCGGGTGTCTGGGTCATCGAGCAGAGCGAAACCTGGCAAGGCATGCCATAGCACCTCATATTTAAGATTAATCGATCCATTGACATGGCAAGTATAAGATCAACCACTGACCATGAACAATCATTGGTAAAGTACTCAAATGATCAACCGAGCGGAGGCCCCTCCGGCCAGTACTGGAGAAATACGGGCACCGAAGCGGCCAAACACGCAACAAACGATCCGCACGAAAGTTCCGCTCTCCGCCCGATAAACTTATCCCAGTAAACGTTAGTATCAGCATACAATTCCTCCTCCACCTCACCACTCCCTCTGGACCACACCCCTACTCCCCTCCCAAAGGAAAGCAAAGAAAAATGGTCCGCAAATTCTCCAAATTCCCCATCAAACCCGCCGGCTGGGTCGGCCCAAGCGCCCCTCTCGAGCAGCGCAAACAGATCTTTCTGTACGTGAACCAGCAGCATCTTCAAATAAACCCAAACCCTCTTCCCAAACACCCCGCCCCTGCAAAGTATTGAGACAAAGATACTAACCCATAAAACAAATAGTCCGAACTTCACAATCGCCCTGATCCGCACTCCCTTCCTCCCTCCCCGCTACGCCTCCTTCTACGTCCCCCTCAACTTCAACAAGCTGGACATCCGGGATTATTTGCAGCGCGCCTACGGCGTCGGCGTCCTGGCCGTGCGCAGCTTCGTCGAGCAGCAGAAGGTCACTCAGATGAAGCCCAACGGGCGGTACGGGTACGGGAAGTTCCGGCGGCCGAAGAGCAAGAAGCGCATGACGGTGGAATTGAAGGAGCCGTTTGTGTGGCCGGAGGCGCCGGAGAGTATGGATAAGTATGTGTCCTTTTTGATTTCTTCTTCTTTTTTTGGGGGGTGCTTTTGGGAGGGCGCGATGTTTTGGACTGCCCCCGGGGGACGCGGGGAGAAGGGGGTTGGGTTTATGCTACTGCGGAACGATCCTTGCTAACCAATTTGTGTGTGTGACGGAACAGATGGGAAAAAGATCAATTCTTCAAGGCCGCCAAATACCAAAAGGAAATGCAGGACGCCCAGCGCGAGGATGCCATTACGTGGGCGCCTACCAAGGAGCGCGAGTCGTTCGCCGAGGAGGCGGAGAAGATCCTCAGCGGCGAGAAGCAGTGGCGGCCCACTTGGCAGGCGTTGGGGTTGAACCTCGATCGCGCCGTCCTGACGAAGCCGGCGACTTCGGTTAAGAGTGGCCAGGAGGGTGGTTCGGTGGGTGGGAAGAGTGAGTAGATTAGTCTCGAGGAGGGGGGGAAGGAAGGGTTGAATAAATTGAGACAGTGATGGGTCTGTATTCTTTTTTTTTTTTTTCCTTTTGTGCCGGGGCTTTTTTTTTTGCTAGGTCGCTTGTATTATATCTCTTTGGGTTGTGACTTATAAATATGATTCTGTCTTTGATGTTGTTGTTCAATGTTTGGTATCTTATGTGTATAGACTACTTATGATGATGATTCTGAATTTGGAATATGTTATCATATAAACAATGAATAAACAGACGCTCCCGCTGGCTGCATACATAGAAGCAAAGCAATATCTACAATCAATCTGTAACACGTCGTCAAACGCAAAACTACAACCGGCTCTCGATGAAATTGGCCTGGTGTTGACCCGGCCAGTGAGCGTCCGGCCACACCTGCCGAATCGCCTCCCAGATGTGTCTAAAACATGGTCAGTTTACCGCCAGTTTCTTTTCCCCAGACAAACCACTTACTTGACATAAATAATCTCCAATCCCTCATTGACCTCCTGCGGCACATCCTTGACATCCTTGCGGTTGTGTTGCGGCAGAAGCACCGTCTTCACCCCCGCGCGCAATGCGCCGATCAACTTCTCCTTGATCCCGCCCACTGGCATCACCTTGCCTCGCAGCGAGATCTCGCCAGTCATGGCGAGACTGGGCGGTACTGGTTTGCCGCTGAACAGCGAGATCAAGCCGATAGTGTGTGCGAGACCGGCAGACGGGCCGTCCTTCGGAACAGCGCCGGACGGGCAGTGGACGTGCAAGCTGCGGTTCTTCATGATGTCCTCGTTGGGGTCGGCGGACAATCCCAGCTCATACGCATGCGCCTTGACCCAGGTGAGAGCCACTTCAACGCTTTCCCGAAGCACACCTCCCAGGTTGCCGGTCAGTTGGATGTTGCCGTTGCCCGGCATATCCGCCACCTCAATAAACAGGATACTGCCTTGGCCTCCGGTGGAGAAGGCCACCAGGCCTGTCACCACACCCGGCCGGCCATGCTTTTCCGCCAGTTCCTCGTAGAACCGCTCAATGCCGAGTATGTCTTCCAGATCCTCAAGGCTTACCAATGGGTTGTATGAGTCCAGTCGGCCTGCGTCACCCGCGTCGGCATATTGCACGGCTTTGGACCGACAGATCGAGCCGATTTCACGCTCCAGGTTGCGCACTCCGGACTCCATGGTATACGACGTGATGACCTTGTCAAGAACCTCATCCGACAAAATCACTTGCCCATCTGTGAGCCCGTTCGCCCGTACCTGCTTAGGGATTAGATGTCTCTTGGCGATGTGTCGCTTCTCGATGTTCGTGTAGCCGGACAAAGATATCGTCTCCATGCGGTCAAGCAGCGGGGCAGGGATGGTGTCCAACGAGTTGGCCGTGGCAATGAAGAGAATTTTGCTCAGATCGATCGGGATGCCGATGTAATGGTCCGTAAAGGTGTGGTTCTGTTCCGGGTCCAACACTTCAAGCATAGCCGCTGACGGATCGCCTTGGAAGTTAGCTCCGCCCACCTTATCGATTTCGTCCAGCAGGAAGACCGGGTTGGCCACGCCAACCTTCTTCAGACCATTGACAATCAAACCAGGCATGGCGGCTACATAGGTCCTACGATGACCTCTGATCTCTGCTTCGTCCCGGACACCACCCAGGGATATCCGATGGAACTTGCGGCCAAGGGACGAAGCCACGGACCGTGCCAGACTCGTCTTTCCAACGCCCGGCGGTCCTACAAGCAGTAAGATCGGGGACTTGTCGCCGATGCGCTTGGACTCCAACAGGCGCAGCTTGGTCTCGAGCGCAACCCGGTCTGCCTCTGATAAAGTCGGAACATCCTTCTCAATGTCACCCGCATCGGAAGCATCAAGCTCCTTAGTGAGACTCTCGATCTGACGTTGCAAATCCTTGTTCGACGTTTGCTTCAAACGCAGCACCGCCAAGTATTCGAGCAGCCGCTTCTTGATCTTCTCTAATCCGTAGTGGTCGTCGTCCAATTGCTGGCGAGCTCTCTTCAAAGTATCGGGCCCAAGCTGATCCTCCGTGACTTTGGTCCAGGGAATGTCGGCAATGTTCTCAAGATAGCTCCTGCAGACACCGTACTCTGCATTGGCGGGGTTCATCTTCCGAAGACGACGCAACTCCTTATCCGCAACTTTCTTAGCTTCCGTGCTGAGCTCAGCATCGTTCAGTCTCTGCTGCAGCTCGTCGACTTCGTTCGCTTCCTTGTCGTCCCCGTCATTGTTCCGGCCGCTTGCCATACCTGGCGGCGTCAGCCCGGTCAGACCTGCCATTGCTCGTTTGGCCAGCAGCTCCCGCTCGCGCGGGTCGATCTGGCTGATGTCGAATGAAGAGCTGGGGAATGTATTGGTGGTGATCGTCGTCACTTTGACGTTGCTCTTGATGTTCTGTATTTGTCTGCTCAAGATCTCAATAGCACCTTCCAGCCGGGCCCGAACATCGAACGAGGCCAAGATGCGGAGCTTTTCCTCGAACCCAGAGTCAGCGACATCAGCCATAAAGTCAGCCAGTCTACCCGCATGGGAGATATCAGACTTGGTGATGAAGATCTCGAATTTGCGAGCAATGATGGGCGACAGACGGGTTCCAGCAGAAGGCAGAAGTGAGGACAGTCGTAGGAGGGTCAGTAGCTCTTTCGAAAGCTGTCTTAACTGCTGAAATAGATCGACTGTCTCAGTGTCGTTGATGACTGCATCATCAGGTGTGGATGATTAGCTCCAAAGGTCACTAAACCAGCACACGTGAAAATTGGGCCGGAGACAAACCTTTTTCGTCATGGAGGATGGCTTCTGCCTCGAAGAAAGGCCGTTCCTTGAGGACTCGTTTGAGGGCAAAGCGCTGAATTCCCTGCACCAGCAAAGAGGGCTCTGCGTAGGCACGACGCTGGATGCCGATCACCTTGCCCACGGTGCCGTACCGGAAGAGGTCCTCCTTGCGCGCCTGACCGGCATCGATCATGTCGTACTCCTCTCGTTTGTCATCCTCCAGGCTTCCGTCATCGATGACCCGCTGGCAATCTTTGCTTAGATATGGGGAGCTGAGGGGGATACACCCAAACATGACGACGCTTCCATCGCGCTTCGCCGCCGGCGAGCGGTCCAGCACAGTGGTCAGGAGATTGGCGATATCCGGTCGGTTGGAGACTGGAATCCGCAGAGTCACTCCAGGGAGTAAAACTGAGCCTTTGGGGAGCGGTACCAAGGCAAGCTTGGTGGTCCTGCCGCTCTGGGAGCTCATGGCGGGATAATTGTTGGGTCGAGCTGACGGCAATCAACGTGGGTTACGAGGATCGAGGAATCACAGTGATAGTAGAGAGGATGAAACAAGGGTGAAGCTGAACGTCTTGCTGAGAAATAATAAGTGTTGTGAGGATATGTGGGATTGACTTTAGAAAAGGGTTGGAGAGACAGAAGAGGAAATGAAGTGGTTCCAGAACCCCATGAATGGAGGCAAAGTCTGGGGTGAGGCGGAGAAGCGAGGAGGAGGAGCAGGAAAGATAAGCCCAGCAGCGCCTCCTCCCGATGCCGAGGTCCGCATCCGTCAGACGCCAAACCATTTGCCTCCAACTCAAATTAAGCAAGAAATCCGGGGGATTCTCCTCATGTCTCAATTGCTCCTTGCTCTTCCAGCGTCTTCTACCCCTCTGCATCCAATCTGATAAGGTACATTGTCGATCTCGATGGTCGTCAGCTGGGTTTAGCCAACATGACGTGTACATATGTAACTACCCATCGAGATGATTGCTTATCGGGGATGTATGTCCAATACGTACATTACGGATCTGTCCCTCTTCGCCGGAGGATCCAGCCGAGTCGTATGACAAAACAAAAACGCGCTAAAAATACGCGGCGGAGAAAATGTGCTGATACCCGGAGATCAACCTTAAACTCTTTCCAGTAAAAGTACCTGCAACGCAAAGTCTCTCTTCTTGTTGCCAACTGCCAATCTCTAAACATTAGAGAGAGAGAGATTTATCTGCTTTGTCCTTTTGGAGCACAATCCGGTTCTTTTCTCACTTAATTACTCGCCCTCATCCCTACACGAATTACCCCCCTTCCCAACCCACCAGAATGGTCTCTACCCCGCTTGCCAGCGCAAACGCCGCTGATCCCTCCTCCCGCAAGGTCTTCACCATCGGCACCCGCAAGTCCAAGCTCGCTCTGATGCAGACGGATCTTGTCCAGGCCGCTCTGAAGGCCCGATGGCCCGAATATGAATTCAAGATCCATTCGCGCGAAACCGCCGGCGACCAGAACACCACCCTCGCGCTGCGGGACTTCACCACCAAGAATCTATGGACTCAGGAATTGGAAGAGCTGTTGATGGCCGGTCATGTGGATCTGATTGTGCATTCGCTAAAGGGTAAGTTTTTAGCCCGGAAATACCATCCATGTCTGCTCGGATTTTCGGACTGACGATCCGGGGGGTTTGGTATGTTGGTAGACGTCCCTACTCTCCTGCCGCCCTCTTGCACGCTGGGCCCGATGATGGACCGGGAGGACACACGCGACGTCCTGGTCGTCAAGCAGGGATTGTCGTACAAGAGTCTGGCCGAGCTGCCTGCGGGCTCGGTCGTCGGGACATCCTCCATCCGTCGCACCGCGCAGCTGGCTCGCCGATACCCGCACCTGAAGGTGGCGGATGTGCGTGGGAACATCGGAACTCGCTTGTCGAAGTTGGATGCGGAGGACAGTCCGTACAGTTGTTTGATCCTGGCGGCTGCCGGCCTGCACCGTCTGGATCTGCAGGATCGGATCACCGCCTACCTGGACTCGAAGAACGGCAGCATGTTCTACGCCGTCGGGCAGGGGGCGTTGGGTATTGAGGTCCGCAAGGACGATCAGCTGGTGTCCGACATGTTGTCCGGTATCGGCCACAAGGAGACGACTCTGGCGTGCTTGGCCGAGCGGAGCCTGCTGCGCACGCTGGAGGGTGGCTGCAGTGCGCCTCTGGGTGTCGAGTCGGAGTGGATTCACGCGGCCGATGGTTCGTCCAAGTTGAGAATGCGGTCGATTGTTGTGAGCGTGGACGGCAGAGAGAGCTCCGAGGTGGAAGTTGATGGATCTGTGGATACGCCTCAGTCGGCCGAGGAATTCGGTGTTACGGTCGCCAACGCTTTGGTGGCTAAGGGCGCCGGAAAGATCCTCGAGGAGATCCAGCGGAACAAGCGGGCTCCTCAATGATCGCTTGTATAAATGGCGCTGTGGTGGAGATGCTGGTCCTCTCCTTCACTGCAGTCACAGAGGATACGATCAGATGGATACCCGTACATGAAAAAGACATGTTGCAAATCTAGGATAGAGTATGACATAACAATGCAAATCGTAAGACATATCTGCGTCCCATGGCAGGACATATAAATTTGTTATCTATGGTAGTCAAAGCACACGCGCGCAGTCATTCCGAGACTTTGGCCAAGAAACCAGGCATTAGGGGTCTATTAGCATTCATAATGATTATCCTCTATTCAAAGTGTTGCCAGAGCCCCTGGGATTTGCTTCCTTAAACTCATCCCAGGCTCGGGCTTTCATAGTCTCTTCGTCGGCAATATTCAGGTCATCCTCATCGACCTCTGGTTTGATGCCGGAAGCTTCGCCTCCCCCTTCGATAATATTGCCTCTCCTCCGCTCCTCTTCGAGATATTCATCAATGGTCATGGTGGGCAGGTTATGTCCGGAGCGGAAGACGCCCTGCTGCAACTGCGTGCGGCGATCCAGCAACGTAAAAGGCTGCATTGGCTTCCCCTCTTTACTCAATATCGGCCCGCGCCTTCCCCCCGCCAACAGCTCAGCGATCGGGCGATCCAGTCGCTCCGAGTACTCCGCGTCGGCATTCCCATTACGTCTCCGGGGGTCATGCTGCGCCAGCTCCTGGTTGGGTTTGGGCGGCGCCGCGCGCATCGTCGCGAGCATCGACAACTCCTGAGCCACGAGATCGAGGGCCTGGAACGTCTGGTGGGCGTACAGCGCAAGTTCCGCCAGGTACAACGCGCGCACATCATCCTCGTCACTTTGCAAGCGATTCTTGTTCTTGGACAGGTACTTTTTGTTTTGTAAAAGAATCCAGTAAGCAAACACGTTTCCTGCTTTCGTTGTGTCGTGTATCATAGCATGATTTGGTGGTGGTGGTGAAATCTAACCTCAAGCTTCTGCTTCAGTTCCTTCTCCTCCCTGAACCGGTTGATCTTGACCTCGCGCCGGACCGCCGCGTCGTTGGTGGGTGTGAGCGAGAAGCTGGACGGGTTGGCCGCATACCGCTCGTACAGCTTCTTGTCGCCTGCGCTCAGGATCTCGTATTCGTCGAGCCGTGAGAGGAACCGCTCGTACTGGCTCAATGCCCGACGGAGCGAGGCTTCGCGGTCGTTTGTGTAGGTTCGTTGCAGGAGGTCGGCGAGAAGGTATTCGACGGTCAGGTATCTAGAAATAGCCCCAGGTTTAGCTCAAATAACGCCCAAGCAATCTTGTCCTTAGGGTATCACAAGGGGCGGGGGGAGTACTGTAAATCTCCAGTGGAAATGTCCTCGAGAGCTTCGTTCGAACTGAATAACGACAACAGGCTCACTAATCGTTGGCATTCCTCGAGCTTCGCGATGACGGCGTTGACATCACTGCGATAAGCATCCGTGTTGCTGTCGGTGCGCGACTCCAGCGCGGTCTTTGCGGCTTTCGCTTCGGTGAAGAGCGTGCGGAGGTTCTGTGGTTGTTCCATCATTTGTGCTGGGAATGGTGATGTTGAGGGGGAAGGGGAGAAATAAATAGTAGAGCTGTTCGACGATCGACGGCCGTGACGCAGAAATAATTCCTTGGGGTCTGGCCCCGCGGTAGGCCCCGCACCTCCTAGTGGTTTAGGGGCGGATCGAGGGGTACTCCGGATGTCTTGGGGATAGACCTCGATATAAAGATTAAAACACGAGAGGAAGAGGTTGTTACACCGATAAGACTTTTTTTTAGGAGTCTGCTCAATTTAGAGCATGGCATTATACTTGTTGAGGTAAGCCAACTATGTCAGAAGTCTCTAGACTGCCCACCCTGGCAGTTAGGAAGGGTTGACAGGGAATATATTGTACAATGTCATTTCACAAATATACACATCAGCAGAGGAGTTTCGTATGAAATCAAGAACTGACCTGGCAGCTTTCGCAGTCATGCCAGTTGCGATACCTTTCAAGCAAGAATTGGTCTGATCTTTATTCTATTCTTGTGCGGAGAGTCAATCTTGCAACTCCGAGGTGCTCTGGATTTCCCCTTTCAATCCAAATGTCTATTGCTTTTATATCAGGCCATGTGCTCTGCTCTGTTTCGGTTAATAGCAACGAGCTTATATCTCTTCAAATGAAATCAAGAAATCTGAGGAGCTACTTCACTCATGTGCACATCCTTTGGAGAGTTCTCAGATAGATGCTTGACAGTGCACTAGCTTTCCAAACTGAAGCAAATATAAACGTCTAGTGGAGATTCAAGAAGTTCCAAATGAACAAGGCTGATGGACTTTGAGGTGATTGAATAGTGATCTGTTGGTGAATATAAACAATGCAAACGAGCCATAACCCGTTTGTCCCTCAGCTGGATTCACTGCAAACGAAGTAAAAACCAGAATCGTTGGACTTCGCACCCTGAACCTTTCCCAGTCCTCACAGGCACAGCTTTTCTTCCCTTCTCCACCATAGCCATCTTGACTCAAGTCGACTCTACCGCCTAACAATGGCTAAGTTCGATGTCGAAGAAACCAACACCAAACCACTGACTGCAAGCATCTCCGAAGCCAGTCGGCTCGCAATCACAGCAGATGACGTTGATGACGCCTCCAGCTCCTCTGACTCGGAAGAAGCTGAGCAGTTCCGTCCAATGGACGCCTCGCAAAGACAAAGACTTCATAATGCTCAGTTTAATGTTCTGTGTGTTCGTCTCTCTCTTTGAAATCTATGTTGACTAACGCATCATAGCCTGTCCAAGCGCGCTGTCACAGACTCCTCTAACACGGGAAGACGTACAGCTCCTGAATTGCCTGACGCCCAGCTTTCAACGGCTCGTTTGTTAGCAAAACACGATCTCGGAACTGGTGCATTGGATCCAAGAGACTATCAGGTGGAGTTGTTTGAAAGAGCCAAAACACAGAATACAATTGCCGTGCTTGAAACTGGTACTATTCAACAGCATTCCTTACAGATTCAGTCCTATCAGTCCTTTTAGTCCTTGACATATCTGATCTGAATGTGTTATAGGTTCTGGAAAGACATTGATCGCAGTGCTGTTGCTCAGGCATATAATACAAAATGAGCTCAACGACCGTGCTCAAGGGAAACCGCATCGCGTATCTTTTTTCTTGGTAGGGATTCTTCCAAGGCTTAGAATGACGTGTAGTTACTCACGCAATCAAAGGTTGATAGCGTCACCCTCGCGTTCCAGCAAGCAGCAGTGCTGCGTCACAATCTCGACCAGAGTGTTGGGCAATTCTTTGGAGCCATGGGGACCGATCTCTGGAATAAGGAAGTGTGGGATGAGCACTTCAAGTCGAACATGGTTCTCGTCTGCACCGCCGAGATCCTACACCAATGCTTGCTTAACTCATACATCAAGATGAATCAGGTCAACCTGTTGATTTTTGATGAGGCCCACCATACCAAGAAAGAACATCCCTATGCACGGTGAGACCAGTTACTAAACACAACGAGGAGACTGCAGCTGACTGGACACAGGATTATACGCGACTCATATCTGAAGGAGGATGCTTCAAAACGGCCAAGAATTTTCGGAATGACTGCTTCTCCAGTGGACACCAAAGGCGATGTAGTGGATGCTGCAATGTACGAAAAGTCCCTCAGATGTTATGCAGCAGCTTACGTATCACAGGCGACTCGAGACGCTGCTAGAAAGCACTATTGCTACAACATCACAGGCCAGCTTACTGCGGCAATACGTTAGTCGTCCACTGGAAGAAGTATGGACGTACGATAGACTAGAACCGCCAGTGGCCACCGTTTTATACAAAGAACTTCATCAACGCTTCGGTGATCTAGAATGTCTTAAAAGCACCTTTAGATTTGCCTGGCAGGCGACTTCTGAGTTGGGCAGTTGGTGCTCGGATAGAGCTTGGGTACGTGCTTTAGCTGACGACGTCTTACCCAGACTAGAAGGCAAAATCAACAAGTCCATTGTTCCCAAAAGTTCAGCTAGAGACTCCCAGGACGCACATGCACAGATTTTACAAGTCAGAGAGGCCAGCGACTTAATCAAGAGTCATGAACTTGGCAGCCCTCACGCTCCTGGAGCGCTAAGCTCTAAAGTGCAGCTACTTCATGCCGAGCTGGAGAAGCGCTTTTTGGATCCAGACCAACCGAAATGTATTGTCTTTACAGAGAAGCGATACACCGCGATGATGTTATTCGAGCTCTTTCAAAGTGCAGCAATTCCCTTTCTCCGACCTGGTCTGCTTGTTGGAGTTCGATCAGGCGACGTTGCTGGAATGGGTATAACCTTGCGCCAGCAATTCCTTACGTTGATTAAATTCCGAGAAGGAGAGATCAACTGCCTGTTCGCTACATCCGTAGCCGAAGAAGGCCTGGATATCCCAGACTGCAACCTTATCGTCAGGTTTGATCTATACCAAACACTCATTCAGTATGTACAGAGCCGTGGTCGTGCCCGCCACCACAAGTCGGCCTATGCAATTATGGTAGAGAAGTGGAATTCGCAACATGAAGACCGACTTTCGACCGTTAAAGACGCAGAGAGCATGATGCAGCAGTTCTGTGAGGCTCTACCGCAGGATAGATTACTGCATGGAAACGATGATCTAGAACAGGTCCTGGAGAAAGAAGCTGGCAAGAGGACTTTTACCATTCGCGCATCTGGCGCCAAGTTGACCTATCATTCTGCCATTGCAGTACTTGCTCGCTATGCCAGCTCGCTGCAGTACGAGAAAGAACAAGATGCGAAGGTGCACTATGTGGTTCTTCCTATGAACAATGCTTTTGTTTGCGAGGTTATGCTACCTGAGAAGTCGCCCGTTGCAGGAGTTACTGGAAGTCCAGAAATACGAAAATCGACAGCAATGCAGTCTGCAGCGTTTGATACATGCCTTCGTCTACGCAAAGCCGGTTTGCTTGACAAGTATTTCAATTCGATGTTCCGACGTCGTCTACCTGCGATGAGGAATGCCAAACTCGCGATAACTTCCAAGCAGACTAGTCAGTATGATATGATAGTCAAGCCATCATTCTGGATTGAAAGGCGTGGCGAGCTTCCAAATAGCCTCTATGTGACCGTCATCATCTTCAAACCATTGGGTCCGCTGACAAGAGAACACTCAAGTCTCATATTGCTGACTAGGAACCCGCTCCCGCATTTACCAGCTTTTCCCATCTATCTCGATGAGGACATAGAGACGACAGTGGACTTGGTCACATTGCGGGAACAGCTCGCAATCTCAAAGACTGAACTGCAATATTTGACAACTTTCTTTCTTCGAGTGTTCAGTGATGTCTTTCACAAGACTTATGACCGTCAACCCGAGATGATGACGTATTGGCTTAGTCCAACACATTTGCAAGACACGCCTGGCCGAGACGCAAGCCCTAGAAGCCTGGTTGACTGGGGGATCCTCCGCTATATGCACCAGCACGAAACCCTTGCAGTTCCAAGACATACAGATCCAGAGTATCTGGTGAATCGTTTAGTGTTTGATAACTGGAACGGAGCATGCAGATACTTTACTCTTGCGGTTGAGAAAACTCTACGCCCTTCAGATCCCCCACCCTCCTTCGTGGCACGACGTCGGCAAATGAGTGATATCATGACCTATAGCACTAGTCTGTCGAAGAACTCGCGTGCTAAATTCCTCTCGACCTGCAACTGGAACCAGCCTGTCCTGAGGGCAGAATTAGTTCGCCTTCGCAGGAACTTGCTAGACAAGATGACGGACGCAGAAAGAGAAGTGGAAACGAGGTGTTTCATCTGTGTAGAGCCACTCAGGATCTCTGCGGTTGGTGATCTCCTCCCGGGCTCATTGGGAATATTAAGCACTCCTGATACTGACCATCACCAGATCCCTGCCTCGACAGCTGCATCATGTTTGGCTTTTCCTGCCATTATCTCCAGGGTCAATTCGTATCTAGTATCCCTTGAAGCTTGCACCAGATTGGATCTCACGATCAAAGTCGAGTTCGCCTTAGAAGCGATGACCAAGGATGCAGACAACACAGAGGATCACCGAGCCCAGCAAATCCATGTTCGGAGGGGTATGGGAAAGAATTACGAGCGACTCGAATTTCTAGGCGACTGTTTTCTAAAAATGGCCACCTCGGTTGCTCTTTTCGCACAGAAACCCGACAACGATGAGTTTGACTACCATGTCAGCCGAATGTGTCTTGTTTGCAACAGGAATCTGTTCAACACGGCGTTAAAGAAGGAGCTTTACAAGTATATACGGACTCAAGGGTTCTCCCGGTATTTGTTCCCGGCGGCATCAGCGGATGATTTCAATAACATTGAATACAGGCATACCTGGTATCCGGACGAATTGAACCTCCTGCGGGGAAAGGATCATAGCAAGCAGATGAGTTCCGAGAGTAAACATGGCCTCGGCGAGAAAACCATTGCAGATGTCTGTGAGGCATTGATTGGGGCATCTCTTCTCACTGGAGGGCCTGATCATCGATTCGACATGGCGGTCAAAGCAGTGACTGCTCTCGTAGACGATGCAAGCCACAGAGTCACTTGTTGGAGGGAATACCAGAAACTGTACACCATGCCGCAATTTCAAGTTCAGGATGCTGATGGCTTTGAGCTGAACTTAGCCCGACAGGTGGAGGGCAAGCTTGGTTATCATTTCATATATCCCCGACTGTTGCGGTCTGCCTTCACTCACCCTTCGCTTCCCTCTGCTTGGGCCAAGGTTCCTTGCTACCAACGTCTGGAGTTCCTTGGGGATGCTTTGCTTGACATGGTCTGTGTCGAAGACATATTCCACCGATTTCCTGATAAAGATCCTCAGTGGCTTACGGAGCACAAGGTAGGTGTTTAAAGTTGTCTACAACGAATGCATGAATCCTATTGACTTTTGCCCCGCAGATGGCAATGGTGTCCAACAAGTTCCTTGGTGCGTTGGCGGTCAAGTTGGGTCTGCATACACATCTGAAACACTTCAGCAACCCTCTGCAATCGCAGATAACTCTATATGCGGAGGCAATGCAGATCGCGGAAAGCGACAGCAACGGCGCCGTGGATTACTGGGTCGATGCCAATGACCCTCCCAAGGTAGGCCCCAGTTTGGTGCTGAATGTGTCAAGCACGAGCTAAGCTGGAGTCCAGTGCTTGCCGGATATGGTGGAGGCTTACTTAGGGGCCGTTTTCGTGGACTCCACCTTCAACTTCGAGGTGGTTGAACTGTTCTTCCGTCGCTTCATCAAGCCCTACTTCGAGGATATGACCATCTACGACACGTTTGCGAATAAGCATCCAACTGTAAGGGCGGCGCTCCTCTTGATTGCATTTGATCTGAACATTAACGTGAGCTAGACCTTCCTCCACAATCGGCTAGGAATCGAGTATGGTTGCTTAGATTACTGCCTCAAAGCTGGGGAGATGCCCACTGCCGACGGATCTCAAGGAGATGTGCTAGCCGCGGTGTTCGTGCATGGCGCCGTCATTGCCGAAGGAGTCTCCTCGTCCAGCCGCTACGCCAAAGTCAAAGCTAGTGAAAAAGCACTGGTGGCTCTAGTGGGACTAAGCCGGGAGGAATTTCGCCAGAAATATGGTTGCGACTGTCGGAAGGTGAGCGACAAGGCGGATCAAGAGATTGGGACGGCGGTGTGAGGATGAAAGTGAATGCTATGGCATCGGATGTAGATATTTGGACATGACAATTCAGCCATAGCATCAAGCCATTTCAACTACTGTGTACTCCGTACTGTGTAAGTCTTTAGTCCCGACGTCTAGACTGCGCGTGTTGCAGATCCATCCGTTGGTAGGCGAAGAATGGGGCGCGGCAGGGCTAATCCTCAACGGGGAAAGTGGCAGGCATTCATTCCAATCCAGTCCCTCCCGCCCCCTGAAGCTACCGCCTCTTGCCTGCCTTTACTGTAAGTCCAAGTCACCTGAACTTCTTTAAGAGATCCGCGTCCGCTGGTTGGGAAAAAATAAAAAGTAGTGCCTGGAAGACCAACAAACAAACAGAGGCCCGATTGGGGGATGCTCTGGTAAATAACACCACTTTTGAACTGTTTTATCACTGTGAATTCCTAAATCACTATTCCTTGCGCATCATCAACCCCCCTTCGTACTGCTTCACACTCATTCTTTGACCAACGACTCCGCCGTGGTCTTCTCTAGTTCCGACTATACAACAATACCTGGAGCTTGGTTTGATCCCGCGCTGCCGAACCGATACCACCGCGACTTTCCTCCCGTCAACAAATCCGCTTCTTCCGCTGACCCCCTCTCTTTCCTCCTAATTCTAACAACAAAACCCCCGTACTCACCTCCAACCTCTATGGTACCGGCGCGTCGTTGTACATAAACATCTAAGCTATGGAGGTTGTCAGTGCCGAGGTCTCCAACGGGGTCTCGCCATCGGCGCAGACGACAGCTTCGGTAGATCCGAGTGCTGTCATCCAGTATTTGATCGGCGTGTTGCAGGTGACTCTGGGCGCTCTGAAAACTGAGCTGGAAAGCACCGGAAGCTTGCTATCCGAGGCCAAATACAATGAGACTGTGCAGCGATGTTCCCGGTTTGCCTCAGAGTCGCAGGTCGCTCTCTATGTGCAGAAGGACCTGGTGCCCGCGGAGGAGGCCAACGGGGCCGACGTTGGCGAGGGTACGTCTTCCCCATCACGCCCCATGTTTTGTTGCGAATTAACCTCGATAACCAAGCTACTTGGCGCAGAAGCATCCAGTCACTACATGTACAGCCTCTCCGCCGAAATCTCCTCCGCCCCGACCACCGTCGCCTCCGTCGCCTTCATTAAGCGGCCCGCAGCCATCGATCCGTCGCTCCCCATTTCCTCGCAAATCCAGGTCATTAACCTGCCCGGTGTGGCAGCCTCAGGCACCGCCCCGGTCCAGCAAAGCAACTCCCTTTCACCCTACGAGATTCTACACCTGGTGCTTCACCATGCGCTCAGTCCCTACTTTGAAGCCTACACCCGCACCCAGGAGGTCGCTGGCGGATCTAAGCCTCGGACGGATACAGAAGTGAAGACTGGAATCCCTGGCACCAAGAAGAAGTTCGCGGAGCTAGAACTTGGACTCTTGCATCTGCAGCAGAATGTCGAGATCCCCGCCTTGAATCTGCCGCTTCATGAGGTAGTTCAAGGGGCGCTTCTCGAGGCCGAAAAGCGAGGAGTCCGGCCTTCAGTGGAGTTGATCAGCCCCACGATACTGGAGAGCAGCGCTTTCATTAACAGTATTCAGAACAATGTCAACGGCTGGATCAGGTCGATTCAGACCATCACCAAGATGTCTCGCGATGCCGACAGTGGATCAGCAGCTCAAGAGATCAGCTTCTGGCTGTCGATGGAGACTGCCCTCGAAGGTATTGAGGCTCAACTGCGCGGTGACGGCGTCCAGTTGACGATGGATATTCTTCGCCATGCCAAGCGTTACCAGGCGACTCTCAGTTTCGTCGCGGACACAGGTCTGCGGGAAGCCACTGATCTGGTACAGAAGTACAACCAGCTCATGCGGGACTTCCCGCTGGACGAGCTGTTGTCGGCAACTACGCTGCAGAAGGTCCAGGAGTCTCTTAACTTAATCTTCAACCACTTGAACAAGAAATTGAAGATTTGTCCCTATCCCATCAAGCGCGCACTTTCCTTGGTGGAGGCCATTTCCGGAGATCTGGACACAGCTATCCATTCCCTCCTCCATGGCCGCACTATCCTCCATCTGGACTATCGTGAATTTCGATCTCTGATGAAGACCGCCGGAGCCATCTGGAGAACCTGGGATGAGAATCTGAAGGAGTTCACCAATGTTGCTCGTGAGTCCACCAGACGCCGTAATGAGAAGTTCATTCCGATTAAGATCGCGGCACGGCACGAAAAGACCCTGGAGCGACTGAAGTATATCAACACTTTCAGAGTCAACCATGAGCAGCTCCAACGAACAATTGTGAACGTTCTCGGTCCAAAGACTACTTCTGCTGGAGACGCGGCCGCCGGAGCTGGTTCTGATGGGGCCGTCATTGTCGAGGAGATTGGTGATGTCGACGCTGTTGAAGAAGTCGCTCAAGCTTATGCAGCCCTGAAGAATGTCGACGTGCTGGACGTCTCTCCCGCTGGCACGCAGCAGTGGATCAAAGAAGAGATTGCCTACAATGAGCGTACGTCTCGAGTTGAGAACTCCATCATAGCCCGCCTTCGGGACCGTCTCGCTACGGCGAAGAACGCCAATGAGATGTTCCGTGTTTTCTCCAAGTTCAATGCTCTCCTCGTCCGCCCGAAGATTCGAGGTGCCATCGGTGAATACCAGACACAGCTCATCGAAAATGTCAAACAAGACATTTCTTCCTTGCATGAGCGCTTCAAGCAGCAGTATGGTCACTCCGAGGCCCATGCAATGGCGCAGTTACGTGATATGCCCCCTGTCTCGGGTGCCATCATTTGGGCACGTCAGATTGAGCATCAGTTGGACGGATACATGCGCAAGGTTGAGAATGTTCTTGGAGAGGACTGGCACCTCCACACAGAGGGACAGAAGCTTCAGGCGGAGAGCAATTTGTTCCGCAAGAAGCTAGACACGCGCCCAGTCTTTGAGTCGTGGCTTCAGGATGTCCAACGGCGGCATATCACCATTTCGGGCCGCCTTTTCAACATTGTCCGCAACCGTGCTGCTGGAAATACGCTGGAGCTTACTGTTAACTTTGATGCTCAAATCATTGCCTTGTTTAAAGAAGTAAGAAACCTTATCTGGCTCAATTTTCAGGTGCCCCACGCCGTGAGCAACATTTCCAAGGAAGCGAAGCGGGTCTATCCCTTTGCAATCAGCCTGATGGAGAGTGTGCGTACCCTGCTGCAAACAAATCGCTCGATCATGACCATGACTGAAGTCGCGATTCTGTTGAATGGATACGTCAACGATGCGCAAACCATGATCATCAAGGGTGTCCCCCTGAGATGGGAGTCGTTTGTTCATTCGTATGAGCTCCACGTCAAGCAGTCAGCGTTGGCGAACGGTGCCATCGAAGCAACCATTCCAACTAGAGGAGAGAGCAAGCATGTTCAATTCGTGCGGGAATTTGCTGGCTCAGCATCTGTACTTCAGTCAAAGACAGCGGTCTTGGCTTCAATCAATGAAAGTATTCAGAAGGCGATCCATGAGCTGAAAACGTGTCCCTATGATGCTGCTGCGTTTAGGCAACGCTTAGACGCTATTCAGGTTGCAGTCGATAAGCTGAATCTGGAGAATTATGTGAACCTTGGATTCTGGGTCGCCAACCTAAACCAGAAGATCGAAATGATCCTGCGCGAGCGGCTGCATCGTGCTATACGCGAATGGATTCTCTCGTTCCAGGACGCAACCGATAGTCAACACACCATGCAAGTGTCTAGTGGAGTACAGACCGGGGAAAATGAAGCCTCCTTATACAGTATCGAGTTTCCTGGTCTGGTCCATGAGATTTCCATGCGCAACCAGGTGCTCCACCTAGATCCGCCTCTGCAGTACGCTCGTGCAAGCTGGTTCGCTCATTTCGATAACTGGCTGGGTATCATCTGCAATCTCGAGAAGATCAAGTCGTCTAGATACCAGATCTCAATCGACGTGCAGAAGATCCAGCTCTCCGAGGCATGCTTCGCTACTCTCCCTCAGCATTGCACGAATGAGCTGAACCAGGTCTACAACGCAATCGAGTCGAGACTGAAGGATGTTTCGGCCTATGTCGACAAATGGCTGCAGTTCCAGTCCCTGTGGGACTTGCAGTCGGAACAAGTTTACGACATCCTCGGTGACGACCTATCTCAATGGTTGCAGCTCCTTCAGGAGATCAGAAAGAGTCGGGCCACCTTTGACACCTCGGAAGTGAGCCGGTCGTTCGGTAACATCAAGATTGACTACGAACAAGTTCAAACCCGTGTCAACTCTAAGTATGACCAGTGGCAGCATGAGATCCTGCTGAAGTTTGGGTCTAAGCTCGGAGGCCGAATGAGGGAGATTCATTCTGAGATTGCTACTGCCCGCCGGGACTTGGAGGGCCAAACTCTCGAGGCTGCCTCTACGGCGCATGCTGTCTCGTTCATCACGATCGTTCAGCAATGTAAGCGCAAGGCTAAGGTCTGGGAGCCCGAGGTCGATCTTTTCCGTCAAGGTCAAGCCACACTCGCTCGGCAGCGGTATCAGTTCCCCAGCGATTGGCTTCACGTTGAGAATGTTGATGGCGAGTGGGCAGCCCTGAATGAACTCCTTGCACGGAAGAGTAAGATTGTTCAGGATCAGACTGAAGGCCTACGTGCGAAGATTGCGGCCGAAGACAAGGTCATCGGTGACAAGATTACCGAGGTTATCAGCCAGTGGAACGAAGAGAAGCCTGTGTCCGGTACGATTCCGCCTGAGGAAGCGTCTCGCACCCTGAGCTCCTTTCAGTCTCGTTTGGAGTCTCTCCAGTCCGAGTATGAAATGGTTTCCAAAGCCAAAGAAGCTCTCGATCTTCCCGCGGGCGCTGAATCTGCTTTGCCAGCCATTCTAGAGGAAGTGCAAGATTTCATGTCTGTCTGGGCCGCTCTGTCGACCATCTGGAAGAGCCTAAATGATTTGAGAGATATGCTCTGGACGAGTGTGCAGCCGAGAAAGCTCCGCCAATCGATCGATGGATTGATCAAGATGACGAAGGAAATGCCCAGTCGCATGCGTCAATATGCTGCCTTTGAGCACATTCAAAATGTTCTCCGTCAGCTACTCAAAGTGAACCCTCTGCTTTCTGACATGAAGTCTGAGGCTGTTCGTGAGAGGCACTGGCACAAGATCTACAAAGCATTGAAGCCAGGCAAGAGGTTCTCCCTTGTCTCGTTGACACTGGGTGACGTGTGGGATCTGCAGCTCGCTGTTAGCGAGACGATTATCCGTAATATTATTGCGCAAGCGCAGGGTGAAATGGCGTTGGAAGAGTTCTTGAAATCAGTCCGCGAGACATGGCAGAACTACTCTCTCGACCTTGTCAACTACCAGAACAAATGCCGTCTCATTCGAGGGTTTGACGACCTGTTTGCCAAATGTAGCGAGAATCTGAACTCGCTTCAGGCGATGAAACATTCGCCCTACTACAAGGAGTTTGAAGAGGAGGCTTCTTCTTGGGAGGACAAACTGAACAGAGTGCATGTTCTCTTTGACGTCTGGATTGATGTTCAGAGACAGTGGGTTTACCTTGAAGGCGTTTTCACCGGCAATGCGGACATCAAGCACTTGCTGCCTCTTGAATCGAGCCGCTTCCAAAACATTAACTCTGAGTTCTTTGCTGTCATGAAGAAGGTGTACAAGTCACCTTTCGTTCTGGATGTCCTTGCCATTAATGGCGTCCAGAAGTCTTTGGAACGTCTGGCTGAGCTCCTGAACAAGATCCAAAAGGCCTTGGGAGAGTATCTCGAGCGTGAGCGTGTGTCATTCCCTCGTTTCTACTTCGTTGGTGACGAGGATCTGCTCGAAATCATTGGTAACTCTAATGACATCTTCCGCATCGCGAAACACTTCAAGAAGATGTTTGCTGGTCTCTCGGGCGTTCTGATGGACGACGAGAACAATATCCTTGGGTTCACTTCCAAGGAGGGCGAGGAAGTTCGACTCAAGAAGGAAATCAACCTGGTCAAGACGCCTAGAATCAACGACTGGCTGAGTGCAATTGAAAGCAACATGAAGTTGACCCTTGCTGAGCTCCTGGCGGAAGCAGTGGAACAGTTCGCGCCACTATACAATGCCTCAGAAGTTGACCACACCGCGTTCAATGAGTTCCTTGCCAACTATCCCGCGCAAATTGTTGTTCTTGCCAGTCAAGTCGTTTGGACCAGTGCTGTTCAGAAAGCCTTGGAGAACGGCGGAAGCACTCTCCCTGCTTTGTTTGATTCTCAAGTTCGAGTACTGGAGCTGTTGGCCGCCACGGTCCTCGGCGAGCTGGATGGAATCACCAGGAAGAAGTGTGAGCACATGATCACAGAATTTGTTCATCAACGAGATGTGATCTCCAAACTCATCTCCATGAATGCTTCCACCCCGACGCACTACCTGTGGCTCCTCCAGATGCGCTACGTCTACCATGCCGAAGGAGACTTCCTTCAGAGACTGTATGTCCACATGGCTAATGCGAAGTTGAACTACGGATTCGAATACCTAGGTGTTCCTGAACGCCTCGTCCGGACTCCTCTCACAGACCGTTGTTTCCTCACTCTCACACAAGCCCTGTGTCAGAGGCTGGGAGGGTCTCCTTATGGACCCGCCGGTACCGGAAAAACGGAGTCCGTCAAAGCACTTGGTCTTCAGCTGGGAAGATTCACTCTTGTCTTCTGCTGTGACGACACTTTCGACTTCCAGGCCATGGGTCGAATCTTCCTGGGTATCTGCCAAGTCGGAGCCTGGGGTTGTTTTGACGAGTTCAACCGTCTCGAAGAGAGAATCCTATCGGCCGTGTCTCAGCAGATCCAAAACATCCAGATTGGTCTTCGGACTGGCGAAGACGACGACAAAGCTCAGATTGAACTTGTTGGCAGACGCCTTTCTGTCAACCCTAACACGGGTATCTTCATCACCATGAACCCTGGCTATGCAGGACGTTCCAACCTCCCCGACAACTTGAAGAAACTCTTCAGGAGCGTGGCCATGTCCAAGCCGGACAAAGAGTTGATTACCGAAGTGATGCTTTTCTCCCAAGGTTTCAAACAAGCCAAGCTTCTGTCGAAACAGACTGTCCCTTTCTTCGACCACTGTTCCACTCAGTTGTCTAAGCAGGCCCACTACGATTTCGGTCTTCGTGCCCTCAAGAGCGTCTTGGTCAGTTCAGGAGGTCTGAAGCGTACCAGAATCGCCAGCTCAGATGGTGACCTGGGGCCGGATGAAATCATCGAGCCGCAAATCATTGTCCAGAGTTTGCGTGAAACGATTGCCCCCAAGCTGGTCCGTGAGGATGTGGATAGGATGCTTGAGATCCAGAGACAAGATTTTGCCGGTGTCGAATACGTGCCTGCTAATTATGAGAAGCTCACTGCAGCCGTTCGTGAAATCGCCAAGGAGCAACATTATGTCGACAGCGAAATGTGGATCACAAAAGCCCTGCAGCTCTACCAAATCCAAAGTATTCATCACGGTGTGATGATGGTGGGCAAGTCGGGTTCCGGCAAATCTGCTGCATGGAAGATTCTCCTGCAGGCCCTCCAGCGCATCGAAAATGTCGAAAGTGTTTCTCACATCATCGATTCCAAGGTCATGTCCAAGGAAGCACTGTATGGTAGCCTGGATCCGACTACTAGGGAGTGGACCGATGGTCTCTTCACTGGTATCCTCAGAAAGATTGTGGACAACCTTCGAGGCGAGGACGCGAAGCGTCACTGGATTGTCTTCGATGGTGATGTGGATCCAGAGTGGGTAGAAAACTTGAACAGTGTTTTGGATGACAACAAGCTCCTGACCCTTCCGAATGGAGAACGTCTGAATCTGCCACCCAATGTCCGGATCATGTTTGAAGTGGAAAGCCTGAAGTACGCGACGTTGGCCACGGTCAGTCGCTGTGGTATGGTCTGGTTCAACGACGACACGGTTACGCCTTCCATGATGATCTCGAATTATGTCGAGTCGCTTCGGACCCGAACATTCGAGGATCTTGACGACGACAGTGCTCCTGCTGGCCAAGTAGCAATCAAGACCCAGGACGCCCAGGAGATGCTTTCCAACATTCTCAAACATCTGTTGCAGACTGATGAGCTTGTCCTGAAGTCTCTCGAAGAGGCTAAGAATTACAACCACATCATGGAGTTTACCAGTATCCGTGCGTTGAACACTTTGTTCAGTCTCCTCAACAAGGCTTGTCGGAATGTTCTCGAATACAATATCCAGCACGTTGATTTCCCTCTGGACTACGAGCAAATTGAGGCCTATATCTCCAAGAAGCTTCTCCTTGCGCTTGTGTGGTCATTTACGGGTGATTGCCCGCTGGCGGACCGCAAAGCCTTTGGTCAATTTGTGTCTGCTTTGACAACAACCGATCTCCCTCTTGACGGCTCGTCGTCTATCATCGACTTCGATATCACTTTGCCTAAGGCTGAGTGGACTAGCTGGCAATCCCAAGTGCCCACTGTTGAGATCAACACACATTCCATCACTCAAACCGATGTGGTCATTCCGACGGTGGATACTGTTCGCCACGAGGACGTCTTGTACTCCTGGCTCGCGGAGCACAAACCTTTGCTTCTGTGTGGTCCTCCGGGTTCCGGTAAAACTATGACACTGTTTGCTGCCCTTCGGAAGTTGCCCAACATGGAGGTTGTTGGTCTCAACTTCTCCAGCGCGACGACTCCTGATCTTTTGGTCAAGACTTTCGAGCAGTACTGTGAGTACAAGAAGACTCTCAATGGCGTTGTCATGTCTCCAAACCAGATTGGCCGCTGGCTGGTCATCTTCTGTGACGAAATCAACTTGCCTGCGCCCGATAGATATGGAACCCAGCGTGCGATCTCCTTCCTGCGCCAGCTTGTCGAGCAGAATGGCTTCTGGAGAACCTCAGACAAGACCTGGGTCACCCTCGATCGTATTCAGTTTGTCGGTGCATGTAACCCTCCCACCGATGCAGGACGTACTGCTATGGCCGAACGTTTCTTGCGTCATGCTCCCCTTATCATGGTTGATTACCCTGGAGAGATCTCACTCATGCAGATCTATGGGACCTTCAACTCTGCAATTCTTAAGATTCTTCCTTTGTTGCGCGGATATTCCGAGTCCCTTACGAAAGCCATGGTTCGATTCTACCTGGAGTCGCAAACCAGATTCACGCCAAAGATTCAGCCGCACTACGTTTACTCGCCGCGTGAGCTTACGAGATGGGTTCGTGGTGTCTATGAGGCTATCAAACCACTTGAAACTCTCTCTGTCGAGGGTCTTGTTCGTATTTGGGCGCACGAAGCATTGCGTCTCTTCCAGGATCGACTTGTGACGGAAGAGGAGCGAGGCTGGACCGCGGACGCTGTGCGCCGTATTGCACTTGACAACTTCCCTACCATTGATGAAGAGCAAGCTCTGAAGGGTCCGATCCTGTTTTCCAACTGGCTTTCCAAGAACTATGTTCCCGTCGAGCAAGAGCGCCTGCGTGACTTTGTCAAGGCACGTCTCAAGACATTCTGTGAGGAAGAAGTTGACGTGCCTCTCGTTCTGTTCAACGACGTGCTTGAGCATGCCTTGCGCATTGACAGAGTTTTCCGCCAACCTCAGGGCCATCTCATTCTCATTGGTGTTAGCGGAAGTGGTAAGACCACGCTGTCGCGTTTTGTTGCCTGGATGAACGGCCTGAAAGTGTTCCAGATCAAGGTGCATGGAAAGTATTCTTCGGAAGATTTCGATGATGACCTTCGAACTGTTCTTCGCCGCGCGGGTTGCAGAGGTGAGAAGATCTGTTTCATCATGGACGAAGCAAACGTTCTTGACTCCGGATTCCTCGAACGTATGAACACTCTCCTTGCCAACGCCGAGGTTCCGGGCTTGTTCGAGGGCGACGAGTTCTCCTCCTTGATGACCGCTTGTAAGGAGGGTGCCCAGCGTCAAGGTCTTCTTCTCGACAGCCAGGAAGAATTGTACAAGTGGTTCACACAGCAGATTGTCAAGAATCTTCACGTTGTGTTCACCATGAATCCGCCGGAGGAAGGATTGTCATCTAAGGCCGCAACCAGTCCCGCGCTGTTCAACAGATGCGTTCTCAACTGGATGGGTGACTGGTCTGACCAGGCTCTGTTCCAAGTTGGCTCTGAACTCACGCAGTCGGTCGACTTGGACAAGCCAAACTTCGTGGCTCCTGATAGCATCCCCGTGGCTTACCGCGAGCTCAGCCTACCTGCATCTCACCGCGATGCGGTTGTCAATTCTATGGTCTACATCCACTACTCGCTACAGAGATTCAACCAGCGCTTGCAAAAACAACAAGACCGGACTACATACCTTACTCCTCGTCACTATCTCGATTTTGTCGCCCAGTATGTCAAACTCTTCAATGAGAAGCGTGAGGATCTGGAAGAGCAGCAGAGACACTTGAACGTCGGTCTCGAGAAGCTGCGCGATACTGTCGACAAGGTCCGCGATCTTCGAGCCAGTCTTGCTCAAAAGAAGACGCAGTTGGAGAAGAAAGACACGGAAGCCAACGAGAAGCTGCAGCGCATGGTTGCCGATCAACGAGAGGCCGAGCAGCGTAAAGCTATTTCTCTCGAGGTTCAAGCGGCCTTGGAGAAGCAGGAGAAGGAGGTTGCGCTCCGAAAAGAGGTCGTCCTGAACGACCTTGCTAGAGCGGAACCTGCCGTGTTGGAGGCTCAAAAGAGTGTCAGCAATATCAAGCGTCAGCATCTGACGGAAGTCCGTTCGATGGGCAACCCCCCTGCCAGTGTTCGACTTGCCATGGAGGCTGTCTGCGCTCTGCTGAATAATAAGACCGACAGCTGGAAGAGTATTCAGGGTGTCATTCGCAAGGATGACTTCATTGCAAGCATCGTCAACTACAACAACGAGAAGCAAATGACGAAGCAGCTCAGAGTAAAGATGCAAGCCGAATTCCTTTCGAAGGAGGACTTCACTTACGAAAGAGTGAACCGCGCCAGTAAGGCTTGTGGTCCTCTTGTGCAGTGGGTTGAAGCGCAAGTCAATTACTCCGAGATCTTGGATCGCGTTGGACCTCTCCGGGAGGAGGTCGACCAGCTCGAGGAGCAGGCTCTCCAGACCAAGGCTGAGGCCCAAACCATCGACAATACCATCCGGGATCTTGAAAGCAGTATCGCGACCTATAAGGCAGAGTATGCCGCACTCATCAGTGAGACTCAGGCTATCAAGACAGAAATGGCAAGAGTGCAGTTCAAGGTCGACCGCAGTGTTCGTTTGTTGGACAGTCTCTCGTCGGAACGCATCAGATGGGAAGAGGGAAGCAAATCATTCGAGACGCAAATTAGCACCCTTGTAGGTGATGTGCTTATCGCCGCAGCCTTCCTTGCTTATGCTGGTTTCTACGATCAGCAGTTCCGCAAAGCCATGATCGATGAGTGGGTCAACCAGCTGCAGCAATCAGGCATCAGCTTCAAGCCACACAATCCTATAACCGAATACCTGTCCAATGCCGACGAACGCCTGACCTGGCAGGATCACTCGTTGCCGGTTGATGACCTCTGCACTGAGAACGCCATCATCCTCAAGCGCTACAACAGATACCCTCTTATCATCGATCCTTCTGGCCGCGTTACGGAGTTCTTGGAGAAAGAAAGCACCGATCGGAAACTCACGGTTACGAGCTTCTTGGACGATTCTTTTGTCAAGCAACTGGAAAGTGCTCTGCGGTTTGGCAACCCCATTCTTATTCAAGACGCCGAGCATCTGGATCCCATCCTGAACCATGTTCTCAACAAGGAATACCAGAAGACCGGTGGCCGTGTGCTCATTCAACTCGGCAAGCAGGAGATTGACTTTTCCCCCTCGTTCAAGCTGTTCCTCTCCACCAGGGATCCGTCTGCCTCCTTCCCTCCGGATGTCTGCAGTCGAACCACTTTTGTCAATTTCACGGTCACGCAGAGCAGCTTGCAGACGCAGTCTCTCAATGAGGTTCTGAAGTTTGAGCGCCCTGATGTCGATGCCCGGCGGACCGATCTGGTCAAATTGCAAGGCGAGTTCAAAATCCATCTTCGTCAGCTTGAAAAGCGACTCTTGCAAGCGCTCAACGAGTCCCGCGGCAATATCCTGGACGATGATAACGTCATCGAGACGCTCGAGACATTGAAGAAGGAAGCAGCGGAGATCTCCAAGAAAATGTTGGAGACCGAGGGCGTCATGACAGAGGTCGAGAATATCACGCTCAACTATAGCATCATTGCCCGCTCTTGCAGTGCTGTCTTTGCCGTGCTGGAGCAACTTCATCATATCAACCATTTCTACCAGTTCTCCCTGCAGTTCTTTGTGGATATTTTCAACTCCGTCTTGTACCAAAACAAGCGTCTGGCCCAAGAGAAAGACCATGCTGCACGCGTTCAGATCATCCTTCGGGACTTGTTCGTGACGACTTATCAGCGTACCTCGCTTGGATTGATTCAGAAGGACCGCATCACGTTGGCGATGCTCCTTGCTCAAGCCGCACCCTACGCCATGGATAAGAGTCTTATCGACATGATTCTGGATGAGTCGATGGAGGGCGTGGACCTTTCTACAGTCCCTGAGCGCAAGGATGAGACGTTGAACAAAATCTCCAACATGTCCATCTTCAAGTCAACCTTCCCGGCGATCATTCAAGAGCAGTGGGACCAATTCCTTGGCGAGGAGTTGGCGGAGAATTTCATTCCTACTGTGTGGGACGACAACACGGAGAATCTGGACAAGCTGCTTCGGTCACTCTTGCTGGTGAAGCTGTGCAGGATGGACAGGTTCGTTCCCACTGCAGAGCGCTTCATCGAGGCCGTCTTTGGTCGGGAGTTGTTCGAGGGAAGCACGGATCTGAAGGATATTGTCGACCAGGTCACGGCCACGACGCCAATTTCTCTGAGCTCGAGTCCTGGCTTCGACGCGAGCTACAAGGTCGACGCCCTTGTCGAACGTATGGACGCCACGTGCGCGAACATTGCCATGGGATCCAACGAAGGTCTGGAAAGTGCCGACAAGGCAATCAGCAACGCGGCCGCCGCTGGCACCTGGGTTCAAGTCAAGAACGTCCACCTGGCGCCGTCCTGGCTGCAGAGTCTGGAGAAACGATTGGAATCACTCAAGCCCCACAAGGATTTCCGCCTGTTCCTGTCGATGGAATCCAGTCCGAAGATCCCCGTCAACCTCCTGCGTGCCTCGCGCGTGCTCATGTACGAGCAGCCCGCTGGAGTCCGCGCCAACATGAAGGACTCGTTATCGTCCCTGTCCACCCGAGCATCCAAGGCCCCGGTCGAAAAGGCCCGGGTGTACTTGCTGCTGTGTTTCCTCCACGCCGTGGTGCAGGAAAGACTCCGTTATGCCCCTAATCTGGGATGGAAGGGCTTCTGGGAGTTCAATGACAGCGATGTAAGTTTGATTTCCCCGTCTCCCACCACCAAAAAAAGCCCCTACTAACCCGTTCCCCCTCTTCTCTTCGCCGCAGTACGAATGCTCCGCCCACATCATCGACTACTGGGTCGACACCGTCGCCCAAGGCCGCTCCAACGTTGCCCCACAGAAACTACCGTGGGAAATGATCCGCACCCTCGTGACCGAAACCTACGGCGGCAAAGTCGACGACCAGGGCGACTTCAACCAGCTGGAGTCGCTGGTCACCGACCTCCTCACCCCCGCCGCCTTTGAGGACGAGCACACAATCGTCAACGCCAGTAGTAGTGGTGGTGGTGGTGGTGGTGGTGGTGATTCCGACGGCGGTAACGGAGGAGGCGGCAGCCTCGTTCTCCCGAGTGGGACTAGCATCCGCGACTTCGTCGACTGGGTCAATAAGCTCCCCGAGCGCGAGCCCCCGACTTACTTGGGCTTGCCGGCCAACGCGGAGAAGTTGTTGCTGGTCGGCCACGGAAAGAAGATGATTTCGGATTTGGCCAAGGTGACGACCTTGTTGGATGAGGGGGAGCAGTTGATGATTGAGTCTTAGGTTGTGATGAATCGGCGGAAGACTTTCTGGGGGGGAGGGTTGAACTTTTGAGAATTGGGAGTGGCAGTGTGTCTGGGAAGCTGGGGTTATTGGATGCGTTGATTTGGTTCACTTTCAGGGGGTGGATGGATGGATGATGGATGGTTCTGTTCTACTCCTGTCTTTCTTACCACTACTTAATCTGTTCGGATTGGAGGATGTGAAACTACGCTAGAATTGGGGAAGAAGAGAGGTAAAGGATTTTAGATCGGGGGAGGGGAGAGGAATGATTGTATTTTAGATGTGTACTGTACTGTACAAATCCTATCTTATGTCTTGTGAAGAAACTGTTTGAGCAAATTCATTTCGATGTGCACTTATAGAAAGTACACACTGCCAGGTAGTGGCTGAACCTCACTGGAGACCAAAGCGGAGAGGATGTATGTAGTTGTTAGCGAATCAACTGAAGCAGAAGCATCCAATCGACGAGGGTTCTCAATGATCCCAAGCAACAAGTAACGAGCAACGAGCAACGAGCAACAAGTAACAAGCAGCACGGAACAGAAGGTTAACAGTCAGACCCAGAGCCCATACAGATTGCAAGTCCAAAGACTACCTCTTCCTCCGCAAGAAAACAGAACAAGGAATTAGCCAAGTGTTTATCATAGGTGAAGCAATCCCTGTCCTCAAATTCAGGTGTAGGCGAAGTGTAGATGCAGATGCGCGAGAGGGCAAATGTTGAACTAGTTAAATCCGTAGATCGGGCTTCCCATCTAGCGTATCTGTTAGTTGTGGTCGATTTGACCCTGTCTGGACCTGGAGGGACTGGTTATATGGGAGAAGGGATTTGCTTTCTTGCTTGCTTACCTGGTTGAGCACGAAGACCACCTGTGTCCAGGAATTGCAATTGAAGGTAGTTAGTCCTATGTGGTGGTATCCCATCTCTTGCTCTTGGGGTCTTGGGATGGTTCTTACATCTTTAGAAGTCACGACCTGTTCACAATTTGTTCGTTACATTAGCTGATTTCTGTCGGGGATCGGGGAGAAGATCATAGACTCATAGACAGGAGAAGCAAATCAGGGTCCAGCACAAGACAAACGGGCAAGGTATAGTCCAACCCTCAGGACAAAACACAGCTGTGATTGTGGCACACGAAGGAGTAAAAGAAATCTCAAGCAGAAACATACCTTACGCTCATGTCCCGGAGTAGTGGCGCTGTCCATGACATGCACGATGCGGCGTATTATCTATAGATATGATCAGTATCTAGAGGGCGCAAGATGCGCTATCCCTCAAAGCATATTCAGCTTACTTCGGTCAGCTTATCTTTGAGAGCTTTGCGAGCCTCGTCATAAATAGTGCCGCTAATGCGCGCGACTCCACCACGACGGGCGAGGCGGCTAGCGTTTGACATGGAAGTTAGTCTGGTGTGGCTTCCTGATGTTGAGAAGATGCATACCGAAGGGCAGGACGAGCTCATGATCTGTTAGTATAGTCACCATCCTCATCGGCGTGGACAGTTGTTGACTTACTGACACCCTGGATATTGTCACGCTGGAGCTTCCTGTGGGATCATAGTTAGTAGATAAGAAGGTATGAACAGGTGAGAACTGCCACAGAGGCCATCACAAGGTACCGAAACTTCTTCCTCGGTGGGAGGAAACTCTTGTGTTTTCCACTTTTCGTGAGTAGTTTCACGTCCATTTTTAGAGTCTCCAAGGTTGACAGGCAGTATTAGAAGAGCAGGTGGTTTGGTCAACTCTGGAAAGGAGATTTGACTAAATGCAAAGAGTGGATGTGGATGGTTTACAGGTCTCAGGACGGAGTCTCAGGAAGAAGAAATATCTGTGTTGTGAAGTGTTGTGCTGAACGACGATGTCATCGAGGGGAAGTCTCGGCGTGGCACCCAAGGGTGACACTCAAACAAAACAATCACACATAACAGTAACATTAAATATCGTGGATAAATTTATAGGCTATTAGAATCAATATCTCGTTGCGGTGCGTGTGGATGCATCAAAGAGGAGTGTGAGAATAAACACCATTCAGAACGCCTGGTCAAGGTCCGAAATCAAGGCCTCCATCTATGAAATAAAAGTCGCCTCGGAGAACAAGGTACCCTCCTCGGTGATTTCTTCATCGCCGATCTTGAGCTTCAAAGACAGCTTCTCCTGGGGAGAGTACTATAACTTGTTAGTTCGTCGACCAGACATGAATGACCACTCGATACATACCTGGAAGATGTACGGCCGGGTGCCCGCGACACTACCCGCAATGGTCTTAATGAAGCCGGGAACCTCGGCCATCACATCAATCCGGTCCAGTCGGTTGCCCAGAGCTCCGTCGACCTCAGCATGGACCTCCTTGCCATCCTTGGACTTGCCCTCCCAGACCCACTTGATGGACTTGGGCTCGGGCCAGTCACTCTCGGCATCTTGGTTAGATTCCGTGTGGGTAGCTGTGTTAGTGCTGCCGGCATAGACGATCTCTCCGTCCTTGACGATACCACCAACGTTGACCACAGTTGATCCATAAGAGGGAGGCGTCGTGTATTCCATCATGACGGCGGAGTAAGTAGGCGTCTGGAAGTTGAGGAAGTTCCATCTCGCAGCTGTCCTTTGTTAGAATGCACGTCTATGTACCACCCGCAAAGTTCACTTACCCGCGTGGTGAGGCTTCATGCCCTGAAGCGCGTGGATGAACAGACCGCGACCCTTGAGGTCAAAGTTCTGCTCCTTGGTGGTGATGGTACCCTCCACGGCGCAACGAGGCCAGAAAGCGTGGCTCATCGAGCCCCAGGGGTTCTGGGGATCAGTGCCAAAATATGAAGTGCCATCTTTGCCAACAACGAAACCCGGAGCAGTGCGCTTGAACGTCAAATTCACCAGGCTGTCCTCATTCACAGCCGATTTGATCGTGTAGGTATCTCCTTCCTCATTCAGCGTCACAGCAAGGTTATCGGCGCCAAAGGAAAGCATGCTCTCGTCGAACATGAAGTTGGAGAGGGGGTCGGAGTGCCAATTGTGGGGGGCATCACCCTTCAGGTTAAAGATCTTGGAGGTGAACTGAGCGGTAGTATGGATGCCACTAGTTCCGAGCAGATTCCAGAGTCAGTGATGCTGGCGACTAATAATAAGCGTGCCAAAGGGGCTTCCCACTCACACAATGTTGCTGTAGATGACCTGACACAAGGCGAGGGTACCATTGTCGCCCATGACATAGAAGACGTGGGTCTCGACGTTGGTATATTGGTGAGCACGCCAGCGGAGATCATCCTTGGTGAGTTCAGTGTAAGGGGTTTCCTGCGCCTGCTGAGCCACCGATCTGATCGCCTCCGGGCCATAGATCGGTTCCTGAGTACCAGCAACGCTGGCGAGACTAAATAGTGCAAGTGGTTAGTATATGAGGGAACACTAAGCTAGCAGCTGAGACGGTCAGCACAAATCGACGTACGTAGACTTGAGCCAATTCATGATGAGGTTCCTTTGTATGAGAGAGACAGGAAAAGAGTAAGGAGGTGTGTGTGTGTAAGAGCAGATGAAGCACAGGCGGTGGGGGGGGGGCGAGGAGGAGAAAAGAGCAGGAGGGATTGAAAGGTGGGCGGGCACTGGAAATCGATAGCCGGCGGGGCCTAAATAGGGTCGATCACCGTCTGGGTCCCGGAGCAGGTGGTGTGAGAGATGAGGAAGGACCGGGTTGATCGAGAATTGGTGGAGCGACCAAATTGAAGTGAGGAGAAGTTGAGAACAGACGCTATGAAGCCCACGACCTCAAAGAGCTGGCAGTGAGCAGGAAATTCATAGATTGTCGACAGGCAAGTATGGAGGAAGAATGACGTCCGCATTGAAGGTCGGGATGGATTCGCTTCTCGCCCAAACGGCAAGAAACTCCGGTCCCCGCCGCCTCCTTTCCTCTTTGGGAACCCCAAGAAAAGTTCCAGTTCTGAAGGCCGGCATCCAGAGTCGTGATTCATGATTCATGGAACTTGTTGTGTTGATTGTCCCTCTCAATTCAACCTTGAATATCTGTCATCCACTCCCCGATAGTTATCCATCATGGCGAAAAAGGCATTGGCTAAGGATCAGATTGTGAAGCTGATCGTGGGAGCTGGTCAGGCCAGCCCCAGTCCTCCTGTCGGTCCGGCCCTGGGTAGTAAGGGTGTCAAGAGTATGGATTTTTGTAAGGTGAGTGCAAGATCCACATTGAAGCTCTGCTGTGCTGTTTCGCGATTCTACCAGCTTGGGTTATGTGTAGCCAAACCCATGGTCGGGCGAAAGAGTACACATGGCTTACGAGTATCCGCTATCTAGGAGTTCAACGCTCGCACTGCACACATCAACACCGGGGTCCCCGTCCCGGCCCTCGTCACCGTCCGTCCTGATCGTTCATTTTTCTTCGATCTCCGGACCCCGACCACCACCTACCTCCTCCTGCAAGCTGCCAACGTCGAGCCGCGCAAGAACCGCATTCGCGGTGCACAAAACCCCGGCCACGAGACCGTCGGCACGATCTCCCTCAAGCACGTCTACGAAATCGCCAAGATCAAGCACTCCGAGACGAGACTGTCGGGCCTGAGTTTGCAGGGTATGTGCAAGAGCGTCATCGCCCAGGCCAAGTCCATTGGCGTGGAGGTTGTACCGTGAAGGGCAGGCCGGGGAGGTCATTGAGATTGATTTAACTGTATTGTATATGGGATCACTTGCTACCGGGCGATTGTTGCTCGCTATCTGGGACTGATGATCATGGCGTTCTTGGGGGCCTGGGTCTGTTGCCATTTGTATTATAGGCATTGCATGTGATATAGAAAGCGTTGGCTGGTGCCTGAAGCGTTCTACCTCAAAGCCCGATCCTACTTTGCAAAGCGTAAGGGCTTACTGGGTGGTCCACAGAGTCCACAACCACTGGTCGGTTAAGGTAAGAGAGTACTAGTAGTATTGCATGATGAGGAGGAGTCGGTCTTGGCTCAAGCAAAGAGACTCCTCCGTGTTACCGACAGAACTACCACCGTCACTGCGCCAAGCTCTTTCCGCCGTTCATGGAGCAACCTGAGAGCGGAAAGGAAGGTAAGTCAGAGACGAGGTGCGAGTCGCAAGGGGCCAAGAGGCGGACAAGACTGCACCCGGTGTAATGAGGCATTAAACAGTCGTCTGTCAATTCCGCCAAGTAAGGCCAAGAGGAGGAGTTGACGCAACCTCGTAGCTATCCCAGTATCGATCACTGCGATCGCCTAGGATACAGCGGACCTTGTTGAATTTGAAGGGTCACCGAGGGAGGCAGTGCAATCATTCCAGGCTGGGCTATAGCACTTGATTACTTGGCGAGCGCGGAAATAGCCCATCTCAGGCAAGTTTTGATGATCATATTATGCTTGGCATTCCTTGCCTCTCTATTTCCGGCGGTGCTTTGTGCTCTGCATTTTTCTGGTTTGATGTCTGATCTACGGAAGGACGATGAAGTGGAAGTTGCAGCGACTGTAGGTCGAGAGCAAGGAGAGGGAGGCTGCAGCAGTCATAGCGGAAATCCAATTCCTCGATCTCTAGTCATCTGGCGATGATCGTTGCAGGGGAGATCGGAAGATGGTGATTATAGCCTAAAGGGATCCGCACCGACAGGGATGTGATGGATGGATTGATTGATTGATTGATTGATTTGATTGATGGATTGATGGATTGATCCGGCCGTGTCTACTCCGTAAGGCTGCCGTTGAGCTGCCTATATCTCCCTGTGCTGGAAGGAACTTGGATCTTCCTCCATCTTCTGGGAGAGATACCAGTTCCAAGTACCATAAGAATTGTCTCTACTAGTTTCCCAGGTAGGACTGTCAGTTCATGTTCAATTGGTTTCCCAGAGGGGTCATAGGCTATAGGCCATAGGGGAAGCAGATGCAAGGATATTGGAAGATAGGTGGTATTGATAGATACGATGGATACGGAATTTGTGGGGACGAATTAATCATGGTTCAATCCGGCGGGGGGGACCGATCAAATAATCATGTGCAGAGCAGGGAAGGGGCTGGTTTTAAGCCCACCCCAGTCGCGATCCAGAAGAATCTAGCGGGGTACTTTCTTCTTCCCATGTCTGTCCTTATATTATAAGATAACTTTTAAGCCGTATACATACCTATGAATCATCGATCGGCATCTCGGCACCTATTTTATTTATTCATTTTCAATTCATTCATTCATTGATTTAGCAGCTGACTGCCTGCTTTCGGCCAGATGACAGCTAAATTCTGATAGCCATTGTTCTGATAACAGAATGAGTTCATCCGGTGACTCCCTCCCCTCCCCCACAGCAAGAAATCAATTCATGGTTCTCTCCGCAGAATCCCGAAGGTAATGCCGGTCGTGTCTCTCCATGGCCAATCTTCTCCGCACGGGGTCCGATGATGTGAACTGATGTAAACTGATGAAGAGGATGAAGACCCCGTAAGTAGGCAAACTCACTCAGTCTACTGGCAGTTCAGGAGTTGAACCGTGCAGGCAGTCAACTCAACAGTCACCCTTGAGGATCTCCAAAATTCTAGACCCCGGAACCGGTCAACTTGGCCCATTGCAGCCAGCTTTAGACCAGCTTTAGCTAACTATTCCAGCTCATTTCTTGTATTCCGTAAAGAGATCAAATTCGTAGATTGTATGTACTCCGTAAACTGGACAGTACACAACTAGAGAGAGTCCGTGCCGCCGCTATTGCCGCCGCCCGGCTGGATTTTGCTTCGCTGAACGGCGGCTTCTCTTTCTGACTTTCTTCTCTCTTTTCTTTTCTGCTCTGACTCTCAAATTACTGTTTGACTCTCTCTCTCTCTCTTTCTCTCTCTCTCTCTGTCTCTCTCTATCTCTCTATCTCTCTATCTCTCCCTTTTCTCCAAGTCTTTCTACCGGGTGGATCCTCCGCCTCCACTTCTTTCCCTCCCCATCTCTTTCCTGCTGCTGTTGTGGCTGCCCTTTTCCCCTTCTTCCCTCCTCTTCTCCCCCTCATCCTTCCACCTCTCCGTTTCCCACTTCCAGATCCTCCCTCCACTTTCATCCTCCCCTCTTCTTCCTCTTCCCTCTCACCCCTCGACCCTCCCCTTTCATCTTTTCTTTCCATATACTCTACTTATTCTCAATCTAATTGTCAAATTCACTCTCGCATTCTAACCCCCCGAGTCGAGTCGCATAACTTGTCTTGCCTTCCATCTCGTCTGCTCTGCCAACAAAGTTCTCCGGTGGAAAAAAAAAAAAAAAAAAAAAAAAAAGAAAAGGTGGTGACCGTTTCTGGCCCCAAGATTGGCTCCGTTGTCGTGCATGGGAAATCTTCCGTGCAACTTCCCTCCTGTCCTACTCGTCGCCTCTCACTGCAGCCCACCTGATCGCAAAGTGTTTCATTTCTGGTTTTTACATTTATTTAATTATTTGTGTGTTCGTTACCATCGTCGTGGTCGAGCGGTTTTTAAACAGGCATTAACCGTGGAGGGGCATGCGTCCCACAGCGTGGTTTTGAGCCGAGTATGACGTCTGAAGCAACCGATTTTGCCCAAGCGAGCAATCCCAGTGATCCTGGTAAGCTCTCTTCTCCCGCTCGCGACCAGGCATTCTCCCCCACACCCAAAACCCACCGTGCAACCAACTCCCTAATGCCATTTGCCTCTCGTTCTTAGCATCATCCTCTCCTCAACCTTCCAGCCAGATGGCTTCTGGTCCCAACATGGCCTCGGGAGACGTCGATCCCAGGCTCAGTTCTCAACCCGGACAGGTCCGGTTCTCGTCGGTAACGGAGGAAATTGAGCCTACCGATCCGGCCTCTTCCGTCAAGGCTCCTGTAGCGGACTCAGTTCAAGACGCGCAGCATGAGGATGAACTGCGGTCGCTGGCTGCGAGCTTGCAGCGGTCGCAATTGCAGGAGAACCGGTTACGCCAGTTTTCATACGATCCCATTTCGTTGCCATCTTCCAGAGTATGTACTCCTGATTCCTGGGCGGTGAGAGGTTCTTGAGATGGCGCAGCGTGCAGCCAAGAGCATTCCATCTCGGTGGATCGGTTTCCCCTCGCATTTGAGCCTGCATGACCCGTCTAGACCTGGCCAGAAGCTGACCCTGGCAACCCTCCTTACAGGTTGCCTCCCGGGAATCGAGCGACCGCAGTGGACGCGAAGCAAATGGATCGGGCTTCCCCTCGCCTCGAGGTTCCCCACCAGTGTCCGCCATGCAGTCACCCCCGCTGACGCCCGCAGCCACACATTCACGTGAATCCAAATCCATTGATACTTCATCAACATCTAATGCCACCGATCGAGCTGGCCATGCCCCTCAGTCCACCACTATGACACCCACAACGTCCCCGCCCGTCAGTGCTACCGCCCAAAAGAAGGCTCCCCAAAGCGCTCCCTCCTCGCGGCCGTCCTCGACCGATCAACTGTCGAAACAGAACCAAGTGGCACAGACATCCTCGCACCCACACAACGGCGCGCGGCATCGGGCGCAGTTCTTCATCGGCCCCGGCGAGGGGTCCCAGGAAGAAAGTCCCCCCGCTACCCCTCGCGGCGATCCCGAAAGCTACACCCCTCCGGGTGCCATCACGCCGGTGGGGGAGCCGAATGACCCCTATGCTCGCAGCAAGCGTCCCCCGCAGCCGAAGAACCTTGCCCAACTCGACCCACGCTTCATCTTCGGCGGTCGAGACTCTAAACGCCGTACCACTACATCGGCCTTCTCGCGTCCATTGAGCCCCCGTTCCTCCAGTGCCACAGACTTGCGGTCCAGTGAGAAGCGCAGCGGCTTCTTCAATACGAAACGTGAACCACGACAGCAGGAACCGGAGGGAAAGATTCATGGCCACATGTCGGAGCTGAAACGCTTCTTCAAACGGAACCACCACAAACACAAACGAGGTGACTCACCGTCTTCGATTCCCTTCAAGAAACCGAGCCGGTCTTCGGCGAAGGGACCGTTCCACGCGGCAACCGACAGTGTCCCGTTCGCCGATGATCACGGTCTCAATTCCAAGTATGGAAAGCTAGGCAAGGTCCTGGGTTCGGGAGCCGGAGGTTCGGTTCGGTTGCTCAAGCGGAACAGTGACGGCGTGACGTTTGCGGTCAAACAATTCAGAGACCGTCATTCATGGGAGACCACGAAAGAGTACTCCAAGAAGGTGACTGCGGAGTTCTGCATCGGGTCCACCCTCCATCATGGTAACATCATCGAGACCCTGGATATCATTCAGGAAGGAAGCCATTGGTATGAAGTCATGGAGTATGCGCCGTTTGATTTGTTTGCCATTGTCATGACGGGTAAGATGGTCAAGGAGGAGGTTGCGTGTGCTTTCAAGCAGATCCTCAGTGGAGTCGCCTACTTGCACGGCATGGGTCTGGCCCACCGTGACTTGAAACTGGACAATGTGGTCGTGAACGAGCATGGTATCATGAAACTGATTGATTTCGGAAGTGCTGTGGTTTTCCGATACCCCTTCGAAAACGATATCGTCCTCGCTTCTGGTAAGTTTGCTTGCTTGTCCGACGTGCGATGAAACCCCACGCTTACCACGTCGTGTAGGAATTGTTGGTTCCGATCCGTATCTTGCCCCGGAAGTCTACGACGAGAAGAAATACGACCCCCGCCCGACAGATGTCTGGTCCCTGGCCATTATCTTCTGTTGCATGACTTTGCGCCGGTTCCCGTGGAAACAGCCCCGTGTCAGTGACAATTCCTACCGACTGTTTGTCTCCACGCCCACTCCTGGAACGCCGGTGCCGGAGGTGGACCCGAAACGCCACCGCGCCGTCAAATCGTCGCCTGATCTCATCACTGCTGCCCACGAAGGCAAGTCTCAGCCCAGTATCAACACCGACGTTTCTGGGCCATCAGCTCAAGCCCAACAGCCTGCTGCTGGCGAGGAAAATCAGCCTCCTAAGAGCCCTCAGGACAAGCCGTTGGTGACCAAAGCCCCGACGGATAGCAAGAATGCGAATGCCACTACCCACAAGCCTTCCCGTACCACGAGCAAGGAGGCCCCTCCACTTCCGGCGAACGCCCAGGCGGCGGCCCAGCGCCAGGAGGTCATCAAGGGGCCCTGGCGTCTTCTCCGGCTTCTGCCCCGCGAGAGCAGGTATATTATTGGCCGTATGCTCAAGGTGGCGGTGAAGGAGCGCGCCACGCTGGATGATGTTTTGACCGATGAGTGGGTGCGCAACATCAAAGCGTGTCGGCAGGAGTTGACCGGCGAGGTCATTCATGCTCCCGGCCACACGCACGTCCTGGAACCCCCTTCGGCCAGCGTGCCCGTTCCCAGCAAGGCCAAGTGATTTTCTCCTATATTTCTCACTGTATAATCTCTTCGACAGTCGGAGCTACCAGGGTGTTTACGTCCCTCATGTTTTATAATTTCCTGGCCCGGTCTTACTACCTCGTTATTGTCCTCTTCGATTCGTTTACATTGATTCCCTCCGACTACATTTGCTGGTCTCGGTGACCTAACATGATCTGGTCGATGTTTTTCGCTTAATGGCGGGGTTTTCTGTGCAGTCAGATATAATTGCGTGCTCGATGGTAATCTGTGCTAGGCATGGATGATTGTTGATATTGTTTCCAAGACCCTCGCCGCGTCGCCGCGTTGGAAGAGGGTGGGGGTTTCCTTTTATTGTTCGTATGGATCATTTTCAATCTAGGCGTTGCGGTGACTGTCGGTGGAACGGAATTGCTCCAGGCATCATTCTTCCCTATAGAGGGTTAGTTGCTAGAAATATTGCCTTGTGCCTTGTGCTGTGATGTTCATTCTTCAGAGCCTTTTCCAAATTGATGGTCGTTCGATGGTATTTGAGGCAGTTGTGGCTGAGTAGAGTCAGGAGTTGCATGGAAGCATAGTTGATGATGAGTATAACTCAATAAGTTACATGCGACTGGGGAATTGACGTAAGGCGGAGATTGCGGAGTTAGCCGATAATCGGAGGTTGTCGATCCGCCGACCTCTTTTTCGACGGCTTCCCGGCCAGAGCCTGCCTGCCCACGACCACGTCCCGCTGACTGGGCTTTTCAGAACACGCAGCCGCCTATACGAGGAGGAGATTGGTGATTCCTGAAGAGCTGCCATACTACGAAACTAACAGCTCCATCCCGGCCCAGTTCGCCCGCGTCGTGACGATTCACCCGCCTCCATGGCGTTTACCTCGGAAGCCGAGCCATCGGTCTCGCTATGGACACGATCTCTCATTGTATGCCTCCAGGTCTCCCGACCTATTCCTTCGGAGTATGAATGCTGATCTGGGGCTGTGGCCGCTCAGTCCGGAGCTGTTGCAGGGCTGACGGTGGATTGCTCGCTGTATCCCCTCGACACGATCAAAACCCGCCTCCAGAAAGCGCGCACGGCGACCCCTGCCCGCGCCGCTGCCCCCTCGGTCCCGCCGGCCGTCTCCCTCCGTCACACGATCCGCGGCATCTACGCCGGACTCCCCTCGGTGCTGTTTGGATCCGCGCCCTCGGCCGCTTCGTTCTTCATCGTCTACGACGGAGTGAAACGCCAGCTCCTGGAGCAGCCCTCGAACATGAGCGCCTCCCCCTCCGCCCCCACCCCTTCCCGCACCCAGATCCTCTTCACGCACTCCCTCGCCTCCTCGATGGGCGAGATCGCCGCGTGCGCGGTCCGCGTCCCCACCGAGGTCATCAAACAGCGCGCCCAAGCGGGCCTCTTCGGCGGCTCCAGCGCGGCCGCCCTGCAGGACATCCTGGCGCTGCGGCACACGCCCGGCGGCGGGTACGGCCAGGTCCTGCGCGAGCTTTACCGCGGGGCGGGCATCACGATCGCGCGCGAGATCCCGTTCACCGTGCTGCAGTTCACCATGTGGGAGAGCATGAAGGAGCAATACGCGGCGCGGCGGCCGGGGGAGCTGGTGCCGGCGAGCACGAGCGCGATGTTCGGGAGTGTGGCGGGCGCGATCGCGGCGGGGTTGACGACCCCCCTGGATGTGGTCAAGACGAGAGTGATGTTGGCGCGGCGGTCGACGGGGGAGCAGAAGGTGAGGGTACGCGAGGTGGTGCGCGAGGTGGCGGAGGAAGGCTGGGGGGCGTTTTGGAGGGGGATTGGACCCCGTGTCGCCTGGATTGGGATCGGGGGGGCGGTGTTTTTGGGGAGTTATCAGTGGGCTTGGAATGGACTTGCGGGGGGGAGAAGGAGGGTGAGAGAGGGGGATGTGGTTTAGGGTCTGATGGGGGGAAAATGATCGAGTATAGATCGGTTGATAGATGGGATGTATAGATGTTGGTTTAGAGTGAGGGTATGTATGTAAGTTATGTAGTATGTAGTATGTATAGTACATGCATGATGCAGGTGAAGTTAATGGGAAGATAACTCGGGGTAATTCTCTCTCAACATCCCCTCGAACCCATCCTCTCCCCCCATAGCCCTCGAGAAAACACCCGGTGGTGTGTTCAGTGTTGATATACTATCCGTAGTGCTTCTAGGATTCGTATGGTATGGTATGCATACAATGGATATTGATTGATACTCTGGATGATATGGGTAGAGGTTGATACTGGTAGTGGTTGATAAGGGGTTAGTCTGGCATCAGGATGATATCAGTTGTGGGGCGCGTATCCTCTGGATTTCTGTTTACTTGAATACTGGGTTGGAATTAGTGGTACATAGTAGTAGTCCTGACTCCTGAGTGCGATATTGTTATCCGCAGCTGGGACTGGGGATTTTCTAAGCCTCTCAAGTAGCTGTAGTATATGATTCGCACTCCGCAACATGTAGAATACCACCAGATTGGGGACTGGGGGGGCTCTGTAAGGTGAAAGTGCTTGACTGTCTGAATTACTGACTCCAATAGAGAGCGTGAATAACAACTAGCCTCACGTGCTGTGATAATCTAGAGAATGAATTATCATGCGAATATTGAATATGATCAGTGACTGTCAGTAAAACTAACTACACCACCGTTCAGTGTCAGTGGATCGCGTCTCACCAGTTGCCGAACCGCCGCGTGGGATTTCCTCTCATCATCCCATCCTCCCATCCACCATCCATCATTCCACCTTCCCTTCAACATCCTCCCCCACCCCCCAACTGTCTTTATTCCTCCTCTCCCTATACAATCATTCTGTCACTTGTCTGCACGCCATCTCATCGTCATCTCTAATCTCTAACTCCTCTCACTCTGTATCCCCCCATGAATCCCCCCATCCCTCAAACCTGAGTAATTGTCTCCGCACCTCCGTCGACCTCCGCATTGCCTCTGCTCGCTTCTCCGCCTTCACCTGCATGGCGAGGAAACTCAGCCACCAGAGGGTCACCTATGGTCAGTCCTTCTTCCACTCCCTCTCCTGACGCCTTGATCGCTGCACGACTCTCGCTGCACAACTCTCTGTCTCCTTCCTTCCTCTTTGTACCCCCTACCCTAACCCCCCGCTTATCTGTCACTGTCGAATCTGCCGCACCGCCTGTCGCACTCCTGCATTCTCCATGCATCCCCGTGCAGATCCCAACTCACACCGATCCCCGCTACAGTGCTCCCTCTGCCCGATGCCCCCGGGGGCCATCGGTTAGGCGTCAATGGCCTGGCGGTCGACACCGACGAGTCCATCCTGTAAGCCCCCCCAAACGAAACGCCGTCCTCGGACCGCTCGGTTGCCTAGACGCCGCTTGCGCCCGGCGCACCCCCCTCCCTCTACCAACGTCACAGCACTAATGCCATCGGTCGCACAAGATACTCCGCAGGGCGCGATGGGGTCGTCTGCTCGTGGGATCTCAATTTCTCTCTCACCGGTTCCGCCCAGCCCGGCAAAACCACCTTTCGCAACCAGGTCCAGGCGCACAGCCACTGGATCAACGACATCGTGCTCACCAAGAACAACTCCGCGCTGGTCTCTGCCTCGTCGGACACCACCGTCCGATTATGGCGTCCTCACTCTGACGCCACCGAGGTGCCGGCGCCCATCGGCAAACATGCGGACTACGTCAAGGCCTTGGCCACCCCCGGAAACCATTCCTCCTGGGTCGCCTCGGGCGGCCTGGATCACAAGCTCTACCTGTGGGATCTAAACGGTGGGGGTGAGGTTCTGGGGATTGATGCCTCTGGGGATGATCGCACGGCCAAGGGGTCGGTCTACGCCTTGGGCGCCGTTTCCTCCGTACTGGCGAGCGGGGGCCCGGAGAACGTGGTTCGGGTCTGGGATCCCAAGTCTGGCAAGCTCATCACGAAATTCGTCGGTCATACAGATAATATCCGCGACATCTTGATCAATCGCGATGGTGACACGATCATGACGGCCTCGTCCGACCAGACCATCAAAATCTGGTCCCTGACCGCGGGAAGGTGCATGCACACCTTAACCATGCATAACGACAGCGTCTGGTCGCTGTACTCCAACCACCCGCAACTTTCCGTCTTCTACTCGAGTGACCGGTCGGGTCTGGTCGCTAAGACAGACACCCGAAACTCCCCGGACATCGAGCAGGGCACCTGCGTGGCGGCCCTGCAAGAGCACGACGGGGTCATCAATGTTGTGGCTGCGGGGGATTACATCTGGACCGCAACCCCCAAGTCGAGCATCCATCGCTGGCACGATGTGGATACCACCGCTGAGATCGAGCCTCCCGCGAGAGAACGGAATGAGCAGAGTCAGGCGCCGACGTCAGCGCCAACGACCACCAACGGATCGCCCAAGAACATCCCATACGAATCCGTCCTCTTGTTGTCGCCCACCTCCACCTTCCCTAATGCACGCACCTTAGACGATGAGACTCCGCGCTCGGGACCAACATCCCCCGGGTTATTAGCAGGATCCGACCTGGAGGATGAGCTGGGTCTGACACTGCCGATGCAGGTGTTGCCCGAGGAGACCATTGAAGGCCAACATGGACTGATCAAATACTTCATGTTGAACGACCGGAAACGGACGTTGACTCAAGACTCGGCCGGCGAAGTTGTTTTGTGGGACTTGCTCAAGGTATCTTTCCGTCCGTCTTGCGAGTGAGGTGAGCGCCCTAACACAATCTAGTGCAAACCAATTCAATCCTTCGGCAAACGACACATGGACGATGTCGCATCCGAGATCAACACCACTGAGAGCATCGCGCACTGGTGCACCATTGACATTCGCACCGGCCGCCTGTCGGTGATTCTCGAGCCTGGCCGGTGTTTCGATGCCGAGGTGTATGCCGACGAGTCCGATCTGGCAGACTATTCCCAGATTCGGGAGGACCAACGAAGTATGCTCTCACCCTCTTTTCCTGGATATGAGGTACTGACTTGGAGCAGTCAATCTCGGCAAGTGGATCTTGCGCTGGCTGTTTGCGCCCTTGGTGCAAGAGCATGTTCAGCGGGACGCCCAGTTTCGTGCCGCCGCGATCGCTAAGGCCGAAGAGTTGGCTCGCCTCACCAGCTCTGGGGCGTCTGCGCCGGTTGACATCCCTTCGGCCGATCCCTCCAGACGGGCGCTGGGGCTGCAGTCGCCTCTCGACCCCTTCGCGGCCACCTTCCGATCTGGGTACGATTCGATCGGTAGCCCGACGACCCCAGGAGGATTCGGCATCGGGTTCGCCGGCAGCCCGGCGACCACGGGATCCCCCATGTGGACGTCCAGTTACATTAACCATGCGAGCCATCTCGGCACCTCGCCCGGGGATTCGACGTCGGAGTATCTCATGTCGCAGTCGCAGCAAAATCCGGACATGACGCGAGCCTCTCTCTCGAGTCGATCCAGTGACTACTTCTCGTCGTCACGGAACCAGGGAATGGGCTCGCTGGACAACGACAAAGTGCCGACCACTCCAGGCGACCCGACGCCGACGGCTCTGCCGCAGTCTCCCGCCGAGCCGGATAAGGAGGAGCGGAAGCGCGGCGCTTCTTTGTTCGGGAAGTTCCGGATGGACTTCCCCCGGAAACTGGGACGGACCTCGTCGGAGGCCAAGCCCCAGGTTCCGGAGGAGAAGGTGGAGGAGTCGGACAAGTCGTCGATCAAGGAAGAACGGGTCTTTGAGACCAACCTGAGTGGGTTTGTCGAGCGCACTCGGCATGAATACGAGGAGTTCATGTCCGCCCACCCCGGCCGGGAGGTGACGTCGGCCTTTTCTCCGAGCCCGGACAATGAAACTCCCGTGCTAGACATCCCCCCTCGCACCGTGGTCTTCATCCAGGAGGAGTCGGGCGACACAGCCGTGGCGTCTGATCTGTATCGCGGCACGGTTGGTCGGATCAGCGAGGAGATTGACAAGCTGGAGAAGTCGATACCGTTGTGGCTCGCCGAGCTGCTGCTAAAGGTAGGGCATCGCATGTGAACGGAATTGGGTGCCAATGATAACTGAATGACCTGCAGAATCAAATCCCCGTGAAAGAGCCCGTCAAGATCGCTTTCACTCTGAAGCCGTACGACGACCTGCTGCCCCCTGTGGCCAAACCCGAGTGAGTTTTTTTTTTTTTTTTTTTGATTTCCCGTGGAAGGTATCGGAGCAAGACTAACCCAGCCAGGCTGCCCGGAAGTCTCAATTCCAACAACAACAACAACCGCCTCAATGCGAACCGCATGCTCCGGGCCAAAAAGATCCTGGCCTACGTGGCAGAACGCATCGATCCCCCCAACCCCAACGAACCGGAGGAGAACCCCATGAAGGCGGAGGAATACCTCGAGCTGTACTGCCAGAAGATGGTGCGTTTTTCTTGCGGGTTGGATTCAAGCCATTTTTCTCCACCCTTACTAACTGCCGCAGCCGATCCCCCCGAACATGACCCTCGCGACCATCCGCGCCCACATCTGGCGCTCCTCGGGTGATATGGTCCTGTACTACAAGGCCAACGGGAAGAAGGAGATCCGCATGCCTGCGCCGGACGGGGAGAAGGACCTCTCGGGAAGCGTGGGGGTTGGGTTGAACGGCGAGGCGGGCAGTAGTGCCCCGCCGGCCAGCATCCGTTCGCACGCGGCGTCGGGATCGGCCGTTTCAGTCAGCAACGCGTAGCTCTAGGGGATGAATTCATGTGTATATTGGTTGGGGGTTGGTGGGTTGGTTGGGCCCCTGTTTTGTGGTGGGCCGGTACATAAATGTAATGGATTTGCGATACCAGCTATTGTGCAATCCTCTAGCGAGCGTGCATTGATTTCTTTCATCAAGTAACAACAATGGTGGGTGGGTGGGTATCTATCTACTACTAGTTACGTCCGGATGTAGTTTCGTTTGTTTATGGAAAGGGAAAGGGAAAGGAAAACAAAGGAGGGAGGAATTCATTCCCATCCCATCTTCCGCAGGGTGCCGGCCCGATCTACCATCTTGTACCGCCATTCCCAGGTTAAAGTCTGGATTATCGAGGCTGCTTCTGCTTCTGCTTCTGCGCCTGTTTCCGCTGCGGGGGTTCGTGCTTGTGCATGTGTTTGACGGAACGGACGCGAAGTGAGAAGCCAGGTATTCAGCGTTGGCAGCGCGAGGGGGATCTCTTCTTCTTCTCCTTCTTCTTGGAGGTGCTGTTCTGCTTCTTCTGCTTGTGTAGATGCAGATGTAGATGCAGATGCTGGTGTGGTATAGACTCCCCCGTCTGAAGCTGAAGACATCCTATCCCCATCCCCATCCCCGGGTCGTAGCCGCCGCCGCCGCCGCATCAAAACCAGCATCGGAACAGTAAACCGAGTCGGACCGGGACTGGCATGGGCGAGAAGGTGGGATAGAGTTAGGGGAGTATTGGGTGTTGCTGATGTTCCTGGATTGGGATGTTGGTTGTTGACTTGTTGAGTGGATTGTGAGTCGGGGTATTGCTGAGTCGTGGTGGTGGTGGGGATTTCACTTTCAGCCTCAAATTGGTGGGTCAAGTTTGTATCCCGGGATCGGGTCTGGGGGTGGTGGAAGGGAGAGTCTGGGACGAAGGATGAGTCTGAAACGGGGTCGAGAACCGCTCGACGAAGATGTTTCAGGTCGCGTTTCTGGAGGGGTCGGATGCGGAGGTGCAGAGTCTCCTCCGCTTGTGTTTTCTTTTTCCTTTCGCTTGTGGTGGTGGTCGGATGCACGTTCGGATCCCGACTTCTGCTTCCGTGATGATGGGCATGGGGGCTCGGGTGGCGGTTGGGACTCTTCCAGCTCATCCGGAACCAGTACCGGTTATCCCAGAGGTGCCAGTCGCTTGTACATCTGTCTGTGTCTGCCGCTGCATGTGACGTGACCTGCATTGGAGACATATCAAGGTCGACATCAAGAACCGGAAGGCGGTTTTTCATGTACGGTTGGCGGGAGAGAAGCCATGCATGCTGATTCAGTGTGCCGGTGGTCTGCTTCCCGGTTGAAGTCCCCTCCTCCGTCTCCGCGCAGAGAGGCTGGAACATGACGCCGCCCAGGGTGAATGACTGCGGCTGCTGCGGCGGCTGCTGCTGCTGCTGCTCCGACAGAAACACCCGCTGCGTGAACCTCTCGAACCCGCGCAGCGCAAAATGATTATCCGGGAACGGAGAGACGAGTTCCGTGATGCGCCGGAGAGTAAGTGCTTGGATCTGCGGCACGCATTGTTCCTTGCTGTCGGCGGCAGCAGCAGCAGCAGCAGCAGCCACCGACGGCAAGCCAGGAAACCTCACCACCGCCACCCCCGTCTCCGGCACAAACCTCTCCACCCTACACTTTTGCAAAAGCTGGTCGGACGCCTCCCACGAGCGCCTCACCAGCCTCTGACTCGCTTCGATCAGCCGTAAGACCGACTCCTCGCGCAACGCCCGCGGCAGCACCCCCTTGCCCAACAGACTCCGGATCGCATTCCGGGGCGTCAGCGTGGGGTCGAAGTTGGTCGGGTCCGACACAAACGGGATGCGGTGGGCGGCGCAGGTCGCCAGGCAGTGGGATTTGGGGAAGGGGAGGAGCGGGCGGAGGATGGGGAGGGTGGATGTTGCTGCTGGGACTGCACCTATCCCTCCCGCACCAGACATCCTCTGCGGTCCCAACGAACTCCTCAACCCCTCCACCTGCCGACTCCCCACCACCCCAAACATCCCATGACACTCGGGAATGCCCGTGACAGCGGGGATGCCGCAGAGGCCCGGGCCGCGCGCCCCCGTGCAGAGCCGCCACAGGGTCGTCTCGACGTTGTCGTCGCGGTGGTGGCCCGTCAGGAGGGCGTCGATGCCGGCTGCGCGGCAGGCGTGGCCGAGAGCCTGGAAGCGCAGACGGCGGGCGTGCGTTTCAAAGGCGGAGAGTTCGGTGGGGTTGAGGGTGGACCAGTCGAGGGGGAGGATTTGGGTTTTGATTCCTGTATACCTTGGTTAGATCGTGTTGTCGTGCCATGCGTGAGTAGAGAATGAGATGTAACGTTTCCAGATAGACGCATGTATACAACCCACAACCAGCCAAACACCAAACGAGGACTACAACCATCAAAACCAGGAAAAGGCGACATACCCATCTCTCGCAACCACCCCGCCACCAAAGCCGCCTCACGCGAACTCTCCTCGCGGGCTTTGTGGTCCACAATGAACGCGGTCACTGACACCGGGGGTGGCGGTTCCTCTGCCCTGCCAGTGCTAGCTATGGAGCTAGCACTGCTGCTGCTGCTGCTGCTGCTGCTGCTGGTTTTTTCCCATTCGCGACAGAGGTAAGCAAGCGCCATAGAATCGGCGCCACCACTAACCGCCAAGCCTAGAGAGTAATCAGTACGGTTGGTCACGATGTAGAAGGAAATCGACACCCATACGTACCCAGACGGGAGGGAAGACGGGGACCTCGTGTAGTCGGGCCCCGGGACAGGCTCGACTCGCGCCATATCCGCTGGAAGGAAGCCACAAACTGGGGGACGGTGATGGCACCAGGGACAGGGTGACGGAGCACTTGGGAAATGGCCATGGATGAAGGCAGGTTCAAGGCGAGGAAAAAGGACGGGATGCACGGCGGAAGGAGGATCGATAAGACGATAAGATGAGATCCGATTGCCGCGCTTGGCATCACTCGTGCGTCTACCACCAATAGTTACGGCAACGCAACAACTATACTATACCGGCCGTAGTTATCTATACTTTAACCCTTCACGGACCAAATCAGACGAAGATATTCATTCTCACAAAAAGTGTAATGTCTCATCTCTTTGAGCCCAACTGACTCATACGTGATAGTAAAGTAACAGCTCACTCCATGACGATGCGACCCAAACCCCCTTCCATCCAAAAGTCCCCTTGCCCAGACTCACCCAAAAAAATAGATATACGAATGCTATGCCCCACCAAAGGAAAGATCTGCCCAATACAGACATACAAACGAAGAAGAAGGAAAAAAAAAAAGAGAATGACGATGCTGGAGGTTCAGACAGGCGACTACTCACTCGCCTTCAGCAAAGCAACCGCCGCTTGCTGAGCGCGCAATCCACCAACCTCGCGTTTCAGCCGGAAATTTTCCTTCTTCAACCGGCCAATCTCTTCCAAGGCCGACGACAGCTGGGTCTTTAACGCTTCCTCTACATTCCCCGTGCGGAAATCGTTGGCCATCTTGCCTAGTTCCGCATTGAATCGATCGTAAAGAGCCTCGTTCTCCGCGCTCGCCTCGCGATAGAGCTCGTCCAGCTTCTTGGCCCGTCGCTCGCTCACGACCAACGACGACTCAAGGTCCTTCTCAATCGCCGCAGTGCGGCCATCCATCTCCTCCGAGAAGGTCTCGAATCGCGCCTCGAGACTTCGCACCCTCGACGCCAGAGCCGCGTTCGCACTGGACGGGGCAAACGGCTCGTCCAGTGCGGTCAGCTTGCGATCGCCCTTGAACGGGGTGGGGTTGAGCCTCAACGCTTGCAGCTCCTCGCCAATCAATGCCAGCTCATCCTTCAGCCCCAGTGAGGCCATGTTCTGTGCCTTCTTCTCGCTATTGAGACGGTCCCGGAGCTGTACCCGGTCAGTTTTGCACGGCACGGCATGGGGAACAGCAGTACCAACCTTTTGGGGGCTTTGCAGACGCAGTTTCGGCGTCCTTTGGGAGCCGAGAGTGGGCTGCAAGCGTCGCGCATCGGCGCCATTGATCGGCATCGGTCGCTCCTTCAAACCAGGCGCCCTCGAAGAAGGAATGCTGGTGGCCCGCGACCGTCGCTTGATATCCGGGGGAGGAGAGACGGAAGCATCGGTCTTCTTCCTCGGGGCTCGGTCAGTTTGGGGTAGTTTGGGGTCGATGTTCTCCTTGCGACTCGGTGTGACAGGCCGGGTCGGGGATCGGCGCGAGGGCGAGGCCAGCCGCGTGGGCGAAGCACTTTTCGCGGGCGAAGTGCTGCTGCGGACCGATCCCGAGCCTTGTTGACTGATCTGCGGCCGGGTCTGCCCCGCTGGCGTCATCGTCTCCGCTCGAGGTTGGGTGGGAAGCGATGACGACGGCGTCATCGGTCTCTGTCCTGGGCCGTTGGATATGATCGACACGTCGGATGATGCGGTCCCTGGTCGCATATCCGACAAAGAACTTCTTCGTCTTCGTCGAATCCTCACAACACCGTTAGTGGATATCCCCCGAATCGAGGACAACGACGAAGCCTCATCCTGCGAGCTTCCGGGCCGCCGGAGATGCTCTTGGGAGGTGGACGCTCCCGGGCGGTCGCGCGAGCCTGGTCGCAGCAAAGACACCAACCCCGTGTCAACGTCAATGGACCTGGATCGGAGTAGCAGGGACCCTCGAGGCGTCCCCGGCTCGGAATCGCCAGAGCCCTTGCTTTTGCTCAGCGTGCGCAGGATGGACGATACCTTACTCTCGGTCTCCGACTTGGAGTTATCCCGGTGCAAACTGAATCCGAAACGCTTCCGGAACGACGAGGCATTGGAATTCATCGAGCCCGCAGTCTGGGACACCGACTTGGTTGGGTCGCAATTGAGCGTCCCTTCCAAGTCTGCGCCTCCAGGGATATACTCATCAAACAGGTTATCAAAGTCATCCACCAGACGATCCAACAAAGAAATGTACTGCATCGGATCTCCCTCGACCGTCAAGACCTCCGCGAAGGCGGCCGTCAGCGCTCCACGATCTCCATCATTTCCCGAGGCGTCCAGGAGCTCGGCCAGTAACCGAATCATCGAAGCGAGCGCTCGGCGATTCTGCGGACTCATGTCGGCCAGGAACCTTCGGAAACTCTCCTCAAAATCCCGGGGAAACATGCTGTCGAATTGACTTTGCAACGAGCTCAACGAAGCCGAATCCATCACGGGCCCCATATGTTCGCGCCAGGCATTCGCCATGAAGGTCTCAAAAGCCACGAACAAGGTGTCGACAGGTACTTCGGCCGCCGCCTGGATTTTGCCTGGGTCCTCCAGCAGGATATTATACAGCTCGTTGACCGACGAGCGGTCGACGTTGTCTCGACCACGGAGTGATCGTCCTACGATGTTGCCACTGCGCGATTGCAGAGCAAGAGCAAACGCAGCAAAGGTCTGTTCGAGAGCGCTGAATGGACTTTCCTGCCCCTTGGAAGGGGGTGCGCCAACCACAGAGATCTTGACCGGACTCTCTTCCTTTCCTGGGAAAGCAGACGGCAGTGTGTTTGAACGGGGTATGTTGCCTCGAGGCGGTGGCATGCGAGGGAATTCGCCCAGCAGTGCGGCTGAGCTGGGCATTTTCACACTGCCCGCATTCTGCTCCTTGGACTGGTGGCCGCCCAGCAAAGAAGACAATAGCTTCGAGGGGGACGGTCGGAACTTTTGCGGGACCTTGAAATTGACCATTAGGTGGCTGGCGAGATACCGCAGGATCTCAAAGTTGGAATGCACAATCGATTCCGTCATGGTCCGGTTCTGGGGGCCATGCAGCGGGAGTAACACATTCGACACTAAGATTGGTCAGCAGAGAAAACACCTCCTAACAGCGCTGATTGACTTACGGCGCTTGGAGAGCACGGCAACGAAACTCTCCGCAGTGACAAGATCAGAAGAGGCGTTGCCCACCACGGAGTCGATGTCCACGCGAAACTGGTCCTCGCCTGCCGCGGAGACCGATACAATGACCTCGAGGTCGGAATTTGACAAGGCTTCGCCACAGACTGCGCGGGGAGTGTTGAAACCCACTCGAATTCTGGATGAGCTGGGTCTTTTGGTGGCCATGTCCTCCTCCTCTTCGAACACGCACGCCAGGACACCCAGGTTGGCCACCGTCCCCGTTGGACTGCGCAGGGTCCATTTTCCATTCTCCCGCTCGCTCTCGGAGAATCGACCTTCGATCTTCGCTTTAACAATCTCCTCAATGATGCGACTGGCGCGACCTTCATACATGGAGACTGGCTCCAAGGCGAGGAGGTCGACGGTGGTGTTCTGATTGGGCCGCGACTTCACCGACATGGGCGCCAGGAACAGGATGCGTCCACAGGAAGACTGCATGCATCGAACATTATGCAAGTCATACACCTGGACCACCCGCAGCTCTGGTACCATTGGCGCATTGGTGGCGGCCGGCGTGGCTGAGGCGGCGTTGTCGAGATCTGCCATGAGACCGCGCGCGGTCGATCGACTTCCCACTGCTTTAGACAACAGGACTAGACAATTCTTATAGATCAACATGATTCCCGGGCTAGGCTCTTCCGTGAGGTCAAGATGATACGGCGGGGACAGCTCGTTGAAATCCACCGCTGTGATGAGACGGCCGGTGGGCAGGATGGTGGAAGGCCAGCCGTCTACCAGCTCCTTCAACCGTCGGAAACTCTGATCGTGATTCGCCGTCGAGGCATCGTCGAGGGAGCAAATATCCTTGATGACATCTCGCGCCTTCAACAGGGGGCGCACGGCCGGGTGGACCAGCGGCAGACTACTCGTCATGGTGTCGATGAGGAGACTATATCGCGGCAGCCGCTGCACCGGCTCCATGAGGAGTGAGCGGAGCTTCTGCTCTCCGGTCTCGTACACGCGCTTGGAGAAACTCGAGTTCTTATCTCGCATGAACGAGTTCAGCGTCTGGGTGAAGCCGGTATGGGCCCGCATGTAGTCCGCATACGGCTCGGAGAATTGCGGGAACCAGTCCAGGAGTGCGTCCGCGAATGCCACCGCACCGATGGTGTCTTTCTCCTCCCGAGACGATGTCCGTTGCGACAGGGAGGAGGAAAGCTCGGTATCTTCCGTGAGATCTGCAATGGCGTCCTTTTCCGTTTCTTCCAAGACCTGGCGGATCACGCTCAGGAACCCCATGTTCACCTGGAGAATTTCGTTCAAGCAGGGAGGGAAGAGAGTCGCCAAGGCAGCTTCGTCCGGACTCGTACTCGATGCATGGCGCGATTGGGCTTTCATCCGGTATTCCTCCGCGACCTGGCAGACGAGGGTGTAGAGCTTGTTCACATATCGCTCCTCCGTATCGACCAGCTCGCACATGGTCAATCGCAAGGCCTGTTTTTGACTGGCGGAGAATATCTTCGACTTGCTGACGTTGGTCGGTTGGGAAGGGGCGCGCTTGAGGCGCGAGGTGGGAAGGAACATGGGGGCGCCCAGGGTCTGAATGAGGGCAGTATAGGGGCCATATCGAAGGTCGGGACCGTCATAGAAGTCTGCGTTACCATCATAAACATTATCATCATTATTGGGCTCGGATGCTTGAATCGTGCCGGCAGGCAGGACGACATCGACATCGACCCAAGGCACTTGGCGCTCCGGAAAGGCCCCTCGGATGTCCCGCACGAGCTCAGAGGTGTGTTCGACCTTTGTCATCCGGTTCGCCAGATCCGCCGCATGCATCTCGTCGAAGAGCTTGGGAACTTTGGCGCCGGGTTTCCCCGCGCGGGCCATGGCCTGGAGGCATTCCTTGGCGGGGTCGGACAATTCTGCGAAGTACTTCAGCATACTGACAGCCAGACCGCGACTGACCTCGTCGCCTTGCTTCTCGCGGGGCAAGTGGTTCACGGCGGCGTATAGCGGGGCGGCGGGGGAGATGGTGATGCGGGGATAGCTCTGCAAGCCGGCGGGGGTGACGATATGCGCCTGGATGCGCGAACTGCTGACGGTGGCATTGGCGGTAGCTACTGGACCGTAGAAGACGAAGACGGAGGCAATGTAGGGGTCGGAGGCGTGGTAGAGCGACAACTGTTCGAGCGGCAGGTCCGCAGGGGCGTTGGTGACAGTCGCCATGTTGGCGGAGAGGGCAGGAGCTGAAATCGCATGCAACCGTATTGGGAAGAGGTGAGGAAAGAGCGAAAAGCCAAGCAGGTCACACAGGATTAGATTAGACACAAATCATACAACTGTGAAAAAAAAAAGATTATAGATGGCGAGAGAAAAAGGAAATGAGTTCAAGATTGGTTTAGTCCCGCAAGACGGGGTGTGTTGTTGTCTTGGGGATCAGCAAGTCCAGGAGTGTCGGAGAGAGGGTGGAAACAATTAATGATTGACCAAAGACATAATACTATTTCGGGCGTGGCGCAAAAAAAAGGAAAAGTAACGAAGGACAGGCGTCAATCAATGCGAACAGTAAGAGAAGGAAACCCCCTCCATTAGCAGCAGAATAAGGAAACGGAGAATATGAATAGAGAGAGAGAGAGGGAGAGCTAGGGAGAGAGAGAGAGAGAGCGCGCGCACAGGAGGAGGGGGGGGGAGGAGAGGAGGAGAAGGAGGAGGAGGAGGAGGAGGGGAAAGAGAGTGAGAGAAGAGATAAAGCAGAGGAAAGTCGGAGAAGAAGAGGAAGACGAAGCCGGGACGGTTGGGTTGATGGATGGATGGATGGAGGTGGAGAGGGACGCGTTTCTCGGCGGGCGCAAAGCAAAGAAGCCTGGACAGGGTGGGATGTTTGTTATCGGGAGGTGAGAAGAAGCAGCAGCAGCAGCAGCAGCAGCAGCAGCAGCACAAGAAAGACGCAGAAGAGGGGCAGGATCAGGCTAGACAAGGGCGATGCAGGGGAAAGAGGCCGAGGATGGATGGATGGATCGAATCTCTACTTCTACAATCAAGGATGAGTGGCTGGCCGTCAGCTCCTTCAGCTCCGCTTACGAGTGGTGATTGGTTATCATTACAGCTGAGATGGAGAAGACATGGTCTATATTTGATATTGGATATCAGGGTAGATGATGATCGATGGTACTCCGTAGATTGCCGCCAACTAAAACTAAAAACATGGAGCTGGGATGCATGTTGAAGTTGACAGGAGCTGTATCCATGGACACGGACACGACACGTGTAGGGACTGTAAGGAAAAACGGTCAACAAGTGACCACGGGGGAAAGGGAATAACTCCGTAGAGGGGTTCAACGGTTTTTGGGAATTCTTGACATCATCATTATTTTGCCGAACACAAAGGGTTCAACTTCTGCCTGCCTGCCTGCCTTACGCCGGGCTGGAAGTTGCCCGACGAGAGAAGAGGAAGAGAGGATTGAAGCAAGTTGAAGAAGAAAAAGAAGAGGAAAGGGAAATTTGGTGGAGACGAGGAAAAGACGGCACACCGCCCTCAAACCATGGATCTTCCCTTGGCATCCAGACAATCTTATTTTCCACCCCGAGCCACAGACTACAATTGAAAGGAGGCTGGGAATATAACTTCGTCATCGCTGCCAATCCGCGTTTCCCCCTCCATGGGCCTCCATGGGAAATTGAGGTGACCCCGTCACTGCCAACTTCGCTTATCTCGTGGGTTTCAGCTTGTTCCTTCTTCCCAGTAATGTCGTCTGCATGGTGGGGATGAAGGAGACAATGATGCTGACAAGGGTAATCCATTGAGCAAGGCTAGTTAGTAGGGACGATGCGGATAGAAATAGTATACTATCTTCTCCACCGGGTAGTGGTTATTTCAGAGATCTACTGGTAAGTGTCCTTCATTCTCAGTAGATCTATACTCTCAGCTCCATAGTATCACAATCATTCACCAAGTAAGACTACACAGACGGTAAAGTTATGCATTGTACTATAACATACTATGTACGTAGTAGTACTTCTTCCTCCAATGCCACCCCCGGGGTAGCTAAACACACACTAAACCTCATCGGGACAGATGCGATCTCTCCGCCTCGGCGACCGCAGACAGAATAATCAGTCCGTCCCGTACTGACCAGCTGTTCGAGTTCCCGCTTTCGCATCTCCAGTGCCTTTCCACGCTCTCTCTCTCTCTCTCTATCTCCCTCTCTCTCCTCTCTTCCCTCTCTACAAGGCCATGGTTTGAGATTGCTCCTTCGCTGAGCAATTTCCTTCCGCTCTCTGACCGACTTAGACTATCTTGAAATCTCCCCCTCCCTTCTCCTCTTCCCTCGTGAATCCCCCCCCCATTCGTTATGTCGTCCTCCGCCCTCCCCATAGCGGTCGACCCGGTCGCGTTGGTGATCACTGAATGTATCACCGTCACCTCCGCTATGCGGAAACACACCCGCTGGGCGCACTCTTCGGTTTCCGCGATTCTAGGAGGGGGCGCTGTCTCACGAGTCTACGACCGGGATAGCTCGACTCCCCCGAGTCCGCGGAATGGCAGCACCCCCCCGCGTCCATCATCCCGCTTGTCCGTCGCTGACGATGATCATGTCTTGGCCAACCGATGGGGCTTGAGAGGGAAAAAAGGCAAGAGCATGCAAGATAACCCCCTAATCTCTGCATTTACCAGGTTACGGAGCGATCTCAAGGGCTGCAAAAATATCCGAACCTTTGATGCCCCCGCCTTGCTGCATCCGTTCCTCCAAGTCGTCCGTTCCTCCTCCACCTCGGCTGCAATAACATCCCTGGCCCTGGTGGCCCTCACCAAATTCTTCGCCTACGAGATTATCAGTCGGGATTCGCCCAGGCTGCCGATGGCCATGCAACTCCTCTCCGCCGCTATTACTCACTGTCGCTTCGAGGCCAGTGACTCCGCCGCCGACGAAATCGTCCTGCTGCGGATCCTCAAACTGATGGAAGGCATGCTGTCGCGGCCCGAGGGCGACTTGCTGGGAGATGAGAGTGTCTGCGAGATGATGGAGACTGGTCTGAGTATGTGCTGCCAGGTCCGTCTGTCGGAGGTTCTGCGGCGCTCGGCGGAAATGGCCATGGTCAACATGTGCCAGGTCATCTTCTCCCGCCTGACTCACCTCGACGCCTCGCAAGCCCTGGAAACAGAGTTGGAGACCCGAGCACCGAAGGACACGGAGCAGACAACAAATCTCAAAATGGACCCTTCGGTCGATGGAGACACAGTGACCTCCCAGCACCCTTCCGCTATAGGCTCGGATACGGCCGTGGCAGAGCAGGAGCGGAGCAGTCGAGACAGCACTCCCGACCAGTCGCTGCATGGAACCGCCGTAACCGCTCCGCCCAATCCTCAAGACGACGACGGCGAGGAGGTCAAACCATATTCTCTGCCCTCCATCCGGGAATTGTTCCGAGTTCTGATCGATCTTCTGGACCCGCACAATCGCCAGCATACGGAACCAATGAAAGTCATGGCCCTCCGAATCATTGATGTGGCCCTGGAGGTTGCCGGCCCATCGATTGCAAAGCATCCAAGCCTAGCCAACCTGGCGCAAGATGACCTGTGTCGTTATCTGTTTCAGCTGGTCCGGTCGGAGAATATCGCCATCCTGACGGGTTCGCTGCGCGTGGCAGGCACCTTGCTGCTGACCTGTCGCTCGGTGCTGAAGCTTCAGCAGGAGTTGTATCTGTCATACTTGGTTGCCTGTCTCCATCCCAAGGTAGAAATACCCAAGGAGCCAGGAATCAATCCGGCACTTTACGATGGGATACCGCAAAGACCCAAGTTGGTCAAACCTTCCCCGTCACAATCCAGCAGTGGTCGCTCGACTCCCGTTCCTGTGAAAGATCGTCAGAAGCTGGGTCTCGAAGGAGGCTCTCGCAGACCGGAAACCCGGGAGGCGATGGTGGAGAGTATTGGCGTCTTGGCACGAATCCCGAGTTTCATGGTCGAACTGTTCATCAACTATGACTGCGATGTCGACCGCGCGGACCTCTGCGAGGACATGATTGGGTTGCTTTCACGGAGTGCGTTTCCCGACTCCGCCACCTGGAGCACGACCAATGTGCCGCCTTTGTGCTTGGATGCCCTGCTGAGCTATGTCCAATTCATCTATGACCGCTTGGACGAGGAATTCACATCGGAGGGCTTCCCTTCCAAGGATGAACTCCACCATCAGCGTCGGACCAAGAAGATTATCATCAAAGGAGCGCAGAAGTTCAACGAAGACCCGAAGGCCGGCATTGCCTACCTAGCCTCGCAGGGAATCATTGAAAATCCGGACGACCCAGTCCTCGTCGCTCGGTTCCTGAAAGGCACCGCACGGTTGTCGAAAAAAGTGCTGGGCGAGTTCATTTCCAAGCGTTCAAATGAGAAACTGCTTGATGCCTTTGTGGATCTTTTTGATTTCTCCGGCCAGAGTGTCGTAGACGCCCTGCGCGATCTTTTGGGGGCTTTCCGCTTGCCGGGTGAATCGCCGCTCATCGAGCGCATTGTTACCACGTTTACCGACAAGTACATGCAGAAGGCTAAGCCCACGGAGGTTGCAGACAAGGATGCGCTCTTTGTGCTGACCTACGGCATTATCATGCTCAACACCGATCTATACAACTCCAACATCCGATCGCAGAACCGCATGTCCTGCACGGATTTCTCCCGGAACCTGCGTGGCGTCAATGCAGGCCAGGACTTCGCACCCGAATTCCTGCAAGGGGTCTATGACTCGATCAAGCAAAACGAGATAATCCTGCCTGACGAGCATGACAACCAGCATGCATTCGACTACGCTTGGCGGGAGCTGCTGCTGAAGTCTTCTTCGGCCGGAGAGCTGGTGGTGGGCGAGACGAATATCTACGATGCCGAGATGTTTGAGGCCACGTGGAGACCCGTGATCGCCACCTTGTCGTATGTTTTCATGTCGGCTTCCGACGATGCGGTCTATTCTCGCGTGGTGACGGGCTTCGACCAGTGCGCGCAGATTGCTGCCCGCTATGGGCTGACTGCGGCATTCGATCGCATTGTCTTCTGTCTGGCTTCGATCAGCACTCTAGCCACGGAGAATCCTCCGAGTACCGCTCTCAACACCGAGGTGCAGGCCGGGGAGAAGACGGTGATGGTCAGCGAACTGGCTGTCAAGTTCGGACGCGACTTCCGAGCGCAATTAGCTGCCGTGGTTCTGTTCCGAGTGCTTGCTGGTAATGAGGCTACGGCTCAGCAGGGCTGGACCCATGTGATCCGCATCCTCAGTAATCTTTTCATCAATGCTCTCATTCCCCCGCTCAATTCCAGTCTCAACACGGAGCTCGAGTTGTCCCCGATCCCACTGCAGAATCCATCGCAAGTGGTGGAGCGGGACGCACGAGGCACTGAAACCGGTCTTCTTTCAGCATTTACCTCGTACTTATCCAGCTATGCTGCTGATGAGCCTCCGGAGCCATCAGATGAGGAGCTGGACAACACGTTGTGCACAGTTGATTGCATCTCAGCGTGCTCTATCGATGACATCTTGACCAACATCAAGTAAGTTAGACCGATCTACCTGGAGGACTCCGAGGTACTGACGCATTAGAACTCTTCCACTGGAGACAGTGACGATGCTAGTGGAAGCCCTGTTGGCCCAACTCCCGGAGGAAAGCGCCCCGGCGGTTATCGTTGTCAAGCCGGAACGCCCGGCAGCTGGGCCCCGGGCAGCCAATGGCAGACTCAATGCCAGTAAACCACATTACGATCCGAGCATGCTTTACCTCTTGGAGCTGGCGACTGCTCTTACCCTGCGGGACTCCCAGACATTAGCAAGCCTCGGGGAGAGGCTTTTGACCTCCCTGCAAGCCTTTGTCCGCGATGCGCGGAACATCCACTCATTAGCGCTGTCACGCATCATCTACTACCTCATGAGTTTGCTGCGCCTGAGCTATGTATGAAAGCCCCTCTGATAATCGCCCTCCCAATCTAACAGGACTTAGGACCAACCTTATATGCGCGTGCCGGTCATCCTCCATGGACTCTCTGGCTTTGACCAGGATATTCTCGACAGCGTGGCTATTCCTCTCGTCAAGAGTCTTTCCCGGTGTATCGCAGATGCGGATGCTCTGCGGAATGAGATTTCTGCCTCGCCGGACTTCTGGTCCATCCTGCAGAGGCTGCACCCGCACGAGAAAGCGGCTCCATTAGTGTTTGAGCTGCTACAGACCATTGTCGAGCTGAATCCTCCAATCGTCACGGCTGACAACTACGAGTCTGCTGTAAAACTGGCGAACGACTTCATCAGCGCTGGCAGTGTGGGCTACATTGAAGAGCGACAACGGGATGCGCACGGACGACGCAAGGCTGTCAAGCAGCCAAGACCGAGGTACGCTGTCACGAAAGCCCAGTCTTGCTTGTCTAACGTCTTGCAGTATCGAAAACGAAGTAGTGGCCCGGGGAGTCAAGGCGATCGACTTTGTCTTCCACCTGACACGCCGCATTCCGGCGCTCATCAAACAGTCACACCTCGAAGAGGACGAAGGTATGCAGCCTGCCAATGCAGTCCGAAGTTCGTCAATTAACGCCAACACAGCCTGGTCCGCCTACTGGTCGCCCATTTTCCAGTCCTTGACGGCACAGTGCATAAATCCTTGTCGGGATATCCGTCACCATGCTGTCTCAACGCTGCAACGCACGCTTCTTTCCCTCGAAATCACGGCCACCGATGAGAAGGAATGGACTGCCATTTTCGATCAGGTGCTTTTCCCTCTGATCCTCCGCCTCCTGAAACCCGAAGTCTACCATTCGGATCCCCTGGGAATGGGCGAAACGCGGGTCCAGGTGGCTACGTTGGTCTGTAAGATCTTTCTGCGGTACCTGGATCAGCTTCCGAACTGGGACGGTATGCTCGACCTTTGGCTCAGGATTCTGGACATTCTCGATCGGATGATGAACAGTGGTCAGGGAGACAGTTTGGTAGGTCGCTTGTCTGGGTTTTGTGATATATGGAACTCTAACAACCCCACAGCAGGAAGCCATCCCGGAGAGTCTGAAGAACATTCTACTGGTCATGGCCGACGGTGGTTATCTTGTGCCTCCGTCTCAGGACTCGACAAGAGAAAAGATTTGGATCGAAACCAAGAAGCGCCTCGACCGGTTCCTGCCGGACTTGTTCCAGGAGATTTTCCCTCCGATGGATGAAAAGGTTACATCAGCGCCTGTCTCGGCCGTTGCATCGCCTAACCCATCCGCATCTCAGCCCGAGCCAGAGAGCATGGCCGTCAGAGTGCCAGAGGATGAAGTAGAAGCCAACCCTACCACCACTACTGATGAGAATGCGACCGCCGAAGCGGCCCAGGAGATTTCGTTGCCCATTATCGACAAGGGCAAGAAGGCCGATTAGACCAGCACTATTCCTAGACATGGGACCAATCGGATCTAGAAATATGAACTGACTTATGCCCAGAGATTGATTTCGAAAGTCTACTTGTTTTGGCATTCATAGCGTGGTTAGTGGTGTGTTGTCTGGCCGGTTGATAATGGGTTTGGGCCAGATGTGTACCGTTAGTGCTCTGTTATACTTGTGCATAATCTGTAAATATAGTCGACATTGTAGTACCTGCAATAGACTATTCTTGGGGAGGAAGCATGGAGGAGTTAAAGGCATCACATACCGGGTTGGCTACATGGACTGACAGTCCAGTTTGAGGCATGGAACTGAGTAACTAGTTTGAATTGAACAAACCGAGGCTCATCACCGATGATGGACTGGGAAAAAGCAAAAAGAGAGTGCATCATCCGTGAATCGAACACGGGCCTCATCGATGGCAACGATGAATTCTACCACTAGACCAATGATGCTGGTTCTTGAGAAGGATTACTTTTATGGTTGAATGATGCAACATCAATTTGTGCAAGCATATCACCTGACCCCGAGCGCTCCCACTCGGTCTGCTGCTTGCTCCGCCGGCCGCAACTTACGCTATGCAACGTGAAGTTTACAGAGAAGCTCCATCGTCTTTCAACCAACCCACCACGCGCGCTATTTCCCTCCTGTACTCTACCGTGGCGTTTAATCCTCCCTTTCTTGCAGCCCCCGCGACACATAACTCAAGCAAAGAAAGCAGCACCGAAGTGTGCACCCTGCAGAGATAAAGATGGCCGCTGTCGCAGCGCCTGGAGCAAGCACACCCCCCAATTGCACGTAAGTGTTTCCCAGCTGTCTCTTATCCACAGCTGTGAAGAGCAAAAGCGAACCACCTCTCCCCTCCACCTATCAGAAACAATAAAAAGAGCCAGCAAAACTAACCTCAACAGAGTCTACGTACGCACGCATCCCCATCCCCCGATCGACCTCAGCTCCCCTCAATCCCTAACAAACCACACTCTATGACTAGGTCCGCAACCTCGAAGAACGCATCAAAATCGACCAACTGAAAGAATCCCTCGCCGAGATCTTCTCCGAGTACGGCAATGTGATCGAGATCGTGGCCAAGACGAATCTCAAGGCGAAAGGGCAGGCGTTTGTGGTGTTCGACTCGGTGGAGTCCGCCAGCCGCGCCATTGACGAAATCAATGGTTTCGAGTTATTCGACAAGCCGATGGTGTTGGATTATGCGCGCACGCGCAGCGATGCGACGGTGTTGAGGGAGGGTGGGGAGGAGGAATTGGAGGCGCATAAGCGGAGGAGGGGGGCGGAGAAAGGTTCGTTTTTTTGTTTATTTTTTTTCCCTTGAAAAAGTGACTGTTGGGGGGATGTTGGTTTGCAGTGCTTTGTTTTTTTTCTGAAGGGGAGTGGTTGGAATCATACTAACGTCGTGATCACAGAACGCAAACAAGCACACGAGGCCCTCGAAGCGCAAAAGAAACTCAAACGGCCACACCCCGGCGCAGCAGCCGTCGGCGCGCCCTCCGACCTCGCTGCCTCCGGTCGTCCCGCCAAAACGGCCAAGGGCGCCGGGCTCAAGCCCACCAGCGGCGCCGCCGCGACGGTCATCCCGGACGAGTACCTGCCGCCCAACAAGATCCTGTTCCTGCGGGACCTGCCGGACAACGCCGACCAGGACAGCCTCACGGCCGTATTTGCGCGGTTCGAGGGGTTCCAGGAGGTGCGGTTGGTGCCGGGCCGCAAGGGGATCGCCTTCGTCGAGTACGAGAGCGAGTCCGGGGCGATCAGTGCCAAGGAGGCGACGTCGGGGATGCCGATGGGCGAGAATGGCAAACCCATCCGGGTTACGTACCAGAGACAATAAAGGGTCCTTGCATGGGGCGTGGCGTTGTTGGGGTTTTTCGTATCTGTGGGGTTTCTTGTGTATCATTATTTTTGTTGTCTCCTTCTTCCATGCAAATGCCCGTTGATTTCTTTTCTTCCATTGGGGAGGTAGCTCTTCTCACTGGTGGGGTACCAAACAAAAAAATCTCTTAAACAATGCATAGGAACAGCTAGGAAGTATACTAGGTACATGACAAGAGGTACAAGGGGGACATCGCTGCGCTAGACTTAGAAAATCACATCGGCATCTTCCTGCTCGCCGAGCACGTCCGGTGCCTCGAGAGCTTCCTCCTCTGCGGCTTCTGCCGTTTCCTCCTGGGCCTCCTCGGTGGGCGCGCCCTCTCCGTTGGCTGCTGCTGCCGCGGCAGCCTCTGCTTTCGCCTTGGCCTTCTCGCGCTGCGCCAGAATCTCGGCGTCGGCGGCAGCGGTGTCTCGCTGTTTCTTGCCGGAGACCTTCTTGAGACGGTAGAATTCCTCGCGGTCCAATTCGTCCAGCTCGGAGTTGATATCTTGGGGGATGTTAGTTATTACGGAGAGATAAGCACAAAGGAAGTCAGTCCACTGACATTTGATCGTATTCTCCGTCCGGGGGATGATAACATGCTCACTGGCTGTGGTTAGTATTTCAGTGGCCGGAATGAACCAAGAGACCGAGCTCTTACATGGCGTTCACTAGGAGGGAGAACTCGCGTTAGCATTCTCTCTTACCACACCTGAACTCCATAAAGAAAAACCAGAACATACCTCTCCGATTCACAACCTTAATCACCTCATCCAAAATAACAAATGCAGTCTACCAGCCAGCCCCCGAATTAGCAACCATACCCCAATCCCCACACCCTAGAAAGTGAAAGCATACCTGCAAACTCGCCAACTCCACCAACGTCTCTACCGCCCGCGCATACGTCTCCCGACACCGCTGCACTTGCTGCCCACCTTTGCCCAGCCCCGTCAACCCGAAGTCATTGATCGAGTCCTCCGTGTAGCTCTCAAAGTGCGGCAGCAGCACACCGGACACGTTCTCCTGCTTAGCCCGCACCCGGAAGCGCGCCTGCTTGGCTGACTCTTGCACTTGGTAGCCGATGTCGCCGCCGACGGCGTAGCTCACCTCGGCCAGCGAGAAGGCGGCGATCTGCATGACGCGGCCCATTTTTTGTTTGGCTTCATCGATGCGGCGTGTTATTTCTGAAAGAAAATTGAACACGTTAGTTTTGGGGACGGTCACGAAGAGTGTGCGTTGGTGTTGGGGGAAAGGGGAGCTGTTGGATAGAGGGGTCGGGGGGACGGGGACGGGGGGCTCATACCGCGGAAACGCCTGTGGATCAGATGGAACAACACCAAGTTAGTGATCGGTTACTTTTATTTCCATTGTTCATGACAGAAACAAAAAAAATATGGGGAAGAGCTGCTCACTTGGTGAGAGCTTCGGATTTGCGCTTCAGTAGACTGTGACCGGTTTCGGCGCCCTTCAATTTACCCTTCATCAACCCGAGCGACTGGCGAGTCGGGAAGACTGCCTCACGGCCCTAAACATGGAGACAAGTTAAGATTAATGATCAGACAATTAACAACAGGCGCTTGTTCATCAGATGGAGCAACAACGTACCACTGCACCCGACATGGTTATATGCGCTGAGACAACACACAAAGGCCACGAATAGCAAGAGCAGAAGGAGGAATGACCGATACGTAGTCAGTCTGATATGACGATTAACTGATAGGAAGGACGGTTGTCTGTATTTCCGCCCGTAACGAGACCAACGCTCGGACCATCCCGTGCCCGCCGGGGCGCATGACATCCGGTCACGTGTGGTTGGCCTTGGACCTCCATCGTCCGCAGGCTTGCAATCGGCTGCATAATCTGGTCCCCTCCTGGTTTTCAAACAACGACGAGGGGGTTTCTTTCTCGCTTATATGCGAAACGCGTCTCGCCCGGTAACCCTGTGTTGAATCCCGCGTGAGTCGGTCCCGCTCAATCGAGTGGCGCAATGCCAGGGACAATCCTGCCCCCGAGATCCCACCGGCAACACGCACAGATGGACCGCTCCTCGGCCTCCGGGCCTGATTTCTACTTGATTGTGAGTGGAAAGGGAAAATGATTGTTTTGGACTGGACGAGCACACACACTAACGTTGCAATTTGATATCCGTTAGGCCGATCAGGACACGGTCTACGAGCAGGATCTGCTGCGCAATCCCGGGAGCATCAAGCCATGGTTGGCTTACATTGAATACAAGCAGCAGAATGGAACTCTGTATGAGCAGGCCTTTGTATGTGTCTGCGTCGCGCCGTTGCCTCGGGAAAATACTGATTGATGGTCGCAGGTGATGGAACGCGCCTGCAGACAGCTGCCGAGATCGTACAAGTTGTGGAAACTGGTATGAAAAAAAAAAACCTCCTTTTTACTGGCAATGACGCGGAGCTGACATCCTACCTAGTATCTGGAGTTCCGGACAAACCACCTGCGAGGCCGCAATGCGACAGTCTACAAGGCCGAGTACCACAAGGTGAACGCGCTCTTTGAGCGGGCTCTCATCCTCCTCAACAAGATGCCCCGCATCTGGGAACTATACCTCTCATTTTTGCTGCAACAGCCCCTGGTGACGCAGACCCGGCGCACCTTCGACCGCGCCCTCCGCGCTCTTCCCATCACGCAACACAACCGCATCTGGAGGCTCTACAAGACGTTTGCGCGGTCCGCGTCGGGGCTGACGGCCGTGAAAATCTGGGCGCGCTACATGCAGATCCACCCGGAGAATGCCGAGGAGTATATCAGCCTACTGGTCGACATGGGCCAGTACACCGAGGCCGTGAAGAAGTACATGGAGATCCTCGACGACCCGCGGTTCCAGTCCAAGGAAGGGAAGAGCAACTTCCAGCTGTGGACCGAGATGGTCGACCTCCTGGTCTCCCGGGCGAAACAGATTGAGACCGGGCCCCGCGTGGGCATCGATGTGGACGCCATCCTGCGCAGCGGCATCGACCGGTTCGCGGACCAGAGAGGCAAGCTGTGGGCGGGGCTGGCGACCTACTGGATCACACGCGGCAACTTCGAGAAGGCGCGGGATGTCTTCGAGGAGGGTATCACTACCGTCATGACGGTGCGCGATTTCACGCTGGTCTTCGATGCGTATGTCGAATTCGAGGAGTCCATCATCGGTAGTCTGATGGAGTCCGCCGCGGCGCGGACGGAGAATGACCAGAGCGACGAGGAGGCCGACTTTGACCTCGACCTGCGGATGCTGAGGTTCGAACAGCTGATGGATCGACGGCCGTTCCTCGTCAACGATGTACTTCTCCGACAGAACCCCAACAACGTCATTGAATGGGAAAAGCGAGTCGCTCTTTGGGGCGACAACAAGCATGAGATTGTGCAGACCTACACCGCCGCTATCGCAGCGATCAACCCTAAGAAGGCGCACGGAAAGTTCTCAGAGCTCTGGGTCAACTACGCCAAATTCTACGAAAACGGTGGCGATCTAGATACTGCACGGGTCATCATGGAGAAGGCCGTCAAGGTTCCTTTCAAATCGGTGGCGGAACTGGCCGAGACGTGGTGTGAATGGGCTGAGATGGAGCTGCGAAGTGAAAACTTCGACAAGGCGGTCGAGATCATGGCCAAGGCGACCCAAGCACCTAAACGATCGACGGTGGACTATTTCGACGAGACGCTCTCGCCCCAGCAACGTGTGCACAAGAGCTGGAAGCTGTGGAGTTTCTACGTGGATCTGGTCGAGAGTGTGTCGACAATCGAAGAGACGAAAGCAGTCTATGAACGCATCTTCGAGCTCCGCATCGCTACGCCTCAGACTGTGGTCAACTACGCCAACCTTCTGGAGGAGCACAAGTATTTTGAGGACTCGTTCAAGGTCTACGAACGGGGATTGGATCTGTTCAGTTATCCCGTTGCCTTTGAACTGTGGAACCTGTATCTTACCAAGGCAGTCGACCGCAAGATCGGCATTGAGCGACTTCGGGACCTGTTCGAACAGGCCCTGGACGGATGTCCGCCCAAGTTTGCCAAGCCCCTCTACCTGATGTACGGCAACCTGGAAGAGGACCGCGGTCTAGCCCGGCACGCGATGCGGATCTACGAGCGGGCAACGCGCGCCGTGTCGGACGAGGACCGCTTCGAGATGTTCGAGTTCTACATCACCAAGTCGGCCTCCAATTTCGGTTTGACGTCGACGCGCCCGATCTACGAGCGCGCTATCGCCGCCCTGCCGGATCAAGAAGCGAAGGAGATGTGTCTCAAGTTCGCCGAGATGGAGCGCCGCCTCGGCGAGATCGACCGGGCCCGCGCAATCTACGGGCATGCGTCGCAGTTCTGCGACCCCCGCACCAATGCTGGGTTCTGGCAGAAGTGGGAAGCATTCGAAGTGCAGCACGGAAACGAGGATACGTTCAAGGAGATGCTGCGGATCAAGCGCAGTGTTCAAGCTCAGTACAAGTATGTCCTTCAATCTTGGCTAAGTATGGTATCATGTCCAAAGCTAATCATCGTACAGCACCGACGTCAACTTTATTGCATCGCAGGCTATTGCACGCAGTCAACAACGCAACCAGGCTGGGGAACAGCCCCTCGAGAACGGAGATGAAGACTCCGCCGCCGCGGCGGCGGAGCACGCTGATGCCATGGCCGCGTTGGAGCGACAGGCTCGCGCCCCTGTGGGCTTTGTGGCGGCCAGCACCGGTCCTGAGGGCGGCAACCGACCTGCACCGGAGAAGCAACCCGCTGTTGTTGCGGCTCCCGTCAATCCGGATGCAATTGATCTGGATGATGAGATGGATGACTAGTGTTTTGGATGTGTTGCGGCGTTACGCATGACACTTTTTTTCTTTTCTTTTTTTTTTTTCCTGCTGCTTGCATATATGAGCCTGTCTGTTCAGTTGCATAGATGAACCTACTTGCCCGCCTGCCAGCCATATTTGCTGGCTGCTTGCTTGCCTGCTGTACGAGAGTCCATCACAGTATCTCATCCACCCGACTCGAATCCTCTATCAACTTCCAGTCAACCCGCTGGGCCACTTGACTCAAGGCAGCCCACTTAACCGCCGCTTGACTCCTCTCACCAAGGAATGACAATTCCACTCTATCCTTTTGCCTTCACGCCACTCCCATGGCTTCTGACTATACCACTGTCAACCGATGGTGACATGCCTATCTTCCTACTTGGGACCATTGTATCTCCTATGTCAGACCCATCCAATCTCGTTTTTCCCCGTTCGATGCTATTCTATTCACCCGCGCATGGCGCCCTGTATGTATGTATTTCTGACTGAAAACTATTTTCATCCTTCTTTGGGTTGAATTCATGTTAGTGAGGGGAAGCTTCCAGAGTATAGTTTGCGTGCCTGGGCCAGTGCAAATTCTGTGACAAACAAACGCCGCTCGCTCCCCCGGAAATCGTAGTTAACTTGAATCGATGTCAGCGCGGGGTCTGTTTACTAAGCTTCCTCATCAACCACGGAATACGGAGTACATAAAGCGCACAGAGTGCGGTATACAGTATACCTCTCTCTATAGATCAATCGACTCTCTCTCTTTCTCTCTCTTCTCTCTCTCTCTTCGCTATAATGTCCTCCACCTCCACCTCCACCTCCACTTCCCATCCCCAGCAATCAACCCTAAATGACACCGTCGCCCGCGAGTTCACCGCAGCGGGCTACCGCGGCGACTACATCCGATCCATCCTCGACCGACAAGACTGGCTCAACCGCGCAACTTTCGAAGACGACCCCGACAACAACAACCAGACCTGGATCCGCGTGGAACGCAAACACCTCCTCCCGGATACCTTGATTGCCTACCAACTTCCCTGGGACTTCGATGAGGTAAGTCACTGCATGCCCATCTCCGGCATAATCTCGTCACTCTGGAGAAGCTTCCCCTGATGTCGTTCTGTTGGAGATCTAGGCGGATAGCGATTACCTTCTCATTAAGCAATGGGTCTCGGGGGAGTTCTTGGATGAGTTGTTTGCGCATACCCAGCGGTTGAGGGGGGCGAAGGCGCGGGGGTTGGAGAAGAAGGCGTTTGTGCCGAGGCCGGGGAAAGTGTGGCAGTTTTAGTTGCCTGCCTGCCGAATGGTGCGATGCAGTTATAAGCAGTTAGTAGGTACAGCCTGTCTGTAGGTGAGAAGAACTGCAATAACTACAAAGAGTGGGTGTAGTTGTTATTCGGTGTGTGTTTGTGGTGGCAGGACGGGACTAGACCTGATGGGGAAAGTCCCTGCCTTTAGTACAAGCCTGTGCCTGTCCAACTATGCGATGCTTGGACGGCAACACGATCTCAATCCTCCCCCAGCCACCTTAACATCCTCGAAGGACTCTCTCTGTACAGACTACCTCAGCGACAGCCTGTCGTGGAGATACTGAGGGGGTGTGTCAATGGCGTCGCCCGATATGTTCTCTCAACTATACCAAAGGTTCACTCGTGCGGGTAAGACGACAGTGCAGGGAGTCGACCTTGTACTTCCGCAAGAGAATCCCCGCAAGCCGTCTACATCAACCTCGTCAACTCTGGCACCAGCCGTGCTTTCGATTGATGCAACGGCCCAGGAACAGGAGGAGGGTTCATTTGATCATGAAGAGCATGTTTTGCTCAAGGTTAGTAAGGTCAACTCGAGATGTGAGGCTGGCGGGGCTCAGCAGTTGCGTTGGATGTAAGAGTCCGTCCCATCCAATTCATCACAACCTGTGCTGGGTCTGGCCAGTGCTAGGTCGCACACAATGTTGAGTATGCTTACCCGATTTCCGTCCAGGCATTTATGCAGCAACGATATCGAATTCAAGGCCTTTGTTGTAGGTGGATTATGTGCTTCCTCAGACAACGATTTAGTACTCATGTCGGATCACCGAGCTCGCTCATATAGAAATGCGCTCTAGAGGTCTACGGAATAAGCACTGCAATAGAAGACCTCGTTTGTTCCAAACTCCTTCGTTCTGGCTCCTCTCCGCTGGAAGTCCCTGCCTTCCAGGGGAAACGCTTCGTCACGGCTCATACCTCTGCAGAACTTCAACTCCCCGGCCATGCCGAAAAGACCGCTATTAGTTTCTTGTCAATCCCGTTTTTTCTGCTGCAAACAGTGCGGGACAGGATTGCAAGCCAGCGCTCCAGCTCTCATTGGGTCCAGCCGCTGGTACAGTCGGCCTATCATCTGGATTCATCTCTTGCACGAGAGCACCAGCAAGCTATCCGGAGGTTACACCACGACATGACTGAGATCGTTCATATCCCTGAGCTCTGGGTTTTGGCTATTGGCGAGAGTAAGTTGTTCATTTCTGCCCGAGCAGCCCAGGTCCAGTGGTGGATGACGTTGATCCAGGATTCGTGGCGACATGCTCCCCGACTCCCCTGTATGATGATAAGTCATCTTCAATCAGCACTCATACATTGGGAGGCGGTCTCTTTCCTCCAACCATCAGAGTCACAATGAGCTCTGGGTTTGTCTTTTGCATTAATCGGGACCAGTGCGATGTGTGGTTTGTCAGTCAATCTGGTCCATTCTAGCTGACACCAGAACTAACTGGCCCAGAAATTCCTATACCGAGTGCAGTGCATTGTCAAAGCCGCTTTGAATCTTGATCTTGCGCGCAGAAACTGCGAATACAGACTTGAGAAAGAGGGTAAACTCATTGAGGGCCGCCAGTGGCAATCGATATTGCAATCTCACCCCCACACCGAGCCTCTGCTCATCCGGGCTATTCCTGAAAAGTCGGAACATCCCCAAAGACAACCCGCTGCTATCGCTCTGGAAGGAAAGTATGCTTGGGAATCTTCGCATCACGACACCTCCAAGTATCCTCGGGTCAGCACCCAGCTGCTCAGCACCAAAACACTTGATGTGTACAGACTACCCTACTATTGGGACACTTCACATCCCGGGGTAAGGCTATAAAAATCTGACTGTTTGCGCTGTACATGCAGGCCGCTGAGCAATGACGCTTTCTAGGCACGAGAAACCCTCGTGATTGCTCAGAATCTGACCGACCTTGATCTCAAAATCCTGTATGACCACACGCGACGACTGAACGCCTTGGGGTCCTCATATGTCGAGGTTGAGGAATTCAAGGATCCATACTATGCCCCACCATCGGCTGTCCTTGAGGCGGCAAGGTCCCAAGTTCACCACCAAGATTCTCCTCAAACATCTGAAAGACATGACATGCAGCCCATCTTCCGGTGGTTGATCTTAGGAGGTCTCGCAGATAGGGACCGTAAGTTTTTCAGTCGTCAAGTTGCGCGCAAACCCGAGGGAAGCAGCATCGACCAGCCGACAGAAGCTGCTAGCTCGACTACGCCTACACAGAGAATGCGGGCTCTTTCGGCCCACATGCACCGCGAAATACTTTTCTTAGAGGACTTACGTTCAGCCCAGACCTACAACAAACTGTCACTCAAGACCAAAGCTGATGTTGACCAGCAAATAACTGCGCTGCAGAAGACCAACCCAGACATGCACCTACTGGCACTCTTCTCCACGTTCGTGCGCCGTGTCGGTCAAATACTGGATTGCTTTATTGACAGTGATTACGATTGCGTTGTCAAGCACAAGGTGTGGGCGGCATTATATGGTATTGTTTCGGTGAGCAGACTTGGGTTCCTTGGGCTTGGTGTGAATGAGCTGATCAAGTCACAACTCGCAGACACTTGAACATCCCTCGGTCGAATCTCTGTTTCCATTTCACTGCGATATCCTATCAATTCCACTTCGGGAGTTTCATGATCAGATTCTGGATCTTCACCATGGAAGCACAGGGACGGCGAGTCCGGGACCGTATATCACACGGTCAATGGTTTGGGCCTTCATTGAGATTGTCATACTCCTTACAAATTCGGAATACAGGATTTTTCAGTATATACGGAGCCTGGATGATCATAGCACAGACGCCAGTCAGACTAGCCTTGGTCAAGATGACACAAATGCCAGTCAGACCAGCCTTGGTCAAGATGACACAAATACCAGTCACGCAAGCCTGAGCTGCGACAGTTGCCGGGAATCGATCTTGGAGGCACCTCAGCTGGGAAGCGAGTCTTCCATTGTCAATGAAACCGCTCAAGATAACAAACCATGCACGATGGATACGGCTTCGTCTTATATGCACGACCCTACAGCGGACTCTCTGTTCTCTGGTGGTGCCAAGTCCCTTGAGGCTCTGGAGGGCGAATTCTCTCGCCGCCTCAACGATCACATTGATCGAATCTATTCGTATCTCATCCAATCACGGCAAGAGTGCTGCATCATATCTTGCTCACATGATGAAGTTGAGGACACTTACAATGGGGTCGACCGGGGAAAGATCGTTGCACTGGTTATGGACTCTGTGCTAAGGGGGCATTCTACCTGCGCAACAATGTCTACCTTAGATATCGTAGAAGTCTACGCAACATATACAACTCAGCTGGTGGGCCGACTCTTGCTAATCTCTCATCGATTCCATTACGTGGACTCGGCTAACTCAGCGTCTGCAGCAACTGCAAGCCCGAAACAGCCCTACCAAGGGTCTCCTGATCCACTTGAACCTCCTTCGGGAAGAACTCGACATTGTAATGAGTACTATCAGAAAACAATTCGAACTGACACAGAGCCTATGCAAGCCCAAGGCATCCGATGATAAGGGCGGCTGGGGAATGGAGGTTGATATCGACGATACCGCAAATCGAATGGCTTTCGAATGGCTGTACTCTACCACACCCGATGACCATATCGTGCTCAACATGTCCACGCGGAAGCTCTTGAAGGCGATGCAAGCGAGTCTCCAGGAGAAAATTTATGTTCTCGACGAGCTAGTCAAGCGCGCCGAGCGCCTTGAGCAACACGTACGTACCACTTGATCTATGACTTCTACCTATATCCCAGGTCTAAAGTCCCATCAGATTGTCCAACGGGTCGATATCATCCAGGAAGACCACGGCAAAGCTACCTTAATTTTCACGATCGTGGCGACGATTTTCCTCCCTCTCTCGTTTGTTACGAGCTACCTGGGCATGAACACGGCGGATATCCGGAATATGGATGCCAATCAGGCGATCTTCTGGGAGGTGGCGACTCCTGTCACTGTGGCTGTTGTTGTGGTGGTCCTGTTAGTGGCCTACAATGCCAGCCGCATTGTGGGCTTGTTACCTCAGAGGCAAGTCTAGTCAGTCCGGTCATGGTCAGAAGCAGAATTGGTTCTCTGCAACGATTTTCATGGTTTTAGCGGCTGAGGTGGTTGCTGGGGAGTGACTCTGTGCGAGGGAGCTCGGTTGATTGGATATGTCGAATCGCGAAGGCTATTCACCGAACACTGGCATTTCTCTTTGCTGCTGATCAAGTGAGAAGAGGGTTGGTAGTATGGGACTGGTCTGCTTTTGCTGTCTTGGTAGCTGGCCTCGCTTTGGACATGCATCCTAGAATCTCATATTCACTACTATAGTTTTGTGATACAATGTGTGCGACGGGCACTATATATTACCGCACTAACTCTCTTGGTGACCATCAGAAATTGTGCTTGCATCGAGAATGTGCATTATGTACTATCACAAGCTGAACAATAATTGAACAAGAATCGATATCCTGTACCTGAGCTTCCTTTGGATGATATGTACATGTGGATTCGGTGTTATGCTGATGAATGAATCCAGACAGGTCACATGACTAGAGTGGGCTTCAAGCCTCCCCGCGGCCTCCTCCAACTACAACTTTGCACCCACAGTGATTCCCTTCCTGAAACCAAGCATTCATCATGGATGCGACCGAGGACCGGGAGGTCAAGCTTCAACGTGCCTCTGGGGACCTTGTTAAAGAGTTCTCCGCCAAATTACCCTCCTTATTATGGAAAGCCGGAGCCGAGAAGAAGAGCCATCGAGTGCCGCGCCGCTGGACGCCCGCGGCGAAAACAGAGAGACTGGTTGCCTTGGTAAGTCACCACGCACTGTTCAGTCTCACGATGTCCATACAAATAGATTATAAGCTTGACTGAGCGAGCCACTAACCAGGTGGGTGTAACAGCTGGAGCCTTTTCAGGAGTGGCCGCAATTACTGGATCCCCACCTGCAAACGCTCCTCCCTCCCCTGGTGGATGCATTTCTGGCATACCTGCTCAGGTACCGCGACCAATATGCTTGTAGGAGTTCTCTTCCTGTGCAGCAGCAGCAATGCGCATATCCGCTGCCCCGCGCGGTGTGCCGACTGCTCTACACCTTTTGCAAAGTCCGTGGGGTCAAGGTCATCAGCCGCTTCTTCAACAACGAGCCAAAGTACCTGGATGCTCTTCTGCGGGCGTTCATCCAGTGGGACGATGCCGCGAGTGATCCCGATACCGCACCCTGGGATATCCCGCTCCGCCTGGTGTGGGAAGAGCGGTACGTGATGCTGATCTGGCTGTCGCATTTGCTGCTGGCGCCGTTTGATCTGGCCTATCTGTCGTCCGACGATATCCCGGTGCCCCACGACAACCTTGGCCAAATTGGCGGCGCATTGTCGGAGCAAACCCCAATGCTGGCGAAATCGCTCCTGTCGGTGGCGCTGGCATATGTCGACGTCCCGGGAAAGGAGCGCGAAGCTGCTACGGTTCTGCTGGCACGGCTGGTTCTGCGGCGGGATATGCAGGCGCTGGGACTGCTGGACTGCCTGGTGCGGTGGACCTTTGCAGTGCTTCAGCCTGCTGCTACGAGTACGCCATCTACGTCTGTCTATACGTGCATCGGAGTGTTGTCGTTTCTGGCGCGCCTGGCGGCGTCGGGCCAGGTGGAGGATTTCGCCCCGCTGATCACGCCGGTCTTCCAGCAGACACTGCGGATCGTGCAAGGGAACTCGGAGGTTTCTCAGGTCATTCAATCGTCTGCGTCGGCTCGCAAAATTGTCATCAAGATCCTTCGTGCGCTGACGGTGATGGCGCTGGCGCTTGGCGAGAGGGCTAGTAGCGTACTCAGCGATGAGCAGGTCGCTGCCATTTTGGAGGACTCGATTGATCACTTCCTTGTCTCTCTGGCCGATAAAGATACCCCCGTGCGGTTTGCGGCAAGCAAGGCGCTGAGCATCATTACCCTCAAGCTGGATCCGGACATGGCGTCCGAGGTCATCGAGGCGGTCACCGGCTCCTTGGAAGAGAATATTTTGTACCAAAACTCGGATGGGATCCTAGTGACGCCCTTGGAGGCACGTCGCTCTGGGACGAGCACCCTCAAACGCAACCTGAGCGCCGTCGATGCCCAAAGGTGGCAGGGCTTGATTCTCACCTTGGGTCACCTACTCTTCCGCCGTGCTCCCCCCACCCAGCAGCTCCCGGATGTGCTTCAGCCACTGGTCTCTGGACTGGACTTTGAGCAGAGATCTTCGACTGGAAGCTCGGTGGGGACTGGCGTCCGCGATGCGGCATGTTTCGGCATCTGGGCTCTGTCTCGGAAGTACACCACCCAAGAACTACTCGATCTGAAGACACAGGCAATCGGCTACCCCAGTGCTCAAGGAGAGCAGAGTACACTGCAGATGCTGGCGATCGAGTTGATTTGCGCGGCTTGCGTGGACCCGTCGGGCAATATCCGCAGGGGAGCGTCGGCTGCCTTGCAGGAGCTGATTGGGCGTCATCCGAACACGATCGCAGAAGGTATCTCGCTGGTGCAGGTTGTGGACTACCATGCGGTTGCAAGGCGCTCCAGGGCGATGATTGAGATTGCGGGGGCTACTGCCGCGCTGAGCAGCCACTACTGGAGTCCCTTAGTGGAGGCGCTGATGCATTGGCGTGGGATTGGCTCGCCGGATGCCGAGTCAAGAAGGCAAGCGGCGCGGGCGATCGGGGGCCTGAGTGCTCAGGGCTCTTATCAGACGATGCAGCAGGTGCTGGGCCGCTTGATCGCGCGACTACACGGACTTCCTCATGGTGATGTCGAGACAAGACATGGTTGTTTCCTGGCCATCGCTGCCACGATTGATGCATTCAACAACCAGAGGGGGAGAGTGGAGGTGAAAGATGTGTCTGCTGCGGAGGCTGTTGCTAGTCAATTGGATCAGGTCTGGGGGATTTTCGATTCGTCTGTCGGGCCGACAAAGGATGACTTGACACTGCAGAGCTTCCGCCCTGAACTGAGTGCCGAAGCGTCGTCGTGTCTGATTCACTCGCTCTCTCAGTCGGTGGTGTTGGAGGCTACGTCACGGCCTTCCCGCCCGTCTTCGGCCGTGTTGGACAAGGTCCGTGAGGTGCTTCTCGTATGTATATCACGCAGTGATGACACCTCAATCGATACTTCGTCCCGCGCAGTATCGGAGTTGTTCCGCCTGTTGTCGGCAGAGCAGCAGCAGGAGATTCTGCAGGGGTGGTTCTCGCATATCAACACGACCTGGAATTTGCCCACCGGCCGCGGTCAGATTACAGCGTTGGGTGCGATTTTCAGACGGTTGCAGCCGGATAGTCCACTGCGTGAAATAGTGGCTGAAAACCTGATCCGGTGTGCCGAGAAGGAAGAATTGATTGAGAAGCGAGTCTCTGCTGTGAAGAGTCTGACAAGCGGCGTCTTGCCGCATATCGGTATGTTGTTGTCCTGGAGTTGGTTAGCTGGTTACTGATGTCATGGGTACTATAGAAATCACAGATAGCCTGGTGAACCACCTGGTAGGACTTTTGAATGACTACACTACGGACCGCCGTGGTGATGTGGGCTCGCTGGTTCGCCTCGAGGCGATCCAAGCGGCGCGGATTGTTCTGGGTGGGCAGAAGCACGACCAGCAGCCTCGTCTGAGAGATATGATCGGCTGCTTGTGCCGACTCGCGGCCGAGAAACTCGACAAAGTGCGCATTTCAGCCTGGCTGTGTCTCCAAAGTCACTGGGAGACCGCGCCTGACTTTCCTCCGCTCTTGAAGTAGCCCTCACTTTCCCGCGTCGCGTAGAATAACTTGCTAACCCGGGCTATAGCAAATATGACCATTTCAGCCATGTCTCCACGGAGGAGTACTTCTCCCAATTGCTCCTCCTGCAGGATATCCCATGGCTCCGTACCCCCTTGTTGCAGGGCCTTGCTACTTCTGCTGTAGCGGGAAGTGAAGGGTTGGTGCGGGCCACTCGAGCAGCTCTGGTAAGGAGTGTTTATTTGCAGCAGGAGCAGCAGCAGCAGCAGAAACACATTCTCGCCATCATCGTCGACCTGAGCGGTATCCTCTCTGCGAACATCCAGGACGACCGATACGCGATCCCTGTACTAGAGTTCCTGGCGTTTCTACTCGATGGGTTCCACATCCGGACTACCGAGGATAATGAGGAGGTTCTTGCAAGGTTCGTTCCCTACTGTCCCAATCGAGTTTCACCGAATTGAAACCCCTAACACATTCGATCACGATTGCGTGTGGCTGTAGTCTCAAGAGATTGTTTGTGCTGGTCCAGAAAGCGCACTTCAAAACCACCAACATGGCCCGCTTGGAAGCCGCAGTCAAAGTGTATGCGCCGTTGTCGCGGACTTCTGGAGCGGGTGATTCTGTCGGGCAGTTGAGACGCGAGGTGCTGAAGAAGATGACGGGGTTGCTGTTGCATCCGTTTCCTAGGGTATGTCTGTCCTTGATTATGTGCGTGGGGGGGGGGGGGGGGATGTTGTGGATATCATTACTGACTTTTTTGCCTCTTTGTAGATCCGCTCCGCTGTGGCTGAATACCTGTACATGGAGACCGGGGCGGAGGTGGTCAAGGTAGAGGACTGGACGAGGACGAATCGCGAGTTGAAGGCTTTGGGGTTGGTGGAGGTCGTGAGGGAGGTGGTTTTGTGAAGTAGTAGGATCATAGTATATTTTACACTTCTTGGTTTCATATGCATCTTTTAGACTACTGTGAATGATCTGTACAAAACAAACAGACAAGCAGACAAGCAGAGCGTGCTCACAGGTCTGGTCGTTTTTGGAGATATCAGCCTCGAATCCACCAGTACCAGAGGCATGGTGGAAGTTGAAGTCTCTGAGAAGTGAGTTTACGAAGAGATGGCATAAAGCGGCAGGGTCCTTTTATTAGTAAGAAGAACACACATTCAAGCTTCAAGTCTGCCTTGAAAGTCAAACTATATGTGGACTCGGAGTATGTCTCTTGAAACGAATACGTGAGAAATCCCCTAATCCGGAAGAGATGTTATGCCCCAAATGTACTACGATCAGAGGGCATACACAATAACCTCTTACTGTCATGATATAGAATCAGAATGTCTTCAATTTATGCTTCTCGCTGAGTAGCATGGGTGTCCTTACACTGCGAGTCTTAGTCAGGACAGACTCCTCTCTTAAGGAGCGCTCCTCGCGTTTGCAAGACTGAACCCCTCCTTCAAACCCAGCCTGTATAAGTACCGAAGTTCAAGCTCTTACTTGCAACATGCGCATCAACTGTGACGCTATACAAACTTAGATCTCCTGCTTGGTTGTTTGATATTGGTCATAGATATTTTCCCAAGTCATTTCTTGTGTTATGCTAGTGAGATTGATATCCAAGAACGGTGTTTCCTTTTTGTGGCTTGATGATTTTGATGAGTCGAAGATAAGGTAGTGACACAGGCGTCTGCATGAGAAAATCATCTTCTGAGATGCAATCCAGAAGAAGATGATATTTTCATCTTTGGACATTATCATGACAGCATGGCGAATTTCTCTCTCTGGGGATTGTTGGCTACATAAGCACAGCAGAATGAAAGTGGCAGAGCACATGGAGCACAGTATAAAGCATAGGAGATGTTCTGATTCTGAAATACTTTGATTCACGGATCAGTGGAAAGCAACCAACGGGCTTTACCATCTTCTCCTCGTCCTTCTTCTCCCTCGCAACGGAAGACATTTCCACCCCCTCCCCCCCTCCACCAGCCTGCACCCCCTCTTCCATTACTTCTTTCAACCTCCCTCTCATCCCAGCCTCCTCGTTCTCCTCTACCATCTACTTACACGCACTCTTGTTCCATCTTTCAGCTGCTTTTCATCATGACTCGAGCAGAATTCTTAGAGGATGCGAGGAATGCTTCTCATCCTCAGTTGACTGATTTCAAGCTTCAGGCAGACGATACCTTCACTTTCACTTTCACTGACCCACACGGTCGTCGAAACCAGATCGTGGTAATGGTTCTAGGTTTGTCACTCTGAAAGAATAAATCAATCAACTGTGAACGCGCTTAACCAGCCAAACCTACCTACGCAGATGCATCCTTGTACCCCACCAGACATCACTACTTGATATGGGGCGATGACAATGTTTCCGACGATGTAAGCCAGTCTATACAGTCTATACAAAGCAGCTACGACGGTCAACAACTCAGCGTCTTTCTACCCAAGTTTGCCGATTGTCTCACCGGCTCTGCTGGCCATGATAACATGGAGATTGGGCCTCATGACATGGACCTCAACTATGATGTCGGTAGTGAGATGGAGACCGGGTCTGAGGACGAGGATCTCGACTATGACATTAGCAGTGAAATGGACTGTGATGCTAATTACACTTCGGACTGGACCACAATTCATGAGCGGCTGGGGAAGGACCTTCGGGCCGCAAAGAGTCCTGGGATCAAGCCTGGATTCCTGGGTGAGCTGGAAGGCCGTATCATCATCACTATCTCGTGTCGTGTCGCGAAGCTCAACATCTTGAAAGATGCCCTTCAACTCTGGGATGTATCACCCTCCGACTACCTGGTTCTCCTGATCGAATACCCTCAGAGGTACTGTGGCCTAGACCAGATCTCTCCATTTGGATCGCGGAAAAAGCCGAACTTGTATGTTGGTCTATGTGACTCTTATAAGCCTACGATGGAGTCCGCTTTGCAAGTCCTTCATCCCCCGGCAGCAATTTCGAGCGATTCCACTTATCTCAATGTGGAGCTTGCAGCTGTCCCCGACAAAAGAAGAATGAGGTCATCATTCGTGACAGAAATGCTTACGGATCTCTTCAACGAACGCCTTCTGGAGATTATACATTACCGGGTGGAACAGGGTTACTCATGGACAGGCGCGGAACTGTACTATGAAACTCACCAAGGCCAAAAACCCAACGCTGCAGATGGTAAACTCACCGAGTACTCCGTCAAGGAGACCTGGGGACCTTGGATCCCGGCCTTTGTCCAACAAGACGACCTTCTCTTAGCCAACATCAACAAAGCAGTGTTATCATTCCCTCGCATTGCCATGCAATATACTCTCCGGCGTTTTACACGCGCTAGTGAATTCTGTCTTATATGTTACTGCAAGACAGAAGAGAAGTTTCGGGCACTGAGCCCCTATGTCTGCTCGAAAGAGCTTTGTCTGTTCCAATATTTGGAATATGGCAAAGGGCCGAAACTGGAATGGCAGATCGTCAATCAGCCCGAAGTCATAGACCTTCTGGTCTCTTTTGCTTATCGGCGAGCTACGGAGAAGTGCATGACGGATTGTCCCAACCTTCCTCTCAAAGTTCCCCATCCCGAGCTGACAACAAAGCGGGCATTCCAAGCCAAACTGACTGGTGACAGACTCGTCGGACCTCTCCGATTAAAGGTTGGAGATTGGATACTTGTTTTCACGGGGCACAACAACGTAAACATCGGGCCTATTCACTACTGTGTTGTCGCCGACGCGAACGGTGAATACGTGCTCTCGGAACCTATAGCCGCGGACAAGGATTTGGCCCAGACATTCGGAACTCAGAACGTGCTGCTTTATGAAACGCCCTTTGAAGATCTGACGTTGGATCAGAAACAACTATCTATCGTGCACTTGCTCGATACACTTCCTGATATAGACTCGATGGTCACATTTATCAGAGGTAACTCTCATCACCATCGAAAACTCGCTTCGTGGGGAGAACGCGTCTCGCCAGCAGCACTTTGCCTGCTGCGCTGGATAGTATCGAGCAACACAGCCTGCATTTTCTTGGAGAAAGACGCCAAGATCAATGGCATGGAGAATCACATGCAATTCCGCCTGGCTCAAGGGAGCCCAGAAAAGGAACAGAGGTTTGTCGATGCTGTCAGGCAAGAGGGGGGAAAGACAAAGTATCCTACTCTCTTTGCTTGGCATGGGTCAGGAGTCGGTGCATGGCACTCAATTCTTCGTCAAGGTCTCAATTTCGATCGAATTAAGAATGGAAGGGCGTATGGCAATGGCGTGTATCTCGCCCAGAACTACAGTCTCGCTGAGGCCTACACTACGAGGGATCCATGCGGGTACAGGCATTGGCCATCAAGCAAGCTGAAAATTGTGAGCGCTATTTCGTTGAACGAGGTGGTTAATGCTCCTTCGAAGTTTGTCAAGGCGCCACCGCATCCGTATGTGATTACTCAGACCGACTGGATCATGGCACGATATCTTTTCGTTCGATGCTCCGACCCCCTGCATAAAGAGAGCAGTCAGCAAAAGCCACAAGAGATCTACCTGCAAGACCCCAAGTACACTGCCCGGGGTCCGGATGATAGACCAGTCGATATTCCTCGAGCCGCCGTATCAACTCACAGCGCGCAAGCACAATTGTCCCCAAGCCGAGGTGACGGTAGTCGCCAACTGGACGCGGGTTATGAGAGCGACGCAACTCTTGATGAGGATCGAGCTTTTCTCGAATCCTACCCTGCAGATAGTGAAGCAGATCCTCTGGCAGCAGCCTTGCGGCAAGTTCTGAGGACAACCAACCTCCGGCTCTTACCTCCGCCATGCTACGCAACCTCGCAAGCGACGAAAAGACTGAACTGGGAATTGAAACTAACCGCAGAACTACAGAAGCAGGAGTCACTGGCGAACCTTGGCTGGTACATTGACCACGAAACGGCCGACAATCCGTATCAGTGGCTCGTGGCGCTTCACAGCTTCGAATCTACATTGCCTCTGGCACACGACCTTGCCGCCACAGAGAGCCAATGCGTTCTCGTCGAGATCCGATTTCCGTCGTCTTTTCCATTCTCCCCTCCGTTTATTCGAGTCGTCAGACCTCGGTTTTTGCCACTAGCTGCTGGAGGTGGAGGACACGTGACTACCGGGGGAGCCATCTGTATGGACCTATTGACCAGCTCAGGGTGGAACGCGGCGTATTCTCTGGAAAGCATACTGCTAGAGGTGCGTTTGGCTCTTTCGTCGAAGGATCCTCATCCTGCGCGTCTGGACAGACAGCGAACCCATGATTACTCCTGGGGCGAGGCCGTCGAGGCCTACAAGCGTGCGTGTCGAATCCACGGCTGGAAGGTGCCGGAAGACTTTGACCAGATGCAGCAAGCATGATGAGGATGAAGATGACGGCCATTTTCTTGGAGGGAGACTGCCATGTAGTTATGAATTTCAAAGTCCTCAATACACAACTTTCCTATTCCACTTTGGCTACCTCTTGGTTGGCTCTTGTAGTATGTGTCGACTCCTTGAAGGCTGTGAATATACTCCGGGGGATGTTCACATCTTGTAAGCTTAATGTGTTAGGTCCTTTAAAGCTTGCATGAACGGTAGAGGATTGACAACCAGACAATCGATATTATGAGATGCGATTAGGTCCCCCGGGCTAATTTCCATAAGGACCACTCGACGGTACGGGGTGTGAGAGGAAAGAACGGAGTGGAATCAATCAGAGAAGCAGTTTTCCAAAAAGGCAGCTGTGGCCTCTCCGCACGAGGCCAGTTCTTTTGGATAGCACGGAGCTGCCTGCAACTCATCATCCACAACAGCTATCATTCTTCTCGACTGTATCATTCGGGTCTTTTCCTCTCTAACCCAGCAGATCTTCTTCCAGGCTTGGCTTCCGCGTCATGGGTTGGAATCCTTCCCAAGTGTATTGCCTGCTTCTTCCCTCGCAGAAAATCCCCATCTCCGCTACTACAGGAAAATGGATCATTGGGACTGTGTTGGTTAGCTGCGGACTATTAGTAGCTTGTATCACAGCAGCCAAAACCGTCAGAGGCACCCGATTTTCACTCCCGACAGAAGGCCACTTGATTTCCGCCGAAGAAGCTCGGCGCAGACTGTGGGCTTATGGCGACATTGAAGACTACCCTGAGTTGGGATCCTGTTGTGTTCATTACGGCACACTCGGGACTCCTCGTATTGACACCTACATCTACCCTGCCCGCCAGTCATTAGGTATCTGGGCATTCTACGATGTATCCAGGTAAAGCCTCTCTGTTGCAAACTCGTGTCTCCCCCTTTATCTGACTGACTGATGACCAGCGGCGTAATGGTGGACGATCAACCCGTGCCTACGTTGGTCCGTACCGTCTTGCGCGAGTTGATGGGTTTGGACACAGTGAACACCCCTCCAGACGCCGCGTCAGTGATTCGAGCCATACAGCGTGGATTCACGCGAGCTAAACACCATCGTTTCGGCCCGGTGGTCGTCGAAGAGCCACGCCATGTTCCGGCGTCAGACCCAGCTTGGCGAGACGCCTTGCTTTCAGTCTACTTCCATCAGTCAAGGGTTTTTTATGTGGCAGGGTCCGGCCACTCTCGCGCAGTATGGGGGCGTCGCAGCAAGCGAAGGGGAAAGTCATGGACGGCCACAGTACTTCCCGAAAATCGAGACGCACTCGATGTTGAGCAAATGCCTGTCGGGTCTGCGCATGCCAAAGTGTCCCTCGTCGAACGACTCAGACGGTTCCTCGGGAGCTTTGAGCCCTTCCAGGATGCTGACGAGATACCTGGACTTGACGACATGTCCGATGGTGATGCGCAGATGGGTCCCATGGCCAATTCATCGCAACCCGCCTCTGATCCACCGGTCACTTGGGTGCAGATCAAGCCTAAGGATGAAGAATTCGTTGTGCTGGCCTCGAAGAGAGTTTGGGAGCATTTGAGTTGTCGGGAAATTGTGGCACTGGTGGGGCGATGGATAGATGAGCGAGAGAACATGGGGACTGATCTCGGCCGGCAGGGGTGGACGCAATACATCTCTTCTGTGGGTGTGACAACGGTGTCCGGTCGTGCTGTGGCCGGGTGGAGAAGACCGCGTACAAAAGATGAATTAGTACTGGAAGACGCTAATGTCGCAGCTCATCTTATTCGAAATGCCCTCGGCGGGTGGCTGCAGACTCGACATCGGGACGCTCTATGGGCCAGATTATCTTCTATAGGCAGGAAATATCCAGATGACTGTCATGTCACGGTCATTCTGTTTGCTGGGAATCTCGGTTTTTGAGAATGACATTGACATGGGTCCATGAGTAGTTCGATCCATATAGTATATGCCACTGCGACAATGGCGACAAATATATAGCATCAGTGTTCGTATATAGTACAGTGTTGACTCGATAGAGAATACGCTTGTCACCCCATGGTTCGGTATCAGGCCATATAATGTAACTATAATGAGCAGCATGGCAATCCAAAGATGTTCAAGCTTCGCCTCAGTTAAACTACTAATACAATCGAAGTATAAGATACCTTCTAGACTAGATTCATCGTAAACCACCCAGATGGACAAAAAAAGCAAAAAAGAAATCTCCCCGACTGGGAGTCGAACCCAGGTCTCCCGCGCTTGTTCCCGAGTGGGATTGACAAGCGGAAATCATGACCGTTAGACCATCGAGGATTGGAAGATATATTAGGGAGCTTAATTTAACATCATATCTCAAAAAGCCACTAAACGATGGTCACTTCACCATAGGCAGTGATGTCACGTCACATGCACGACCTTATCTTATCGGGGACTGCCGCCTAAAAATGCAGGCTGGGGTAAACTTACATAAAGCTTCCAGTCTGCTTGCAACCACTTTCTGTCTGTTGGGTTCCCCTAATGCTTCTTTGTTCTCTGGATACACCTCAGCGTCAGCGCAGAGCAGTCTGCTGCTACGACACAACATGGATTCCGATGACAGCATGGAGCACGAGGCTCAGAAACCGCCTGCGGGTCTAGAGCACGAGCAGGCGCATGGAGGAGACGAGGACCTCGATGAGAAGTAAGTTTCACTCACACTCAACAAAGATTCTAAACTCTCGACCACATCGGCGCATACGCTGCGCTTTTGAATGGGAACTGTCTGACTCGCCGTTGACTACTCCATTCCTGCCCCGTGGATATCTCGAAGGAGTGTTATGTACTGACCATGTCAATCCTCGCAAAAGATACCCCAACCGACCGCACAACCACTCCCCGACACCCCCCTTCCACACCCTCTTCGAAACCCTCTTCAACCCCCTCAGCGCCATCAAGAAACAGCCCGCCTCCACGACCGCCAAACCGGCAGTCAACCGCCGCAAGCTAGGCCCCCACGGCGGCAGCAGCAGCACGACGCTCAACCCGTTCGAGCGCCGGCGCGACGTGATCGAGCGCTTCATCTCGCACTGGCGCCAAACCGTCGGCGATGACATCTACCCGGCCTTCCGGCTGATCCTCCCGGACAAGGACCGCGACCGGGCGATGTACGGGCTGAAAGAGAAAGCCATCGGCAAGATGTTTGTGAAGATCCTCAAGATCGACAAGAACTCCGAGGACGCGGTGGGGCTGCTGAATTGGAAGCTGCCGGGTGGCCCGCACGAGGCGCGGTTCGCGGCGGGGGACTTTGCGCGGCGGTGCTACGATGTCATCTCCAAGCGGCCGATGCGCACGGAGGTCGGGTCGATGCTGATCGAGGAGGTGAATGAGCGGTTGGATCGGCTGTCGGCGGCGGGGCGCGAGGGCGAGCAACTTGGCATTCTGCAGGAATTCTATCGCCGCATGAACCCCGAGGAGTTGCTGTGGTTGATCCGGATTATCCTGCGGCAGATGAAGGTGGGCGCATCGGAGCGGACGTTGTTTGATGTGTGGCATCCCGATGCCGAGGGACTGTACTCCATTTCGAGTAGTCTGAGGCGGGTGTGTTGGGAGCTGCACGATCCGAATGTCCGCTTGGAAGACGAGCGCCGGGGCATTGCGTTGATGCAGTGCTTTCAGCCGCAGTTGGCGCAGTTTCAGATGCAGAGTCTCGAGAAGATGGTAGGCAGGATGCGCGGCGCGGTGGATGGGGATGATGCCGAGAGCGCGTTTTGGATTGAGGAGAAGTTGGACGGCGAGCGCATGCAGTTGCATATGGGGCCGGACAATGAGGTGGAAGGGGGCCGGAGATTTCGCTTCTGGTCGCGCAAGGCCAAAGATTATACGTATCTGTATGGGAATGGGCTGTTCGATGAGAATGGCGCGTTGACCAGACATTTGGCGGATGCGTTCGCCGACGGGGTCGAGAGTGTCATCCTGGACGGCGAGATGATTGCCTGGAGCCCGGAGCAGGACGCCCCGGAGCCGTTTGGCACCCTCAAGTCGGCGGCCATTGCGGAGCAGAGAAACCCCTTCGCTAACGGCTCGCGGCCGCTGTTCCGGGTCTTTGATATTTTGTATCTGAATGGCCATGACCTGACGCGGTACACGCTGCGGGACCGCAGGAATGCGCTGCAGAGGAGCATCGAGGACGTCCATCGCCGGTTCGAGGTCCACCCCTACGAGGAGGCGACCAGCACCGCCGAGGTCGAGGCCGCGCTGCGCCGCGTCGTGGCCGAAGCCTCCGAGGGTCTGGTCCTGAAGAACCCGCGCGCCCCATATCGACTGAACGAGCGCCACGACGACTGGATGAAGGTGAAGCCGGAGTACATGACCGAGTTCGGCGAGTCGCTGGACCTCATCGTGATCGGCGGCTACTACGGCAGCGGCCGCCGCGGCGGCGCGCTCTCCAGCTTCCTGTGTGGATTGAGGGTGGACGAGTCGAGCGCGGCCTCATCGTCCCAGCCCGCCGAGCCCTCCAAATGCTACTCGTTCTGCAAGGTGGGCGGCGGGTTCACGGCGGCAGACTACGCCAATATCCGCCACCACACGGATGGCAAATGGAAGGAGTGGAACCCGAAGAAGCCGCCCTTGGCGTACATCGAGCTGGCGGGCGCGGGCAATGCGCAGCACGAGCGGCCGGACATGTGGATCAAGCCGGAAGACTCGGTGGTCCTGTGTGTCAAGGCCGCCTCGGTCTCGGTCAGTGACCAGTTCCGCATCGGGCTGACGTTGCGCTTCCCCCGGTTCAAGCGGCTGCGCGGGGACAAGGACTGGCGGAGTGCCCTGTCGGTACAGGAGTTCCTGGATCTCAAGTCCAATGTGGAGCAGGAGCAGAAGGAGAAGGCGTTCGACGTGGAGAATTTCCGCAAGAAGCGGCAGAAGAAGAGCACCAAGAAGCCTTTAGCCATTGCCGGATATGAGGCGGATGCGGAAGTCAAGTATGCTGGGCCATCAGGGCATATCTTCGATGGACTGAACTTTTGTATGTTAGTCGCCCCGAGGACTCGGGTCCTGCTGATGATGTGTTTTGGCTAGTTGTCATGACCGACTCGACGACCTCGGTCAAGAAGACGAAGGCTGAGTTGGAACAGCTGGTGAAAAGCCACGGCGGCAAATTCTATCAGACGAACACGGCGGCTCCGGATACGATTTGCGTGGCCGACCGGAGTAAGAGTCCTCCATGCATCCAGCATGCCTGTATTCTACTAACAAAAAGGCAGGGACGGTCAAGGCGGCCTCGCTGCAGAAAACCGGCGAGGTGGATATCATTCGTCCATCGTGGATTTTGGACTGCATCCGACAGAGCGAGATCGATGCTGGTCTGCCGGATTTACTTCTCCCTCTGGAGCCTCGGTAGGGTTTGCGTGGTGGCTGGTGGTAGGGATGTGGCTGTGGCTGATGTGTGGGCAGACATATGTTCTTCACCACACCTGAAAAGGAAGCTGAGGTAGCAGCGAGCGTCGATCGATTCGGTGACAGCTATGCACGGGACACCACGCGGGAGGAGCTGAGCGAGGTACTTGTGCTTGGACCCCTCGTTCCCGTCTCCTCTACTGACTGACTCTGTCCTAGATACTGCAGAGGATGGAGACGAGCGACTCCGCCGACCGTCCCCACGACTCCAAAGCTTACGCCAAACTCAAGGCACATCTCTACGATAAGATCAACGCTGGGTGGCCGCTGCCCTGCGGCTGGCTCTTTGACGGATTGGTCTTTTACTTACCCCAGTGGCAACCAACCATTGCCGGTAGCCCGAAGACAGACGAGTCCGAGGAGATAGAACAACCTCCCCCGGAGGAGCAACAGCAACAGCAACGGCGACTTCACCTGGTACGAAACACGGCACGATTTGCGGGCGCCAGGGTGGTCGACACGGCGCAGGACCCAGCCATCACCCATGTCATCGTCCAAGGGGACGACGGCATGGGGCGGGCAGCATACAAGTCTTTACGGGCACAATGGGCTGATCGGGCAAAGATCCCCCATTTCGTGACTACGGTCTGGGTGGACGCGAGCTGGAGGGAGCAGACCCTGTTGGACGAAGAGAGTAGGTTCAGACACAATATTCTTGGATCTTGAGTTTGGTTTATTGCTGAGTGCTGACTGCTTCGGTAGACTTCCAACTGTAAAGGGAGGATAAGGGCAGACGAGCTCACGTCGGGTAGACGCGCATTGCACGGATGTCTCTCTCGTCCCCATGTCCTCCTTCCCTGTTTCTGAGAGACTGGATGGCTGGAGTTGTAGATAACCAACTCTCCTCTGAGACACGAGACCACATTTCAGGATGGATGGACGAATGGAAGGATAAGCCCGGCAAAGGCAACGCAAGGTAATGCAATGTCCGTGCTACTGCCACCAAACCATCGTCCCGAAGTGTCGTTACGGAGTTACTGTGTAGGTGCAACCATGGCAGCGCTTATCTCTGTCTCGGGGTTGAGTCACACAGCAGCCCGGTTTCTGTCTGATGTGCTTAGGTGCACTGGACATGGGGGTATTTATAGGGGCAGGTTGCCTTGCAGGATTGTATAGATCAGCTTGGGGTGGGTGGCCAATGGGGGGATTGGGCCTTATCTGTGGCCCGTCTTGGGGAATGATGTCTGCCGCTGAGGCTGAGGCTGATCTTCGAGCTAAAGGAGGGTGGTGATGGTGTTGTGACAGCTAGGGATATTTCATGATTGCTGTAACTAATCTGTGACTGTGTGTCGACTTCTGATAATTATGGCGATGATGAGGAGGATGCATACCTACCTAGTATTGAACTTACTCCAGATCTTCCCATGCAAATAACTACGGTAGTTAAAATGATATACCTCGATTCCACCACCGAACTAGGTACCTACTCCATCTTTACCCAGCTAATCCGAGAAAAGGTACTACCAATCCAGGAAGTAATCGTGATTGCAACTGTTGGAACCACAGACCATTCCATCCCGATTGGCCAGAGATAAGAACCCGAACCAGAACCCCAAAGCTGCAGTAAACCCAACCACCACCAACCAACGTAAACTCAAGTCAACTGAGACAGATGGGCAGATGAACCCAGTGCCAGAAAATAGTGTTCCGCACTGGCACTGCTAAAGATAAGTGTACAATATGGGGTCCGCGTAAGAGAGTTTGAAAATTACCATCCCTGTAATGATTATACTTCCTTGTAACTGACTACCTCGTTAGTGTCTTGGTGGCGGCGGTGATGACGGTATGTATCATCTTGAGGGATCCTAGTCCAAGTTTCCCTCCGGAGTAGTGACGGTAGACATCCCACGATATTAAAATATATAGTCCATTGATTATGATTGTGCTGAGCTGGGCTAGCTCGGTAGTAGCTAAGGAGTAGGAGCGTGATTTTGCCACCCCCGGAGTGCGGGAGTGTCGTCATTTCATTTCGATCAACGTTCCCTCAGGTTGTTTTCCGGCTGGTAGTTACTATGTAGGGGGGTATGTATGTCATCGATTTGTGCATGGTTAACTATATATGGTTCTATAATGTGGTGTAACTCATGGAGTAAGCACTCACAAGTGTTCGCTTCTTACTGACAGACTGACTTTGAACTGTAGGGTTCGGAATCAGGATGGATCGTAGTTGTCTCTGGCGTGATGTTCTTTTTTTTGTGGGTGGAATAGTAGGTAACGAACTAACCACCACCATCTGCCAGTGCACCGTGCACCGTGCCCAGTGCCCAGTGCACAGTGTACTCAGTATCTCGGTTCAGTAAGTACATTGGAATTGATAGGTAAAAACGGGGCACTGCGTCCATGACTCCAGCAACCCACCGATCCCCCCCGGGGCCCCGTTAGACAACGCAACCCAAGACGAAACAATACAATCACAACTACTTTATCAACAAGGTCGGCTACAGCAGTTTACCACCGGCCAATTCTGTTGGATTTGAAATCCCCGTCGGATCTCCAGACATTCGTCCATTCCCACATCTGGATTTCTAATCTCACCACCTGCACCTGCACCAAGAAACAAGGTTGGCGTGGCGGCTGGACGGCTGGCCGGCCGGCAGCACGGCGGGCTTAGGCTGAATGGCTGCAGACTAATTTAGGGCGGAGGGGGGGGGCTTCGGAAAGGTTGGTTTAGCCGCTGCTAATTTGAAATTAGTTTGGGTAGTTAACTAATTTGTCTTGAGTTAACTTAAGTGGGACGGAGTTATCTAGGGGATATGTCGGTAGTTGAACTTACTAACGATGGATTATAAGATAAGTTTAATGTCAGTTGTGCTTGTACAAGAGTTGTGTACTGCGTACTGTGCAGTGTTCTCCTAGTGGTACTTGCGTAGGTCTGTGTGGGTTGATGCCATTGGCTATTATCCAGGCACAAGAAGTAAGGTAGCCATGTTTATTGTTGCTATTCTGCTGTGCTGTATAGCTATGGAGCTGCTGCTTGTTCAGTATAACTGTAGGTATAGGTATAGGTATAGGTATAGGTAGGTATAGTGTAGTGTAGCAACTGTAGCAACAAAGGATAAGGTGCGCCCCGGATCTTCCCGCCCCTTCACTCCATCTCGTCTCAAACGCCAGTCTATGCATGTCTTCCAACGCCAGTCCAACCAAAACACAAATCGCTTGACACAACCAATCCAACAAAACTCCGTTCGTGCAATCCAAAAAAAAAAAAAAAATTACAGGCTCTCCACAGATACCCCCACCCAGCGCGAGGGAACCGCATTCTCATCCTCCTCGTAGTAATCACACCGGAACATCCGAGCATTGCTTCCCTTCCGCGCAGGCAGCCAGATCCGCGCCCGCGGCGGGACATCATCCCGCAGCTTGCCGCTGCGTCGCATGTTCATCTCCAGCACCACCATGCGCAGGAAGTCGCTGTTCTCGCGCGGCTCCCGGGGCCGGCTCGTCGGGGGATACTCCGTCTCCGAGACCAGTGGCGGGCGCGCGAGCGGGGAATGCTTGGCCCGGCTGCCGCCGCGTCTACCCGAGCGCCGGTATGTTTGCATCTGCACCGAGACCACCGGCGAGGACTCCATCAAATTCTTCTCGTCGCGCGAGTAGTCCTGATAGGCGTACATCTCGGCCGGAGACACAGTCACCGGGTTAAGGTACCGGCGGAGAGCGGGCGAGGGCGGCTCAGGCATCGGCGGCGGCCGTCGGTCGTCCGTCATCTCCGGCGTGATCGTGAACACGGACCGTGTCAGGAAGTCGTCCGATGGCACCGAGGGGGTCGCAAAGGTGGAGACCGTCTGGGCTGCCGATTTGATCGCCCGCAGCGAGGCGGTCAGATTCGATTTGAAACTCGCGCCCAGTCGGGGGAAGGCACCCGAGGGCGTCGGCGTGCTTGGGGTCGGTCCCTTGGCCGCCAGTAACGACTGTAGGTCCAGTTCATCGTCTTCTGACTCACAGTCCTCCGTCTCGAGGAGCGGGTGGTTGGAGGCGCAGTTTTCGCACGGCGAGAACCGCAAAAATTTACGGTCTAGTGGGCTTCGCTGGCTAGACGGTGTCGGCGGCGTAAGAAGACTGGGCGGTGATTCCAGGTCCCGCTCTAGCGAGGGGGTCGAAGCGATGGACATGGACGAGGCCGAGAACGATGGCGTCTCGCTGTCGCAGTCGCTACCAGCGGAACACCTCTCTGCCTCGTCTGGCGGACTCAGCAGAAGATCGAGTGCGGTGTTGCCCGTGCTGTCCATCAGGTTGTCGCTCACTCCGTCCAACAGCAGCCTGCTGAAGTCCTGCACATGGTTTCCTCGCGGCAATCGGCGTGATTCTCGTCCACTCTTCCCACGTCGGCGCACCGGAATCGTTGTCGCTTCCAAGATCGATGCGATGGAGCTGGGGACCGGTCGGTCGGATAGAGTCCCTGACGAGGACTGGGGAGTCAGGGTTCTTGGCTTTCTGGGTGTTCTGGGGCCGGTCGCCGTGTGCGCATGTACGGAGGTCATGCGAGGGCCTCGTTTGGGAGGAATAACGACGGGACTGGAAGGAATAGTCGATGAAGAGATATCGGAATCGGAGAGTAGTTCAAGGCCCTCTAACGTTCGGCCGGCTGCCTTCTTTTCGCTCGGAAGCCCCTTCAGGGGCGATGAGGCCGAACTAAAAAGGAAAGCTCTTGGGACCATCATCTTTACAATTTCTTTTCACAGCACAAGGATAGTAGTTTGATAAGGCGGCCTAGGCCAGACGAGGCACTCTGATCGAGCCTCTGAGCGAGATACATGGATGGGAGAAAAGACTGGAGAAAAGGCAAAAGAGAGATGATAGACACCTCTCCCGACGGACGAGCGAACTCCGCTGGGAAGAATATATACTGAGTAAGAGTATCCGCTAGCGAAGAGAACCACTTTTTTTTTGGTGTGTTGGCAGATGAGCCCCAGTTTCAAGCGGGGAGCCAAAAGCGGAAGAACGGCCGGGTGCGTCTGCAGGCACGCGACTGGCAGGTGTGGGCAGAGAGAAGGTGAAGAAAGATAAGGTGAGACGGGGAGGGTTTATTAAGAGAGGGGGAAGAAAAAAAGAGGGAAAGGGAGGATAAAGTATAGGGTAGTTGAAGGAGTAAGAGGAACAAGTTTATGGGGGAAGATAGAGACAGTTTTTGGTTTGGGGGGGAGAGGATGGAAGATGAAGAGGAAGAAGAAGAAGAAGAAAGACTTCGTAGTAATGATCTCAATGATAAGTGGTACCTTCAGTACGGAGACACTCCCTGTAATTCTCAGCCTTAATCCGCACTAGTTCCGTAACATCGGGTCTCGGCGGAGTCGCAACCAACTTCCCAATCGGAGCGACCCTTGAATTTGCATTGCCTAATACACAATAATCAGAACAGTGAGGCGCTCACCGCTTTGTGCTTTCGTTCAGGCGGTAAGGGCGGATGCCCTCTGCCGAAACCATACCATTACCGTTCATGATCATTCAAAAGTACTAGTCCTGTATGCCATTGGTCCCCGGTATGTTCTGGAACCCATCACGTAACGCTTTCGGCAGGAAGAATGCCCCGGGCCCCACCGAAGAATGTTCCATCTTACCGTGGCTTACGTACTTTGTAGACCACACAGTAAATTTCAAATACCGAGGTGCTGCCCAATCTACACCACCTGTCCACCACACTAAGAGGTATCTACAACACTCCTATCGGGACAGCGACAACAAAGAGAACTAATATGTCAAGTACAGACGTCTCGACAAGCATCTGCAACTGTGATCGCATTCTGCATCCCGCTGTTAAGCGCAGGTTGAATGAGGCTGGTCCTGACATAGTCACCATGCTGACCCCTGACTGCTCGTGAAAGTCAGTCATGCTGACGACAAGCACTGGTCCTGTGTGCCTGCAGCTGTCCGACCCAAATTACTCATCTTGGGTCGGAACGATGTCGCTGAGAGAACGAGATACCATCGAGTAATAACTATCAAATAATGAAAGAGGCGGTAAGGCCTGGCAGCGGATCTACCTGCCTGAATGAGAAGCATTGATCGATAGAGAGATCCATAGTTATTCACAGTACTGTGTAGTTTACTTCCATCTTCATTGTAGCCCAGGGCACCCAAAACCCACCTACTCAACTGACAGATATTACCCTACAATGGACAGAACCAGTCTGTCTGAGTAATTATCAGACGATGAGCTGGTTCATCGGTATACCATTGAACGACACTGAACCAGTGGGATGAGCGAAGAGTGCACATTAGTCAGCTCTCCTTATCGCCGCCCGCCGCTCTCCGCCCACCCGCTTTTCCCCAATGAATCTATCACTGAATGAAGAAAAATAGAGTCATCCACACCTCTTCGTCATCCTCCATCGCCTTCAGTCCCTATCGTCATCCTGCTCCTTACTTCGTCCAATCATCCTTGTCCCTTATCAGTCCCTTCTTATCATCTTCCCCCCCTCTTCCCCGTCACCCCAGGATCTCGAGATGAACTGAGCTTCTTACACGCCTCCACTTGCGGGTCATCTCAATTTGTCCATCTGATGCCCCTCGTCGCGTGGCGCCTTTACGGTTCATTGACAACACCCTCTCATTAAACTCGTACGTGAATCGCATGGCAGGTGATCTCCCTTAAAAGCCTGACTCGAGACCCCCCTGTAACCTCCCAATTTTGTCGCATCTAGCCCCCTCACTCCCTGCCTTTACACCAATGGATTTTCTCTAGTTTCATGCACATCCCCCCCAAACTAATGGCTTTCCCTTCCCCGCAGATTCGTCCGTTCACCACGGCGTTTATGCCGGTTGAAGTGGTTGACCTATCACACCCCCCCTCCAACCTGTGTCGAGACCTCCATTGAGGCCGGTCGCCCCAGCAGATCGCCAAGCTCCTTCCACCCTTGAGAAGCATGCCCCGCCCCATCTCGACCTTCTCTCCGAACACTTCTGGGTGGACCTGACAGCAATGGTAGACGGCTCCGCGGAGATGCCGCCAGACATGAGCGCGGCTCCTTCAACCACTGGGACACAAAGAAAAGGTGGCCAGGGACCCGCGGCCGACAATGCTGCCGCCTCGAAAAGGCGTTGTGTCAGCACCGCCTGTATTGCCTGTCGCAGGAGGAAATCAAAGGTTCGAACCGGTGACCTCCTCCTCCTCCTCCTCCCTTGGTTCTAAACTTACTCAGTGCCGCAGTGTGATGGCAATTTACCCAGCTGTGCAGCGTGCTCTTCCGTATACCACACGGCTTGTATGTAGTCTGCCTTCCCGTGACTAGCTTGTGCTGATATGCCTTCCAGGTGTCTATGACCCGAACTCAGACCATCGCAGGAAAGGGGTGTACAAGAAAGACGCGGATACTTTAAGGACGAAGAATGCGACCTTGTTGACGCTGATCCAGGCCCTACTCAACTATGAAGAGGAGGATGCCTTTGATCTGGTACGCCAAATTCGCTCCTGCGACAATTTGGAGGATGTTGCGCAATCCATTCTCGGACAACAAGACAAGCTCCCACTGGCTCCTGACTCAACAGGAATCAGCGGAGATGAAGCGGACCAATTTGAGTCGGAGCTGTCGGGGAAGATGAGTGAGCTCATGTTGGACGGCTCCCGGAAGTTTATCGGCGGCACATCCAACCTCATCTTCTTACCGCCTGGGTCCGAGCTGAATGAGTTCAATGTCAATGCTAACCACCGGGGGCCGGACAAGGGAACCGAGGTCTCGGTGTCCCAGTGGACCAGAGTCACTGATGATGAGAAACTAATCAGCCATTTGATGACGATGTATTTCACCTGGCACTACCCATTCTTCACGACGCTATCCAAAGACCTTTTTTATCGGGATTATCTCCGCGGAATCTCCAGCCAGTATTGCTCTTCTCTGCTGGTCAATACGATGCTAGCGCTGGGCTGCCACTTCACGTCCTGGGGAGGAGCTCGTGAAGACCCCGCTAATCCTGCGACAGCTGGCGATCATTTCTTTAGGGAAGCCAAGCGATTGTTTTTCGAAAACGACGAACATGCGAACGCGAAGCTCTGCACTGTTCAGGCCTTGGCGTTGATGTCCGTACGCGAGGCCGGATGCGGCCGCGAAAGCAAAGGTTGGGTATACAGTGGAATGAGTTTTCGCATGGCTTCCGATTTGGGGTTGAATTTCGACTCGACCAGCCTGGGAGTACGTAGTCTCAGTGAAGAAGAGATAGATGCGCGCCGAATCACTTTTTGGGGATGTTTTCTCTTCGACAAGTATGTAGTGTCATCATCCCATCCACCCAGGAATTGAGTCTAACTTCTCCAGATGCTGGTCCAACTACCTCGGACGTCAGCCACAGTGGACTATTGAGAGCGTGGGGGTTTCCATGCCCGAGATCCTCCCCAATGAGGAGGCCGCACCGTGGACATCTTTTACGGATGCTGGAGCCTCTGGTGACCAGAGTCAGCCTTCGCGGACCCGAGCCATCGCTGTCCAGATCGCAAAACTGTGTGAGATCAACGGTGACCTGCTTGTGTTCTTCTACGACCCGAAGCCCAAGGACAAGCCTTCTTCCAAGCAATCCGAGCTCAAGAAACTCAGCGAGATCCACACGAGACTCGAAACCTGGAAGAAAAATTTGCCAAAGGAACTCGGCCCGCAAGACGGGCAACTCCCGCAGGCGCTTCTCATGCAGTGCGTTCTAACCTCGTGATATGAAGGTCAACCAGTTGACTGACTTCCTCAAGCATGCTCTATCAGCTCCTTCTTATTCACCTCTATCGCCCCTTTCTGAAGTACACCAAGTCCACCTCTCCGCTTCCGCAGCATGTCTCGCCTCGAAAGTTGTGCACTCAAGCGGCTTCTGCGATCTCCAAATTGTTGAGGATGTATAAACGCGCCTACGGGTTCAAACAAATTTGCAATGTTGCAGTCTACATGGCCCACACCGCACTCACAGTACATCTTTTGAACCTCCCCGAGAAGAATGCCCAAAGAGATGTCGTACATGGACTTCGGCACCTTGAGGAAATGGGAGAAAGTTGGCTTTGCGCACGCCGCACGCTTAGGATTCTCGAGATTTCAGCCAACAAGTGGCATGTCGAATTACCCCCAGAGGCTGTCACCACATTCGAACAGACACACGTTCGATGGGGCTCCTGGGGCTCCTGGGATCAAGCCTTGTCCCCCCCAGCATCGGAAGATTCTCCACCAACGATATCCATGTCATACCCCGAGTCATATGCCAGGGGGGTTGGACCCCCAATGCCACCACGGCATGCTGCCATGGGTGGTCACAGCGGCAATGCTATGCATACAACACCTGCCACTACGGTCGGATCAATAGGCTCTCAGCTCCTGCCAGACCTTCCGGTCCCTGTTTCTGCATCAGCTATGCGTGCGGTGCAGCGATCGTTGAACACTCAGCTCGCTCAAGAAACCACCCGGCTCCCTGAGCCGACGTACTTGCGGCCGGTTGCTCATGCTTATGCACCATACCGGAATGTTCCTCTATCTCAGGCTGAAGTATGGTATAATGACGACAACATGCGTGCTTTCACCACTGTGCCAGAGAATTCTCCAGCGACGACTACGTCGCCCGCGAACGAGTACGGCGGATCGGAGAATTTGGTGGAAGAAAGCCAGGACTGGTGGTCGCGAGAGTCACACCGATTCAGTTTCGGAATGGACAACTGGGTGCCGGACTGGAACCCTGGCATGGCAAACAGGGCGTCGAACGCGAACCCAAGTAGCAGTTACCCTCTGAATGTTGGGCAGACAACGGCGCCGGAGAGCGCTCCGCACCCTCCACAAACCCCGAGATTCGCTGCAGGGGCCCCAGGGGCTCCATCTGGTACCACTAATGCGGACCAGCCTCCCACAATCCCTAGCTTTAGTAGTATGCCAACAACGGAAACATACCGCAGGCCATGAAGCGGTTGGCCGTATGATATATGTTATACATATATAAGGTTTCAGGTTTGATACTTTGATGTTATCACGACTCACGGGACAACGCAGATTTCTTCGGTCCTCACTAACCGCTTCATGTTCCGTCGACACACGAGTATCTATTCTCATCTAGATGTGTAGACGTTTAAGATCATAGCCGAAAATAACCCAATGTCTCTACCTATTGCTGTATATGTTCTGCCGCCAATTCTCCATAAATATGCTTGCGTCCAGGTCGCGGACTTCATTTATCATAGGAAGCGGAAGCAAAATACATAATTAGCCCCTGCCTCAGCCCGGCCCCACTCCATGTTAGAGTCAGACGGCAAGATTCATAAGTTCGCCAACTAGTATGGAGTTTACAGGGTTGCGAATAGTTATGAACAGTCAGTCGTATAGAAGTTTTCAACAATTCCGGACGAGTAGAAAAGTGAATCTCAAAGCCTGGATGACTTGTAGACAACTATTTACAACCATTAACAACTATTAACAACTGTGTATAACCAGAGTTGTTACCCATAATGTATTGACATGTTTTCACCTCTACTAGTAACTCTAGAACACTGCTAGCAACTACTTAAGATGTAGACTTATAACTTATAATAACGAACAGTTGAGGTAGCTGATTGTTGACTCATAGCAACTGTTGATAACCAACATTTAGTCACTGTTGACAACTCATAGCGATTCTAACCAAGGTAGCTATTACTGTGTGTTTACCAGTAAATGTCAATAGTTCTATTACGCAAAACGTACCATTGGTGCGGCACCCATTCTTGCACGACGCGTTCATTGTTGGCTTGCCTGCTTGTGGACTGATGATGGCTTGCTTTTCAGCCTGACTGAGTCTTGCGGCCAGATGCCAAACGCCAGATGCCAGAGGCCAGATGCCATAGGTATGCCGTAAGTGTCTCAGCTTGGGCCTCTAATTTACATCAACCAACCAACCAACCAACTAACCAACCAACCACGAGGATCCCCGTTCTACATGGGCGACAAGCACAAAGAAAGAAGGTAGCAGTTACATGACTTTCTGCACATATCGACGTATAATAGGTTACGGGTCGTAGCTGCTGGAAGAAGGACTCATGATAGATATATGTGAGTCGAGGTTCAGATCGAGATGGAAACTACAGATAAAAAGATTTCGGTTTAAGGCAGTTACAGAAAGATAGAGAATAGTATTTCATCATGGAATAGATTTGGATGCAAGTTACAGATGGAATAGAAGAGAAAAGGGTCATGTTCATGTTGACGGTTGTTCCGGCGTATATATCATGCCAATGAGAGGGCGGGAGAGAGGTAGAGGTCTAAGATGAAAGGGGGACGAGGGGCTTCTGGATGGAAAAGGGCAGAACACTTGGTATCACTTATCACTGTATGAGACTGCGTGTTAGTGCTTGTGCTTTTGCTTGTGTTCAAGGCCAGGGCAACTTTACCAGGAAATAATCGGCAACAGGCTTCTTCGCTGGCATGCCTCGCGTATCCTGCGCGGCAGCCTCAAAGACCCGGTATCTTCGACCGGGGCTGCGGACGACGGCCGCAGCAGCGCCGTTGCTGCGGTTGTAGTCGCCGTTGCTGCGGGAGACTGTGCCCCCGTTGCTGGCATCCTCCCCCAACTCCAGGATGGAGGCGACGTTGCCGCAGCGGTAGCAGTAGTTGGGGGCCGACCAGACGGTGACGATGCCGCCGTCAAACATCTCCTTGTACCCTTCCATGACGAGCTGGTGGGCGCGCGCGATCAGCGACAGGTCGTTTTTGTAGTTGAAATGTTTCACAATGTCGCCCCCAAACAAGAACCCGGCGCCGCGCGGGCTAAGGCCCCAGCCGTCGATCTCGTCCGGATCAGACCACAAGAGGTCGCACATCGCGCCCTCGTGCGGCACTTCCTGTTTGCGGTCGATCAGCCGGATTTTATCCACGGTGTCGATCAGCGGAGAGAGACCGCCGTGAACACAGAGGACGGCCCCCGTGCCGGTGGAGTAGCTGCCCGAGGAGTCGCTCGTGGCTCCAGTGCCTGCCCATCCGGACCGTATGGGCGGCATGGAGGAGGCCGGGTTCTGGGTGGACGACGTGGCGGATTTGTCTTGTGAAAGGGAAGGAAGGAGGGGCGAATCAACGCGGTGCTGTTTGGGGCGATAGGTGCTCATCGTCACCTCGCCGCGCGAGTTCAGCACCTCGGTCTCCAACTCGCTGTCGTCCAGCGACATGGTGGTCGACGTGGTCTCTAGTGCGGGCCCGGAGGGTTCCAAGCCGGAGCTGGCGCCCAGCACCAGCGCTCCCAGCGCCAGGTAGTCAAAGACCTCGCAACAGTACCGCCAGACATTAGCGTTGCCGTATTTTCGGATGCACTCGTCGTAGAAGCCGTAAACAGTCGTGATCTGGCGCGACTCGTGGTTGCCGCGAATCAGCGTGATGCGGTCGGGATACCGGACCTTTAGGCACAGGAGGAGAAGGAAGGACTCGAGCGAGTAGAATCCGCGATCAACGAAGTCGCCCATGAAAAGATAGTTGGTGTCAGGTACATCGCCGCCCACGCGGAAGAGCTCCATCAGATCATGGAACTGTCCGTGGATGTCGCCACAGATGGTGACGGGCGCGTCCACGCACACCACATTGCCTTCTTCAATCAGGAGTTCTCGCGCTTTGTAGCAGAGTTCGCGGACTTGGGATTCGGGGATCAGACGGCAAGCGCGGAGTTGCGCGATCGCTCTGCACGATAGTGAAAGGGTGAGTTAGTGCTCTTATTCGTGGTTGGTTTGTTATTTTCTGCCTGCGCGCGAGAAACATGCACGGTCGGGAAGATGATTGGACTGAAGATAAGAGGACAGAATGTATGCAGTACCTGTCTAGGTCACTCATGATGTGACAGTAGTGAAAGGATGAGGCTCACTGAGGTCGGAGGAAGGAAGCTGGATGGGAGGGGGCAAGGGAGGGGTGGGTCCTGGCGGCCGAAGAATGGAGGGTCGGTCTCACTCAGCTTCGAGACGTAAAAGCCGGGCGAAAAAGGAAAGGACAACAGCTAAGTGTGAAAAAAATGAACGCTCATCTTTTCGTCTAAGCAGTGCTGAAAAAGAAACAGCAACGTGAGTTGAAAAGGGGAGATGGTGGGGATGGGAAGAGCAAAGACGAAGGCGAAGGGGCAGATGATGAAGTGGAGGAGGAGGAGAGGAGGAGGAGGAGGAGGACAAGAAGGTCTGCTGCTGCTGCTGTTTCTGTAATTACGGTAGCTTTCAGGTTTACCAATCACGGGGTTTGCAGATAAGATTAGATCTGATCTCCAAGTTGCAAACCAGTTCCGACCGAATTCTTCCACTTCCGAATCAAGAAACCTTACGATCGATGGATCCAGAGATGATTCAAGGTTCCCCGTTTCCCTCCCCCCTCCTCCACCCCTCCACCCCTCCCCCAATTCCCTTGACATCTTGATCTGCACCTCCTCCCGTGCGGTCCTTGCGCTTGACTTGCTTGGTCGAGGGGCAATGCCGTTCTTTTTTTTCCTTTCTGTACACTTCCCTTGAGTCAATTCTCACTCAATTGCTGCGAGGTATGTGTTTCGTGTCGCTGCCTTCGGGGTGCTTCCCCTCCGTCAATTATCCTTCCACTAACACAACCTCTCCGCCTGCAGACAAGCACTACAGCCCTGCCCACTCATTTCTTGAGGACCGCTCAATTGCATCCATTTAACAGCCGACAATGCCCCCTCATCTTCATCCTCGCTCGCGGTCGACGAGCTCCCTCTTTGCAGCTACCCTCCTCGCATCTCTCTTTGTCGTCGGCCTGCCACATGTGTTTCCCTGCCCAGCGCCCCGCCGCACTCTTGCCGACTCCGAGATGACCGTCAACGCAGACGGCCAACAGATTCCGCGGGTGCGACGAAGAAGACGGAAGGACGCGGAATCCTTCGTTCCGGAGGACAAGCCCTTAGCTCAAACACCCATGGCCAGCGATGAAGAAGTCTCTACCTTTCTACAACTCGAAGCAGAGGCTGCTCAGCTGTCTCAAGCGGGCCGGGAGTGTCCGGTGCCCAAACCGAAAGGCATCTTGGGTGATCTGCTGGGATTCACAAATCGCGGGGACACACCATCACAACCACCATCGATGTGAGGTGATTTTTTCAGCGCTATGGAAGTATTTTGGAAGGGAATAGCGGACTAGTATTGTGAATTGGCCAATGGAGGCCATGTAGGATTCATTGGAAGGAAAAGTGGTTGATCCGGGGGTCTTTCCCAGGAGCTCACCATCTCCACGGCAGTTATATACCCATCTTTGTATCGATAGTGTACTCATAGGCACGACTTATGTGACTACATAGAATCAACTTGAACTGAATATGACGTTTAAACTACTACAGAACAGGCTGCTGTTGCTCGCGACTAAAAGGAAGCTGGCGGGCGCGGTTTCCAGTGTGTGTGGAAAGAACCACTAAGCCCAAACAGGACAGGTATTATTGGCTCCCGGCTCCCCGTTGCTGATGCTAAGGCCACATGCGTCGCAAGCCCCCAGCTCAATTCTTCAGGTTTCAAGCCTGCGCCAACCTCCACAATGGATTGGATACGCTTCTTCAAGGATCTTTGTCTGAACTCCAGACATACAGTATGGCTCGCCCCTCTTCTTGTCCTGGGCGATGCCTTTCTGTGCACCCTGATCATCTGGAAGATTCCCTGTATGTGTCCCTCGAGCGCTTTCATACTTGCCCGGAACTAATTGGCTCGCTTCGCTGGCAGATACTGAGATCGACTGGTCAACATACATGCAACAGATCGCTCTCTATCTTGGAGGCGAACGTGACTACACTCTAATCAAAGGATCTACGGGCCCTCTCGTCTACCCCGCCGCCCATGTATACAGCTATAGCCTCCTTTACCACCTTACGGATGAGGGGCGGGACATTTTCTTCGGGCAAGTCCTGTTCGCCGCGTTGTACCTGATCACTCTTGTCGTGGTGCTGGCTTGCTATCGGCAGTCGGGCGCTCCGCCGTATTTGTTCCCTCTCCTCGTGCTGTCCAAAAGGCTGCACAGCATCTTTGTCCTGCGGCTCTTCAATGATGGGCTGGCGGCGCTGACCATGTGGCTCGCCATCTGGTTGTTTCAGAAGCGGAGGTGGACGGCTGCCGTCGCGATTTGGTCTGTCGGAGTAGGCATCAAGATGACTCTGTTACTTCTGGCTCCGGCCGTGGCGGTTTGCACCGTGCTGAGTTTGTCTCTCGTGCCTAGCATCCGACTTGGGGTGTTGGCCCTGCTGGTCCAAGTATGTATCTGTCGCCTGTCTGGGCTCGGGCTTTTTTTGTATGCGCCATGCTAAAGAGGTTACAGGTTCTATTGGCCATTCCCTTTCTACGAGAAAACCCAGCAGGATATGTTTCGCGGGCCTTCGAGTTAACCCGGCAATTCATGTTCAAATGGACGGTCAACTGGCGGTTCGTGGGTGAAGAGTCATTCCTATCGAAGGAGTTCTCCCTAACATTGCTGGCTATCCACATCCTCTTGCTGATCATTTTCCTTGTCTTCGGCTGGTTGAAGCCTATCAACTCTCGTCTGCCAGAATTTGTCCAAAACCTGCTCACAGGCCGACACCAACCCGTACCGTTATCCAGTTCGTATATCATGGCCGTCTTGCTATCATCCCTTGCGATTGGTCTGTTGTGTGCAAGGTCGCTCCATTATCAATTCTTCGCTTATCTTTCCTGGGCAACACCTTTTCTCCTCTGGCGGGCAGGCCTCCATCCCGTTGTGCTGTACATCGTCTGGGCAGCTCAAGAATGGTCGTGGAACACATACCCGAGCTCCAACGCGAGCTCCATGGTTGTTGTCCTCTCCCTTGCGGTTCAAGTCTTTGGTATTCTCGCTAATCGCACCACCTCGTTTGCCGGTACGCGCGCGAATGGTGGAAAGGAGCATGTTCAATGAATGTCCGGGTCGGTCTCCGGTGTGGGCGTAAGAGTCCGGCAAAAGGTTCGGAGAAGGTGCTTCGTGATAAGGCGTGTCCATCATGCTCTGACTGGAGCGATAGCGCATCAAGCCTCCGAGCGTTGAGCGATTCCCAGTATGAAGAGGGCGATCATGCATCCGACTCATCGTCCGAGGGCGGCAATTTACCAACATTAGACTCCCCCTCTGATTCCTCGTCATCTGACGCAGCAATCACTTGCTTGGTGAACTCCTTAGGCCTGCAACAGCATTGTTAGTAATCTGAAGTATTCTGCATACGGCCATACAAACCAGAATGAAGCCTTGCGCCACGCCTTCTCGTCCCGAACAATGTTAACAATCTCGCCCTTCAGCTTGTTATCGCGACCCTCAAGAGCATTGGTGTCGATCACCACGTAAGATCCACGCTTGATCCAAATGGTCGACCGGAATCGCGAAGGCAATTCCACGAGAGCTGACTCCTTGAATGGTGTCTCGACCAGGTAGATGTTGTTGCCGGTGGCTTTAATGACTCGCGTGATCAATTGTCCCTCAGCAAGCTCATCCGGAGGGGTCATTGTTTCTTCCGCCGTGGCTAGTACCTTGCGCCGAGGGGGAGCCATCCTGATCGATTGTCGCGGTAGCCGCGTAAAAATGAGACGGAATGAGGTGGATTAAATGAATTGTACGTAGATGACGGTGACGAAGGACCAGAGTGGATGACGGAAGCCTTAATGGGAACCAAAAGAATTTTTTTTCTTTTCTTTTAAGCTTAGCGGAGAGGTTGAGGAAATCCCCGCCGTGTGGAGGGGAAAAGTGGGCCTTGGGCCCAATGCGGCAGGCAAGTGATTGTTCAGTTTGTTTTCCCCAGAATGCACAATTACTCTCCGTAGAGGCCGTACAGCCAAACATACTCTTCACCTTATCATCAACGACACTCTCCACCAATGCTGGGTTCTCAGCGCAGCTTGATGAAGTCTGCGAGATCTTGATGCGACAGAGTTAGCTGTGGGAGGTGTGCATCTGCCCTCTTCTGTATTTATCACATGCAAAGCCCAGCGCTAACTCGTCGAACACTCCGCCATCACAGCATCCAGACCTTTTTGGCAAAAGATAGGATAAGACTTGCCTACTACGAGTCATGCTGCGATTTCTATGCAGGGCCAAGACACGTCTTCGTGTTCAGCATGGTCCAGCTCACGAAGTTGGGGTACAAGGACTAGCGGCATCTGGCTCAAGATGCCAGGCGAATGAAAACTTGCCTGATCTTCTCGATCGGTGACTGTTCACAGAAGACATGTCATGTCATGTCAACGTACTCCTACCTGATTGGCCCTCCAGATTCAGAACCCTACTATACGACTTTAGCCGGGAACGACTACCTAGGGTTAGTAGTTATCAGCTGCGGGCGCCCCAGGTGAATTAGTCAGTCGATCGCCATTGCTACAAAGACCCCCGGGTGGACGGCCAAGCGAGACGGCAGATTGAATCGTGTGTTTGGTCCAGCCAGCCAAGTTTAGAGATTAGTCTAACGTGCTTAGGTACACTCAATCCAATTCCTGCAGCATGGCAGCCTCTGCTTTCGGCGCCCTGGTAGAGTTCCAGAGCTCACCTTCGATAGCCAGTCCGGCTGCCGTTGTACGCAGAGATAAGCAAGGCATCGCCCACACACCCTCCGATCATGAACTGGTGGAGCTACAGCAAGGAAGCTTACAGCCTGCCACTGGCGTAACCGCTCATACTGCCCCCGAAGCGCACACTTCCATCACCCCAGGTGAACTAGAGAGCCACTCGGCCTCACCGGGAGCAAACGAGGCCTATGGTCCAACCCCGACGTTCAGCAACCCATCAAAGACCAGGTGGCGCTTCATGAGTGCCTGCTTGATGAACTTTGCTCAGGGCTTGAATGACAGCGCTCCGGGTGCTTTGATCCCTTACATGGAGGAAGACTACAACATTGGTTACGCTGTCGTGTCTCTGATTTTCGTTACCAATGCTCTTGGCTTTATACTCGCTGCCTTGGTCACACATGTACTGGAAACGAAGTTTGGTCGCGCAAAATGCTACTCGCTATCCATGGTCACGATTGCCGCCGGCTTCGTGATCATTATTTGCAAGCCTCCGTTCCCTGCTGTCGTCGCGAGTTTTTTTCTCTTGGGACTCGGCATGGCTATCTGTTTGGCGCTCAATAATGTTTATTGTGCGAATCTTGCCAACAGCACAGCGGCTTTAGGCGGTCTTCATGGGTCTTATGGGATCGGGGGCATAGTGGGACCGCTTGCAGCAACCGCTATGGCGTCGCATGGAGTACGGTGGTCCCTGTTCTACTGTATCAATCTTGCTATGACACTGTTCAACTTGGCTTTCACCGCATGGTCATTCTGGCATTATGAAAAGGAGCTGCCAGCACAGCTAATAGGCGCGCTCAACCAGGCCGCATCCCAGCAAACCCACGGCTCCGACTCGGTAAGCAAAAGCCGTCTCCTCCAGCAAGCAATCAAGAACAGAACCACTCTGCTGGGCGCCCTGTTCATCTTCGCCTATCAAGGTGCCGAAGTTTCGATCTCTGGTTGGGTGGTGTCGTTCCTCATCAGCTATCGGCAAGGAGACCCGTCACACGTTGGTTATGTCAGTGCCGGCTTCTGGGCTGGCATTACTGTCGGACGCTTCTTTTTATCACACCCTGCCCACTACATCGGAGAGAAGCTTTCTGTCGTCCTACTTGTCATTGGATCTATCGCCTTCCAGCTGATGACCTGGCTCATTCCCAACATTATCGGCGATGCCGTCGCCGTAGCCATTGTGGGACTCCTCCTGGGTCCTGTTTACCCTTGCGCCACTGCCGTGTTCAGCAGGTTGCTACCCCGCTCGATGCAGACCTCAAGCTTGAGTTTTATTAGTGCAATGGGAAGCAGCGGGGGCGCTGTCTCGCCCTTTTGTACGGGTCTGTTAGCTCAGAAGGTTGGAACATACGTTCTGCATCCGATCTGTGTCGGTTTGTACGGAGTGATGCTCGTGGGCTGGATGTCACTCCCGCGTGTTGCAAAGAGATCGGAGTAACCCGTTTCGGTGGTATCTCTGGGCCGGATCTTGTTGGATCTGGATCTAAGCGACTAGAAGGGAATATGAGTGAGGTGGCAGATGACCCTTGCACTGTTTTAGGTCAAGTATCAGTGGAGCTGATGCAAGCAAGGGGATTGTCACCATCATCGTTTTGCAAGACCATTGGCTTTGCTTTGACATGCAATGAACCTAAAACACCCCTTCGTAGCATACTAGTTTCGTTGCAATGTTTATTGACAAGCGTATCTATCTTTGATGTGAAAATCAGTGTAGTGGTCGATTTGGGGGAAAATGTCACGGAGTGGAAGGAGGTGTGGATGATGCCTGAAATATGCAAGGCAGCAATTCTCGCCTCCGCCCGGCGACTGCCTGCCCAAAGAGGCAAATCATCCATGGGCGGTCAGGATTCATCGTTTACGGACAATCATCTTTCAATCCGATCCCAATTACTTACTATTCCTGTTTGTTGAAGGTGATGTCCATCCAAAATATACGGAGTACTACTTACTACTCCGACATACCTACCTCCAACGATTTGACACGCACGGGTGGGCAGATATAAGCCTCAACCAATTCAAAGTGGTTGGGTGATTGATTATCGTACCTTTGCCACGGGAGATTCCGTCTCTTGTTAGTCTCAATTCCTGTCTCACTCAACCCGTGGTCCTTTTTCCGACTGATTGATTGATGGATTGTTCAATGGACTGACTTGACTGACTTGACTGATTGAAAGTCAGTTTCTTCGCAATTCGTGCTCTTCTTCCCCTTCCCCCCCTCCCTCTCGTCCTTCCCACACTTATTTGCCCCCCTTGCTACGGAGTACTACGGAGGATTTAACTGTCAAGAAGAAGAAAGAGAGTAAGAGCCCCGCGAGTCACGGTCTACTCTTGTTATTTGTTGTTGAATTTCCTTCTTTTCTTTCTAAACACCCCTCTGTCCCTCCCACCCCACTTTCCTCTTTCCCATTCCATTTCCCCTCTCCGACTAAACTGACTGACTCTCTTCCCACTCACTCCCCCCGTCATCTTCCCTTCCTCCATAACTCCATAACTATCTCTCTCTCTCTCTCTATCACTTTCTCATTTCCCCTTACACCTCCCTCCTTCTCCCTCTCCTCTCCCACCGCCCGCCCCCGCCCCCTCTTTCTTCCCTACCCATCTTCTCACCTCTCCTGACTAGGACCCGGTCCCCCATCTCCACCCCTCCGGTTTTCTGTCAGTCTCCTCGCCTAGAGTTCTTCCCCCCCCCGAGAACTCCCAATCTCCATCATGGACGGGGACGAGCTCATCGCCTCGGTCTACCGCAAGATCGAGCGCGAGAAGGCCCTCATCGCCGCTGCGTCGAACATGCGACAATCCACCGACAACCCTCTCGTGCAGCAAAGGGTTGACGCAAATATTCGCGATGGTCAGAAAAATATCGCCTACCTCGAGGAGAAAATGCGGGAGTTGCAGTTGCGCCAAGAAAGAGGCCAGGCTTCCCCGACCGATCGACGCGTCCCCTCGGGCGATGGTGGCCCCGTGCCACCGCAGAAGGATTATGGCAACGAATATGGTGAAGCTTCCAGTCAATATCCGCAGGGAGGATCAGGCTCCATGCCGTCAGGGGCCCCATACGCCGATCCCCGCCCTTTCGCTCCCGTTCCCAAGGCTCGTCCCAATTACACTAAGCTCGGTAGGCATTTCACATCCCTGGTCGCCTGGGAGGAATTTACCTACCTCTTGTGCGCGATTGGCAGCAAGGCTGACTTGATCGTCTTCAGACTTGATCAAATATGACACTCAGTACTTGGGACCCAAGATTCAGCTGATGCTGTCCCAGCTGGAGTTCAAATTGAGTGTAGAGAAGCAGTACAAGGCTGGTATTGAGAAGATGGTCCGCTTGTATCAGGATGAGGGGGATCGCAAAAGTCGCGCCGATGCGGAAGGCCGACGCATCGAGAGTAACCAGAAGATTCAGTTGCTGAAGCAGGCCCTGAAGCGATACGAGGATCTTCACGTTGATATCGAGTCGGCAGACAGTCCCGATGGTCAGTCGCAAGCGCACCGACGCCGTCTTTCCCACTTGATCCGTAGCTAACCTTCGCTTCTGCCAGATGAGAGCCTAAGCACACCCAACCTGCGTAAGCCGCTCACCGGTCTGCTGACTATGCGCATCCATGCCGTGCAAGATGTAGATCACGCCACTAGCTCCAGATTCTCTCGAGGCCCGGAGACATTCGTGGTTTTGAAAGTGGAGGATACCATAAAAGCGCGCACCAAGGCGACACGAACCGATAGATGGCCGGATGAAACCTTCAATCTGGAGATTGATAAAGCGAACGAAATTGAGCTCACCGTATATGACAAGTCTGGAGATCGACCGACCCCGATCGGAATGCTGTGGGTGCGCATCTCAGACATCGCGGAAGAGATGCGCCGGAAGAAGATCGAAACCGAATTCAACGCATCCGGTTGGGTTTCGGCCGACAAGATGGGACACGGAGGACAGTCAGGACGGCCCAACACCGCTGGAGGAACGGGGTCATCTCATCAAGGTGGCCCCGGCGGCCCTGCAGGGGAAGCTGGTCCTGGTGGTGCGTCCGGCATACCGGGTGCCGGCCAGGTGATAATTGATTCTTGGTTTGCACTGGAACCAGTTGGTCGGATTCAACTGTCGATGAGCTTCGGTGAGTGCGACTCACGTCCTGGGTCGATCGGCTTGCAGACTGACATCCTTCACAGCCAAGCAACTGAAAGACCGCCGCCCGTTCGATATTGGTCTCAACCGTCAAGGTGCCGTTCGCCAAAAGAAGGAGGAGGTACACGAGAAGCAAGGCCACAAGTTTATCACGCAGCAGTTCTACAACATCATGCGTTGCGCACTTTGTGGCGATTTCCTGAAATATGCCGCCGGTATGCAGTGTGCCGACTGCAAGTACACCTGTCATAAAAAGTGCTATCCAAAGGTCGTCACCAAGTGTATCAGCAAAGCGAACTACGAGACGGATCCAGACGAGGAGAAGATCAATCACCGGATTCCGCACCGTTTCGAAGGCTTCTCCAACCTCTCGGCCAACTGGTGTTGCCATTGTGGATACTTGCTGCCGTTTGGACGCAAAAACGCAAAGCGCTGTACAGGTAAGCGGTTGCTTGAGAGAGCCCCGACGTTTGGCAGGAACTGATATGCGATTATATACAGAGTGTGGTCTTACGAGTCACGCCCACTGTACTCATCTTGTGCCCGACTTCTGTGGCATGTCCATGGAAGCAGCTAATGAGATTCTGCAAACACTCATACGGGCAAAGGTTCATAACAAGTCTCCTTCGGTCAGCTCTGCCAGTGGCCCCACTCGCCCTGTTCGTGCCCCTCAGGCTACGCAGGATAATACTTTGATGTCATATCCGTCCAAGCCTGAGCAGTATGAGCAAACACGACCGACACCTGCAACCATGCCTTATCAACCTCCGCAGTCCCCGACCACTCCAACAGGACCCCAAACATCTCCCGGTACTTCGGCTTCGCCCGATCTTGCCCGCGATGCCGCTGTGGCCGCGACCAATAATCATCGACCCCAGGTGATGCCAGGTATGTGGATAATCCAGCAGTAAGACTCAACTACGTGTCGTGGCTGACTTAATCCCGCTGTAGAGCCAAACCGTCCTGTGCAGCCTCAGCCGTCGCAGCATGCCCCCTATGATCCTTCGGCTTATCCCAGGTTCGAAGGACAAGGCGCGCAACATCAACAGATGCAGAATGTTGGGGCTCATTCGCCGTATGGCGTCCAGCAGCCGCCACAGCAACCAAACATGGTTGTGGCACAGAAGCAAGCACCCGAAGTGCCCCAGCAACAATCCAAGGTCCGAATTGGACTGGACCACTTCAACTTTTTGGCAGTCCTGGGAAAGGGTAACTTTGGTAAGGTCATGCTTGCGGAGACCAAGAGCACTAAGAAGCTTTACGCGATCAAGGTTCTGAAGAAGGAGTTCATTATCGAGAACGACGAAGTGGAGAGTACCAAGTCTGAAAAGCGGGTGTTTTTGATTGCCAACAAAGAGCGTCACCCCTTCCTTCTTAATCTTCACGCTTGTTTCCAGACGGAGACCCGCGTGTACTTCGTAATGGAGTATATCAGTGGTGGTGATCTTATGCTCCACATCCAACGCGGCCAATTCGGGCTCAAGAGAGCACAGTAAGTGCCTTTACCCAATGACAATCGTCCCGGATTGCTAATCGTGTGCGCGCAGATTCTATGCTTCGGAGGTCCTGCTTGCGTTGAAGTATTTCCACGAGAACGGTGTCATCTACCGTGATTTGAAGCTTGATAATATTCTGTTGACTCTAGACGGCCATATCAAAATCGCAGATTATGGTCTCTGCAAGGAAAACATGTGGTATGGTGCCACCACGAGCACCTTCTGCGGTACGCCCGAATTTATGGCTCCTGAGGTAAGACATCATCCGCAATTCTCGTTTGGATTGTGTCTCATACTCTGAAATAGATTCTCTTGGACAAAAAGTACGGACGTGCCGTCGATTGGTGGGCATTTGGTGTCCTCATTTACCAGATGCTTCTCCAGCAATCTCCCTTCCGTGGTGAGGATGAGGACGAAATTTATGACGCCATTCTCGCTGATGAGCCACTCTACCCTATTCACATGCCCCGCGACTCGGTCTCTATCTTGCAGAAGCTGCTTACGCGTGAGCCCGAATTGAGATTGGGCTCGGGACCTACCGATGCCCAGGAAGTCATGTCTCATGCATTCTTCCGGAACGTGAACTGGGACGACATCTACCACAAGCGTGTTCCCCCTCCGTTCATGCCCACGATCACGAGCCCGACAGATACCAGCAACTTCGACCAAGAGTTCACCAGTGTGACGCCGGTTCTGACGCCGGTCCAGTCTGGTAAGACACCAAATTCGTTCGCAAGGTCGATTCGCGTCACGCTAACAAGTTGTCCTAGTTCTTTCCCAAGCCATGCAGGAAGAGTTCCGTGGCTTCTCCTACACTGCCGACTTCGCTTGAGCATTCGCCACGTAATCCGTCCGATGTCTATATTGATTGCTCGTTTTTATCTCTACTTTGGCCTGATGTGTTTCTCGGATTCTTGATGTTGCCGGTCTTTCGGCACCGTTTGCGCCGGTGTCCTTCACATACCCATAAGTGTTTTGAGTGCCAGTGTAAGCGTGGTGATAGCCTTTGTGAATGCAGATGGATTGATGGCTTCGAGGCGTTTACTTTTTGACTTTGCCTCGGGACGATTGGTTGTCTCCTAATCTTCTTCTCGGCGGGCATAATCGCCGAGAGGAACTCGATACCGCTTCGGGGCTGCTTCGTCTCGTTCTGTTGCAGTACGATTTGGGACAGTCAGTGTGAAAGATGCTGCTGTATCAGATTGGCTCCAAAAATGATAGAAGCCATGTGAGGGGATTTGCATGCACAAGTATAATAACCTGTTATTTTTCGAATCCTGCCCATGTGAGGTGATTTTCATGGAGGATGATACTAATCTGAGAGCACTTGTAATCATAGAGTAGAAACACGAACGATTCTCTTTGACCTCACCTCAAACTCTTGGTGGAAATGCGAATGTAGTCACTTGCGATCAAAATTGCCTTTCGACTGTTACAAGTCTTTGTCTTAGCCAGATCTCACTACCTTCCTCTTTTCCCCTACTTGTCTCTGCTTTCCTTTTCTCACCCTCATCCTCTCTTTGTCTACCCTCACCAACCACTTTCGACTCCGACAAAGGGACAAGAAACGGAGAAAGGAGGGATCGGGCTATTGATATCTCCAAACACACAAAGAACAAAATGACTCTCGAGCGTGACCGCGATTTATCACACATGTCGCCCCCGGTGTCTCCGCCTCGGTCTCGGTCTCCAGATGCCTTCCGACATACTTCGGACGAACTACGCCACGCTACGCATATCACCGTGATCGAAGCAGACAACGATAACCATAGCACTGGTGGCTTAAAGAGTTTGTCAAGTAACACAAGCAGCAGCGATAGATCACCACCCCACACAGAGCGAGGCGAAAGCCAGTCATCCTCCGAAGATCATACAGTCATCCCAAAACAGCGCAGCGAACTTCCTCAATCCGAACCAACTTGTACACTCGATAGACAAGGACAGCCCGAACCGATCACTCCTGATCTCAAGAGTGATTCGTCGAGAGTAAGACCATCCTTCACTACCCCTCCTACAACCTGCAACAGCAGCAGCAGCAGCAACTCAAGCACCCCTAGCCCCACCCGCCGAATCTTCACCCTCTTGTGCTCTACATTTACCAACATGACAAGAGCCAACAAAAGACCTCGGGCCAAGCCCAAGACCAAGCAAGTCAAGGAGGATCCGGACTACGATCCGGCCAAGGAGGACCGAAGAGATGAGGACGAGGAATATCGGTATGGCAATCGCTTGATGAGGCTTGAGGCGGAGCGTTTGGGCAAGTACTTGCATGGGACGGTGTCGGGGCCGAGGAAGATGAGGAAAAGTGGTGTGAATGTTCCGGTCAAGATTGAGGAGATGGAGGAGGCTGAGGCTGAGGCTGAGGTTACGGTTGCGGTTGATGGGGATATGGTGGTTGGAGATGTGGATGGTGGGTTTTATCCTTCTCCGAGTGCGAGTGGTGAGGATGGTTTTACAATGCGTGTTTCTCGTGTTGCTTCTTCTCCTGCGTCTCCTACTCGTCCTCCCATCTCACCTATTTCTCCGGTTTCCCCTATAACTCCTCCCCCCACGACTGAAAAGATGGTCCCGCCAATCCAGACAACAGTCACCAAACGGCCGCTGGAGCCCGAGGCCGTGAGTCCGGCCATCAAACGGCTGAAGATGGAGGAGTCGCAAAAGTCGATCTTGTTCTCTGTGCAGGAGAGGGTGCCAGACTCGACGTCTGATCACTACAAAATCTCTCTATCCTCGGAATCAAACAGTGCCAGTACCCCTCCGTCGAGACGCGATTCCCGCATCAGCTCGCCTCTTCGGACTCTGAGCACGCCGGCGTCCCTGTCGCCTGAGATGATGCCAGATGGTTATGCTGAGATTGAATTCGATATGATAGAGGAGCCGTCGTCGCCAACTGAAATCCCTGGTGGTCGGGTTGATGTCGATATGGTTGAAGAGCCGTCGCCGAGTTTGAGACGGGTTGGCCGGGTTGATTTTCTCGTGAATGAGGAACCGTCCCCGGAAATGCAACCAGATAACCTAGCTGATCCCATCGTCAATAACGAGCCACCAAGACCATCCCGGTCTCGCGGGAGGTCGCGCGGCAAATTGCAGGGCAAATCGCAGGGCAAGTCACGCCGGAGGACGAGAACCTACTCTCCTGACCCTGAAGAGTTATTTGACTCGCCTTTAGAGAGCGAGAATGACGAGAGTCTGGATGACTTTGAGATGCACCGCATGAAGCCCACCGAGAAGACTGGAATTGTGTTCGACTTTTCGTCTGAACGAGCCAAGCGCTGGGCGAGCGCCATCAATCTGCCGGAAGGCCTGTATAATGCCGAGGAGCAGGACCTCTTCTTCCGGCTTGCAATGCGCGGCTTTGAACCTCTCGTGCCTCAGATATGGCGACATGACTTCCCGACGCTGCCCGAATCGCTTTATCCTCCGCCATCGGGGCCGTCTTTTCGACCTCTCTTTCAGGTTCGGCGGAGTTCCAATCTCTACGGTAAGTGCGATCAACCTTCTCTTTGGCTCATTCTTGAGTCTTTGCTGATGGCTGCGACAGCCACCAAAGCCCTCGCAAACCTCTTCAGTGTCGGCGGCCGCGTTCGAGACTGTGACATTCTGCGCCAGCGACCTGAGAGGATGATCAAGGACGCCATCAAGAAGTACTTCCGCTGGGCCTTGTTTGATGCCGACATCTACACTACCAAAGATTCAATTCCTGTGCACGCGGTTTATGCTCAGAAGAAAGGCGAGACGACCCTTGACGCCGTGCGTCGCCTCAACCGACGCCTACGGGCCCTGACCGACAGGTACCACGAAGTTCTGGGTGGGAGTGGCGGTGCAACGCCAACCGAGCAGGCAGACGCGGATACAGAAGCTTCCCAGGAACCAGAAATCCAGCCCTCCATCGAGGGGTCATCTGCGCGCAAGTTCCCCCTGCTCATGGGATTTATCATTTGCGGTCCCATCGTCGCCATCGTGACGCATAGCACCGACCCCGCGGAGGCCGAGACCAGTTTCGATGGCAAGTTCATCTCGCAGTTCGACCTGTCAGAGCGCGGCCAGGATGTCTGGAACTCGCTGGCTATTGCGATCGCGGTCATGCATGCGCGCCGCACGATGATCCGGTTGGCCGAGGAGGGAGTAGGCGGGTTTACTTTTACTGATACGGCGCAGCCGGTGACGGACTGCGACTTGTAGTCGTTGCGACTTGGAGTTGGCGCTTAGGTGGTCTTTGATTCCTGGGTTCTTTTTCCATTTTTGCATGGTTTAATGAAGACGTTTGTTCGCGATTTATCTAGTGGAGAAAGAAGCGATATTTGGGAGTTTATCTGGTTTATCTTTAAGACTGACATCTCTGCCTTTCTTGTGATAATGCAGTATTGATATCTATGATATTCAAGGCACGTTACGTTCAAGCTCGATTGTAGACTTTCTCCTCATGGTACATGCACCGTCATCTAAACACTCAAGAGGCAATCCAATCCCTGTTTGTGCTAGCAATCTCCTCAATTTGAACATCTCAACGATGTTTCTGACATAGAAGGTGGGTCATTTCTGACCATTTGTACAAGTTATCTAGTGCCAGTGATGGGTCGAAGCAGAGGAGCCTCCGTTGCATCCTGCATTGTAATTGCCAGATGCTGTATACTATAGTGATCCGAGTTGATAGTATATGGTTGTCAAGACTATAACTGCTAGACCGTATTTAGACCAAGAAGGTAGACCCAGGGTCACCTCTGATGACGTGATATGAAGGTATGGTTCTCGTCCTGTAGGTGGGATTTTGCATGATTAGCTTCCGATTGAGCCTTGAGCTGAATGTCCGACATCAGGCAGAAACCGCAGAAATAGACGCAAAGCAGAAGACACAGTGGCATGCCAACGACCAGAGCCGCGGATCCGGAAGCGAGGATGGAAGTTGAATAGGTGAATGATGACCAAACTAGGGGTTTCGAAAGAGTGTAGGAAAGAGGAGACCGGGTTGTCTACCAGGTTTGATGCCGGAATTTGCAAAGGAATAAGTGTTAGAATAGTTCATAATACCTAGATTGGCTGACTTCGCTGGGGATCGCGATGGATAGAGCGGGTGGCCGAGCAAGAAGCATGCGTTAATGAAATTGCTTCCACCGACTCCAGAGTTCGCCCCCCTCCTTCGTTTCTTCTTCTCCTTCTTCTTCTCTCCCGCCCAAGTCACCATCCATCGTTGTGAGTGTTATCCTTTCTTACACTCGTCAGCGACTGAACCTTGCGGCTGTGGAACATGAACCTCTCGGATTAAATCCTAGACCTCTTCGGTTCCATTCTGAAGCAGAGTAAGTACATCCAATCCCAGGTTTTCTTATATAGTATTAATAGTTCTGTAAGAACTTTCGACCCGAATGCTTTGAAGGAGGACGACTTCGCACTCTCCGACGCTGAATGATGATTACTTCACCCTCATCGCCGCCTCTGGTACTGGTGAATTCGAGGCTGGTATTTCCAACGATGACCAGATGCATGAATCCGCTGTGATTGGTTTTACTATTGTTTTTCTTCTTCCACTTCGCCTAGCTCGAGGGAAAAGTTCAAGTGATGGAAGGAGGTTTCCCCTCGAGCTGAGCGAATCAGATGATACTATATTTTACTCTATACATTCTTCTTATAGAGGATCTTGTAAGCTCCAAGGGGGGGGGGGACTGAAGAAATGCCCCCGGCTGCTTAGAAGACTCAGAACTTACAAGTACTGGAAATATGTGTATGACGACGTTCTCTCGAGTGGATAGATGCCAGCTTGAATCCGACAAGCGTGATATGATGCAGAAGCACAAGTAACAAATCTCCGAGAGAAAGCGTGCAGCATCACGAAGGATAGACTTACATGAAAAGCGTGATTCGGGAGAAGTTGAAAGAGAAGCGACAGGACTGGCGGGGTGTGGCTATCCGCTGGAACTACATGTACCGTCCCCCTTAAGTTACTAATGAGCTGCGAATACAGTAAGCAAAACTGTTGAGTACCAGAAGCATAAGATACCAGACTCTGATTGTCTAGTCACTACATCGATGAGCAAGTTAGTCATAACCTTGTTTTCCGGGTTATCAGACAATTGATGGACTACTAACTACAAGCGCATAATACAATCATTGTCATGGCTAAGTCTGATTGACGAAATATCGTTCCCATTCCGAGCTCATCATCTACGGGAAAAATCACTACCCACGTAAATGCATTCCCTCTTCAACCATCCGCCTTCAAGGTAGTGCAAATATACCACAGCAGAACATCCATCATTGCACACCCTCAAGAGACGGTGATTGACGCAGACCCACTGCTATAGTACCCCTCCGTGGCCACAATCTGGTAGTTATGAGTTCCTAGATCCATCCCAAGCGCCGCCCAAGCATTGAAATGATTGGCAGTGGTCACGGTGCCGCCGACGCGCTTGGACTGACGAATGGACCAATACTGCGGGAAGGTGGCCGTACCGTCGATGGAGGGAGCATTGGTGCGGGTAGCGGTGTAGATATCGTACGTCGCCCCGTCACTGTAGACGCTTCCCTTGTAGGTGCCAGCCGAGCCCGGATTATACTCGCCATAGTCCTCCAGAATGTAGTATTCAACCAGAGGGCTGGTGGTCCACCCGTAGACGGAGAGGTAGCTGTTGCTGTTGTCGGTGCTGGTCCACGAGCCGGAGTACGTGATGGTTCTGTCAGGGAAGGATGCATCGTGTCAGTCAGTCAGTCAGTCTGTAGCTGCCTTTCGCACCCTACGGAGAGGGTTCTCGCTTTACCTGGCACTGCCCGGATTCCAGCCTTTGCCCCCGACGAAGTTGGATGCGGAATTCCAGCTCACCGAGTAGCTCCCCCCGTTCCCGTTGGTGTATTCGACATCTCCGCTTGCACCATCCGTCCAGAAGGAGTAGTAATAGCCGTTGCTCCAGCCGGTGGAACTAGCAGTTGAGCGCGCGGCCAGCGCAGAAGAGAAGTTGGAGGCACGTTCCTCCTCCTCCTCCAGCGACGCAACGGGAGCAGCGAAGGTCTTGACAGCGAGGGCGCAGGCCAGAAGAATCTGTGACAAGCGAGCCATGGTCATTCGATGAGTTATGTGAACAGTAGCAGCAGGGACGCTGAATTCTCCTGGATTGTGTCTCGTAGGAGGGGTGGAGTGGGGTTGTTCAATGCATCATTTTTATAGTCGTCTTTGCAGATACACATTTAGCCGTCTGGTGATTCTGAGGAGGGATTGATGGTATGAATCGAAGAACGAAGGTCTCGTCTTGGCTCCGTTCGGCACTTTGCACGTCGGCGCCTTCTGGCTTTAGCCGAGTCGGAACATATGCCGAACCTAAAACGGAAGCAGTGTCGATCATTTCAATCTGCCTAAATGTTGTCTACCCCGGATAACTTAGGGCTACGCTACCCCCGCTTCTTCATCGCTTGGCTAATGTGCGTGCAGAATGGCATTGCCAGATGGCGTTCTTCAAGAGCTGAAGAGCCGGCTGTGGGGGCTTATTGCCGGACATGTAGGGCTATGTGTGCCGGTTAGGTTAAATGAATTCTCCCAGAGCCCTTGGAAAAGTGGGAATGTAGGCTTAGTCGGGGTCTGCTTTGATTCGAAGCAGGCGGCAAAAGGCGAAGGTTGCGGGTTAATTTCGCCTGGACTCATGTTCTGCAGCATGGAGGATTTGCCCTGAGGGAAACTGAGAAGCCCAGGTGAAGGGCTTTCGTTGACCAAAACTTGGTATTAACTGCATATAATCCATCCCATGGCTGAGTGGTCGATGCAATCATTAGTCAAACACCAGGAGGTCCAGGAACAGGGTCGTGGGACGAAGCACGGAAGCTCGCGTCGCTACTTTTACAATGCCATGCGAGGCCCGTCCGCTTCTTTGGTGAATGCATGGCGGGGACTATGAAACCAGGAACAGCTACAAAGTATGATTGCTTCTTTCTAAGTTGCATGCTCTGATACAGTCACGGAAACTCTTTCTATAAATCGTGAGATGCGTGTCGATCCCCATGGGGGTGGGCCAGCTGATTGATAAAGATTGATTAGGGCTGCACCGGGCCCTACACCTCAATTATTGGCTGGAAGCCTGGATCGAGGAATCGGCAGCACAAGATGGTTCGGATTCTTCCGAGCTGCCAGAAATAAGAACCCATAGGTCGGATATTCGGATCATACGAAAGTCAATCGATGCATTACGAACCTCAACCCAAGTCGTCTCTGGGCAGATGCCAGTGATACTAGTAACCTATGTCATGTTCTGAGATCCAAGATAACCGCTTCCCTTTCCAGGGATTTGAAGGCTGGGAGATACATTACTTCAAAGCCGTAAAAATCAGACTACACAGACCATAAATCAGCGACGGATACCAGGGGTGCCTTAACGTACGTAACGAGGCGAAAGAGAAACAAAATGAAATGAAATGAGTGGCAAACCAGTGGCCGCAACGCAGAGAAAAACTTCATGCCCTCTCCCAGACGCTAGGTCTCCATAGAATCAATACTAAGGAGTCCGGACTCATGTAAATAATTGGTCCTCGACTATCTTATTAGATAAGTGGCATTCTGGTAAGTAAGTCGGCAACTAACATGGTCCAGGGGACGACCAGGCCGAAAGAGCTCAGAATTACTATCTGCAGAGTGCGCCAGTGTCGTGGCAAGCTAACGTGGTGGTTCGAACAGCAGGCAGTAGAATCCCGTGGAGAGTACACGACAGCAGCCGTAGAATTGCCTTGAAGATTCCGTTCCCCTGAAGAACGGATTCCAGAAAAAAAAGAATCGAAGGAGTCTAGACTCCACCCACACGGGTGGCATCAGTCCACATTCCCCGTTCCCACGCTCTCATATCGGAAGCACACGAAAAGTCCTCGGGGAAGAACATCCCGCTTTCTGGTCCATTGTCCTGTCTTCAGCGAGACTAGTACTCAAAACGTCGTCTGCAAGAAAGATTTTTTTTTTTTTTTTTTTTTTTTTTTTCGGTTTTTTTTTTTTTTTTTTTTTTTTTTGCACGGCAGGTGTCTAGCTCCATTCTGTAACAGAAAATATAATGGACTAAGCCAGATGTGGTGGTGTACTAGTCATCAGCGTCGGGATCTCCGAATGAACGCGAGAATCGGAAAAGCATTGGAGTTGGGGCCGGGTTGGCGTGCCCTAAAGAGGAAATCTTCACGTCGAGGCCGGGGGAGGGGGGTCAACTTGAACATCTAGTAGTTGCTTTAGAGAAAGGGTCGTTGGACGGGTCAAGTCGACAAGGAACTCCCTTTCGTGGGGTATGTGAGGGGGAATTATTGCACAGTAAGCGAAGGATCAGACCAGGCTTACTGGGGACTCTGCAAAGCAAGGCAAAGACAGGAAATCAGGGTTGATTAGGATGACCGAGACGAGAGTCATCGCATCGGCTCCAGATGCCATACTCGGGACCTTCTTCTGGCGAATATCGGCGACTATGACGAGAAAAAGGACCCAAACCAAAGGGATGGGGGCGAGGTTTTCAGGCCACCGAGAGTAGAAGCACATCCGGGGAAAAAGCGGGATCGCAAGGCTGGGGCTGGTTCGGCACCGGCCAACGAGGGGGCGGGGTAATGCATTAGCCGGCTTTCGGAGCGACGGCCCGTCTGACATTCAAAGTCAGACAATGCAACATGAATTTCATCGGTCTATTGAATTTTTTTCGCTGTCCGATAGACCTGTTCGCAGGCCGAAGTATGACTCCCTAGCGGCAAAACATCGGGCAAACTCTTACATGTGGCATAAGTTAGAGAAGTTAGGGCTAGCCGGGTATTGCCCCCCTTGTAGGGAGTACGAAAGGCGATGAATGACCCCTACCATGACCTAAGTTATTGCATACAAGTGACAATACTAAGACCTAATAAAGAATGTGTACTGAAACGTGTACTGGCATGAGTCAAGATTCATTTGATAACATTAATATGCGTATATTACTAACTACGACTAGGCCCTTCGTCATGGGAGAGGATTTTCTGACAGAACCACGGTGTTGCTGTCATACTTATGTCCTCTGCCAGCTCGGCTCGCTAACGGTGGTGGTAGTGGTGGGTGGGCAGTCTGATACCGTACCCAATCACAGGCCGCATCCCCGTACTGTAATTTCCGCCCGCAACCACCGTTCCGAAACCCCAGCCCTGAATCGCCCTCAATTTACATCTCAACGATCTCCCCCTGTACCTTGGTCTTTTCGTTGTCCAAATCCTCCACCTTCTCGACCCCGGCAAGGCCCAGACGCTCATAGATTGCCTCCATGCGACGACGGTCGGCCTCGGCAATGCTATCCATATTTCCTCCGAAGAAGACGTCAAGCTCCTCCAAGGTCTTGTCCTTGGTTTCAGGCGAAAAGTACCAGATAAATGCACCGCCCAGTCCACTGAAGATCGCAAAGAAGATGTAGGTGCCGTATTTCATCGAGTTTAGCATGTCTTTAGTGGTCAATCCAATGACAAAATTGAACATCCAGTTCGTTGAAGCCACAATGGAGACACCACGACTGCGAGCGCTCGACGGGAAGATCTCCTGGGCCAAAACCCAGGTCACCGGACCCCACGAGTATGCGAACTGGGTAGCGAAGATCCAAATAAAGACAATCGCCACCCATCCTTGAGCCTTGTAAAGACCTTCGTTCAAGTCCCAGTAGTTCTCATAGAGACCTTCCACGATAGCAACGACAATATGGCAGAGGAACATGCCGATGGCACCCACGATGAGAAAGGTCTTTCGGCCGAACTTGTCGAGATAGAGTACCGCAGGCAAGGTGAAAATGATCTGCAAGATGCCAGTCACACCCGTGGCAAGGAGCGTTTGGGAGGTGCTTGAAAATCCGAAGGATGCGAAGATCTGGGGGGCGTAGTACAAGACGGCGTTGATACCGGTAAACTGTTGGAAGACCATCATTCCACAGCCAAGGAAGAGTCGCTTGCGCATGTTCTCAGCGAAGAGGGCTTTCCAGGGAGCCCATCTTCCGCCGGCCCGAACGGCTTCGGCATTGGACTCTTCGTCAAACATCACAGCCGCCTTGATTTCCAGGATTTCTGCCTTGAGCAAGGGATCTTCGGGAGAGAGTCTTCGGAGCTTGGACAGCGCTGCGACTGCCTCCTCCTCGCGGTGCTTGGACATCAACCAGCGAGGAGAGAAGGGGAAGAAAAACATTCCAAACAAGAGGATCCAGGCAAAGAGGATCTGGAGGGCGAGAGGGAACCGCCAGGCAATAGCCTTCTGTCCCAAACAGGTGTGACCATGGGCGGCCTTGTAGTTGAAGCTGCCATCGGCGAGATAGGGGTCCGCGACCCCCTCAGGATTGCACTTGTTACCCCCCACATATTGCATGCCTATCACCATGTCAGCAAGCGACTCATAGCCAGCCACCCGATGGGAAATTACCATAATCCAGCCAGAAAGCAATGGCGGTTCCGATGGTAATCGAGAGCTGTTGCAAGGAAACCAAGGAACCACGAAGCTCGGGGGGTGCAATCTCGGCTTGGTACAGGGGAATGACCTAGGTAGGGGTGGAGAGACTTGTTAGTTCCACTTGTCACCTCAAGAAAAACACTCTTTGCCAGAAGAACCTACCTGACTGAGCATACCAATACCCAAACCACCAATGATACGGCCGGCGAAGAAGTACGCAGGGTTCTGCGCGGCAGACTGCAGAGAGGAACCCAGAGTAAAGACCACAACCGCCACCATCATACTGTACTTGCGACTGATCTTCTCGGCAAGCCATCCATTGAACAGCGCACCTGCCCAGGCACCCAACTCCAAGGCCGACACGAGCCACCCTTGCAGGGTGGAGCTTTGCAACGTGGGGAAGTGCGCTTCGAAGTTCTCCATGACGAGCACCGGGGACATGACTCCCTGATCGTAGCCATACATGATACAGCCCAAGGAGGCAAATGCACAAGTTGCGAAGACATAGGGGTTCTTGAGCATACCAACCAAGCCATGTGGCTTTTCGGCATTAGCTCTGCCCACAACACTTTGACTCACAACCATTTTTTTTCCCTGATATTGATCGAACGCTGCGAGTTGGGAGGAGAAGAAAAACCGGGGGAGAAGCACGCTATTATATAGATAGATTCCCCGCTCCAAATTTTTCCCTGCTTTTCCCTCCAAGATCCATTCAGTCCCGATTCAGATGGCTCCAAGTAAGTACTAGTGACTAATGCAGTGGGATGCGAAATGGTCCATGGGGCTTCAATGACCGGACATTCATCGGATCAGGCACCGTACCGAGTCCTCTCATTTCATGTCGAAGGAGCGGGTTGGGGAACTTAGTGTACCACTGGCGGACCTAGAAAAAAGCCACAGAAAGTAGTTCGGGGTTAGTTGACTCAATGGGAGCTCGGCTTATCCCCGTGGATGATTTGGGACCCCGGGTCTACTACCCCGGAATGGCCACAAAACTGGCTTGGGCCGCCTGGAGAGCGGCAATTGGGGGTGGTCAGCACCACCGGACCACCACAGCATAAGATACTAACGACAGACAGGCTAGCATAGCAGAGATTCCCCAGGCATCTGTCAGAATGACCAGTGGGCAAACCCCGTGGGGGGAGGATTTGGGGGAATCAAGTGGTTTCCATGCAAATGAGATTCAAAGCGAACGAAAACGACTGAAGCGAGTAATGACTATGACCGAGTTGTTGTGGCGTAGCCAAGGCCAGGGATGAAAAAGTGTCATATCTGCTTGTTTACGAGAGCCAAGTTGACGCCCGATGCTTGATGGGAGAGTCAGCCACTGGATGCTACTTGGCGGGCCACCTGGGCGCCAAGAAAGAAAGTCTGGCTCTCGTTTCGGCAATCGGCAATCGGCCACGAATGAAAAGGACCTTTAGGTCTACTAAGGAGTAACTACGATAAAAACAAAGAAAATTACATACACTCTTCCGCTGACCACGAGTTCACTTCTTACACACTAACTAATTTTGGCGCTAACAGTCCACTCAGCACTGACTACCCTGGTGGTAAGTTGGGGTGTTCGAGTCTCTCCAGATTCCACGCGGCTTGCGTGGCTCGGACTAATTTTCCCCCTCACGTGGGAGAAAAAAAATTACTACGTACTAGTAAGTCCAGCTACTTACCCCGGCTTCCCCATGCCCTCAATCCTGCTTGATCGGACCGCCTCCCCAAATCCTCACTGTAGGGATGGGGCCACTCACCGTCTGTGATACCGAAAGAGAGGATTCGGCCAGATGAGGGGGAAATGTAACCCTACCATTATCACTGCTATAGTTGGCTTATTATAGCCTTTATTGCCTCCAATCCTCCTCATGATCCGTCCTTCCCACTGTCCCAGAAAACCTTCGGGGACCAGCGCTTAATATTTCACGCGGCCAAGTCATGCGTCGGAAGGGTTTCCAGGTTTACAAAGGAGGGTACCGAATCAGACCATCCGATTTGAGACCACAGCATTTCGAAATGTCAAGCGTCGGAACTATGCCATCAACTCGACATTGATCTGGATGTGACCATATTTGAAGATAGCTCGAAACCAATACTACCAGCTCGCGCTGAGCACTGATGCAGAACACTATTAACACGCTCAACATGGTACTGCTAGCTGTATGCTGTAAGTGTTGTACTTGGCGCATAGCTAAAGGTTGTTCTGGTATATGGATGTCATTAGTACGATACGTTTGATGCTTGTTCTATCTCTCATTCTAATGTCAATCGCAACCACATAACCACATAACCACGGGAGATTCTCACAGATGGAAACAAGTCGAAGTGATTCCACTGCTGGTGATGGAACTACTATGTAATCCCGCCTGGGTGTTATGGGAGAGGCGGTAGACGCGACAAAGCAAAAATGGATACCAAAACTGGATAAGCAAAAGAGAAGTGCATCATCCGTGAATCGAACACGGGCCTCATCGATGGCAACGATGAATTCTACCACTAGACCAATGATGCTGGGTACCTGAAAGACGCGGCCTAGCTAAATACTATACATGGATATTTTTGCTTCATACCATAAGTATAGTATATCTCCGCTTAATGACTACACCTCATACCCATCATCGTACTTGACAAGACAGAATCGACAATTACGACCAGAATCACGCCAGTGCCTGAAATAGTCTACTTATAATACGTTACTGACCAAATCACTATAAGTCTCACGCAATCGGCATCGTATCCCCTTTCAAACGCTCAAACTTGAACCCCTTGCTTACCAATCCACCAGACCGAAGCCACGCATTGAGCTCACTGGGATGATTCAAGTGGAAGATCAGCATCACAACAAACATCAACAAGGCATCAAAACAGTAAAGATACACTTCGTGCGAGAGCAAATAGCCGCCAAATCCTTCGATATATTCAACCAACCGATAAATGGACCGCACGAGGATCAAAACGCTCGCCGCGTAAAGCGTATACACCAGTTTCATCCAGTTGATGCCCGAGCCCAGCGAGTAAGTGGTAGGCTGACTGACCATACGCCAATGAAAGAAGCCGGTCGTGACGATGAAGAATCCGAAGAATACTATTTGGACCACCAAGCCCACAACGATGATGTTCGATCCGGTCTTGAAGCTGGACTGCGTTTTCCCAGCCATCATGCCAGCGCCTGTGCGGAAGGTCGTTAGTAACGCTCAGGTGAAATGCAGCTCGGATGTAGGCTGTTCTTACCTCCAGATTGAAGCAAGAAAGACAGGACATCGCCCAACACGAAGATCTTGGTCATCCATTTGGGGCTGATCATGCTATATTTCTCGGCGTGAAGAGCCACAATAAGTCGACCGAGCATCATGTAGATACTAGCCGCGAATAGCGCTGGCGCCACCAGTGGCATCAGGGAATTGACCAGAAACGGACCCATGGTCCAGTCCGGCGATTGCTCTGCTGAAACGGCGCGCGCACAGTATCCGATGAACTCGACTATCGCATCGCTGGTCAGGTACGCCTTTATCCTTTGAGTGAAGAGGGTGGTGACTTACAGTACCCTCCTACGAGGAAGGGGATGAAGAACCATGTTCTCGTACGGATTAATTGATACGTGTGCCAGATTGAGGTGATAAGGAAACAGATGATGAAGATGACCGCTGCAGCGAGCGAGGGGTCATAGTAATAGTACTTGAACGCAGAGCGAGCTGCAAGCTCAACCATATTGCTGGTTCCTCCTCAGAAATTCGACTTTGGCTGCCTGTCTAAGGTGATGATTTGAGATCATCACCGAGACATGCGGGCGACAAACGGCCCTTTTTATTGCATTGGCTAGTTCCCCATGATGGACACATTGATGGTGCCTAGCGAGCGAAGGGCTGGGAGCCAAGACACAACTCCATTGTCAACATTGGAGAAGCTGCAAAAGGGGGGCTTATTAGTGGACACAAAGCATTTAGAGTACGTACTTTTCTTGAAATAATGTCGGATATCGACGTTGCGGACCAAGAATAGAACAACAATAAGCGAAGCTCCACTGTCGAGATCTATACCCAAAGCAGTATAGTTTACGGCTGCCTGTTTTTCTGCCCCAGGTTTCCAGGCCGCCATCTTAATCTCTTCCATCATTCCATCCGCGCCTTTCTCCGTCGCGTTCCCGACATAGAGAGATGCCACTGCGGCGCTCGCACCCAAAATCACATCATGGGTGCCTCGAATGCAAGCAGCGGAGAGTCAAATGTGATGAGTCGCGCCCTAACTGTAACCTTTGTTGCAAGAGAAACATTCGATGCTCATTCTCCGGCGATGATGTATTTCAACAGGATCTTCCCCCGGCGCCTCAGGAGCCTTCAACTTCAATCCGCGCTATTTCCGGTGTGAATTACAGCCCACAGCTGCCGATGCTCGAACTTGAGCTTCTCAATCACTGGCATGTAGCCATTGTAGATACTCTTGTCCACCAGGTTTCGACCCGGGAGATGCTGCGGACGTTTGTACCGCAGGAAGCACTTTCCCACCCCTTCTTAATGCACATTCTCTTAGCAATGTCGGCTCTTCATCTCTCCCACTATGGCCCGCGCGAGCGCCGACAGCTGTATACCGAAGCAGCAATGACACACAACAATACGGCACTGGCTTTATACTCGCCTCTCCTCAACCGAGTCAATCCGGAAAACTGCCACGCTCTCTTTGCGTTCTCCTGCTTCGTCCCCATGTTTGCCTTTGCTGCTCACGGGCCAAATGTCGAGTCTAAATCCCACTCTGTCTCGGAAGTCATTGAGGTTTTCAAGCTTATTCGTGGTGCGGCGTTCGTCGTTACGCAAGCTCGGCCATGGATCGCAAGCGGTGGCATGAGCCGTCTATTGACTGTAGAGAGAATGCGGGAAAGAAGGTCTGTGAGACATCATGCGACAGCCATCTACCACCTCCTGCATAGACTGCACGAAGAACAGCAGCAGCAGCAGCAGCGGCAACGGGGCTTGGACTCATCATCATATCGTTCAGCGAATTCCGTGGTTGTCCATGCCACTGAGAGTCTTCTCAACGTGCTTCAGATGTGCGCTGACAACGAGAATGGATCCGTTCTCTTACGTTGGACCGCCATCGTGCAATCGACGTTTTTGGATAGTTTGACACAGGACGAGCCAATGGGCCTAGTCTTGCTCGGCTATTTTGGTGCCGCCATCGACTTCATCATCGATAATTGGTGGATGGATGGCTGGGGTCGGTATCTGATCAATCTTGTTTCCGATCGCTTGCGAGCAGGTGCTGATTCACAAGAGGTTGTCTGGGCCCGGTACGCAATGCATCAGCTCGAGAGTAGCAATATCGACAAGACAAACGGGACCCTCGAAGCCGACGAAATCCGATCTCATTCCGGCCAACCTCTCTTTACGGAGCACTAAAGAGTCCAGGTCTGATGCGTGCCTCCCCAGATACCGGGAAATGGCAGTTCACTGGTCTTCTTCCGAGCCTTGGCAGAGTGGCCGAATTTTTCTGAGTTTTGTGATCGGTTCGTCTTATAGGGCTTCAGATTTTGAAGTATTCTGCCCTGGAACCCTTGAGATGTGGCCAAGCATATCTCTCACCCTCGGTAACAATGCTCTCGGCTCATTGGCATACCACATCATCGATTTGCCCAACCGAGCCAGCTCAACCCAGCTCAGCCTAATAGATACATAAACTCTGGGTGGTTGAATGGTTTTCTGATAACATGGACGTTGCACCTTGACCACCATTGGCAAGTGTCAGTTCACACCGAGGAGAACGAGTCGAATTGCTCCACTTAACTCATTTTATCTGATTGTCCTGCCTACCATTGTCCTAGTCAGAGTACGAATAGAATAAAGTGTCCTAATTCCTGTAGACTATGTCAATCCCTATTTTGACTCCCCCCGTTTCTCCCAATGTTCCTGCCATGGAAGTTACTTCGAATCTCTTGTCTTGGTAGTACTTCAAGATCATGTGTGTCTTGTAGACATGCAGCTGCATCAAGGTATGGCATATTTGGCATTACTTCAGAAATTATCACATGCTATTCTTGGAGCTCTAAGGTCACAAATGATCTAATTCCAGCGAGTGCGTGTTGCTCTGACTTGTCAGAAAAGTCGCTTCGGTGTCGAAGATATCAGCAGGGTGCATTACCCGATTCAAAGTTGCGCATATGTGGCGTCTTCAAAGGGTACATAATATACGACTGGACCCGTATGCTATTAGCTTGGTTCATATTCATCTACTGCACTCAAAAATAACCAACCAACGAAAAAAAGAGCAGCTACCATTGCTTATGCTTGGGGTTTGGCAGCTTCACTGGATGCTTCCCCACTTATCTCAAGGGCGATAAGTAGAGACCTAGAAGAATGAAGATGTACCTTGGTACGGCATGAAGCACTGTTTCCGGGCGGAATTCTATAAGCATTGCGAAATCCATGATGTAGAGTATTAAGGCAGACGAGGCGCAATACACAAATCCAAATCAGGCAAGAAGAAAAGTACGACCGTCTAATTAAGCTCAAAACTTGACAACCAGAGAACGCGAAGGAGAAGGGTATGAAGGCTGACAATGTGAGACAAGTCAAGCCCGAAAAGAAACAAATGACCGATACCATTCCATGCACACTAGCTATTTTGCCGAACCGAAAATCCCATGCACGCTTTTTTCCCCAGGACGATCATCAATCGTCTGGGCCCATTTAGGCCCACTTGCCAATCAAGGCCATAATACCAGCACCGAACAACATGCAGACGACCATGAAGGTCAGACGCTTATTGTCCTGGGTTCGATGGGGGTCGAATAAAAAGTCACGAGCCAGCAACTCCACCAAGCCGGTGTAGATCAGGATACCGGCGGAAATGGCATCGAGCACACCGGAGACCACATTTGCCGTGTAGGAGCCTGAGTTGTACGTTGTCCTGAGCCCCAGACCGATTGCCACCGAGATAGGCGTCGTCAGGCCATACAAGGCACAGAGTACCCAGGGGAGCCAGCTACCCTTCCGGAAGGGGATGGCGGACATGCGAGCACCGATACCGAGACCTTCGAAGGATTGGTGGAAGACTAGGACAGGGTACAAGGTGGAGAACTCGTCACCGACGACCCCCAGATTCAGACCAATGATGACGGAGTGGAAGATGACGCCAAACTCGAGGATCAGGAAGGCGGCAATTTGTTGCTTGAAGGATCTCTCGATCCAAGCCTCATTGGAGGTCAGCGACTCAGTGTCAGTCTCGTTCTTCCGCCGACTAGTGGAGGTATCCTTCGTGACACTGCTGTTGTCGACGGCACTGGTCATGATGGGCTCGGGATCTTCTCTGCAAATGCCGTACTTCACCTCGACGTAGCGTTCGGCGCCGAAGTCGAGAAGGAAAATGCACATGAGAGACGACAGGACGATGGCGGGGCACCAGGAGTAGTCCGCCCAGTGACCAGTCATGCCAACGCAGGTCTGTGGACCAATCTCGCCATAGGCAGGGTCGAGGAGGTGGATAAAGGCTGTGGCAATGATGACGCCTGCGCCGAAATAACGTGCGAACAGATAGACATACAAAGGGATGTGGAGACGAGGCACACGTTTAGCGATGACCGGGAAGAAGGTGACTGCGGTGGAAACAATAAAAATGACAAAGATGGCGGAAATGCGGGCGCCGAGATGCCCGTTGTAATCGTTCTCTGAGGCGTTCAGATAGCAGATCACATCGACGGGGTCGACGGTGTCGAGATCGACATCGTTAGGGTTAAACGACATTCTGATTATGTATGCTTCAGAAGCTGTGTCGAGACCCAATGAGGGGAAGCTTGTTTAGGAAGAGATTTTCTATATTGATCATATCTTTGAGCCGGCTTTGAGCCTCTACTTATATCGAGGTGGTGTTGAGGATGGTGGGCAGTCTCTGCGTCGAAGAGGACCTTGTGGGCGACTTGGCCCACATTAGCAGCAGCGTGGTTTTCATTGCGGTCTGACTCGATCCAGATTCTGACAGACGAAGCGTAATATGACCCATGGTTGACTTGACTAGATACTTTTCGCAAATACCACGATTTTGTTTAAAGGTGTCTTCATCATTACTAGGTTGTTGAAGGAAGTAGACGAGGAAGGAAGGGAGATGCCCGGCAGAACAGCATTGTTGGCCTGAGGAATCAACCACCAACACCAGCGGACAGCCTTCGCCCGCCACCCTTCAACTTCTGCCACTCCATCCATCCAACTCGAGAGATTGAATGCCCCACTACGCTTACTCACTCTTAGTTACCTAGTACCTTGGGGACAGCAGGCACAGGCCAACAGAGAACCTGGCATAGTGATCTTTCATCTCACCCTGATTGATACGAGAGGCCCCCCACCAGTGCCCACCCGGTCCCCATCCACTTCCTTCTTCCTTGACCTTACTCGATACTCGAACTGCGTCATACGCTCAGGGAGCTCCGGCTGACTCTTTGCTTCCAGACAGGTTCCTAACTAGTGCCACTGCTGAGTTCTTCTCGATTTCGGTACCTTGGAGGATGTAATCTTCTCAAATCCGTCCGCACGTGGCAACCAATCATGGCTCCAACTGTCATCCAAGATGTTTGGCCCGGGATTGCGTCGGCAATAGACGCCAGGAAGAATCGAACCTACAATCAAAATAAGACTGGCTTGGCAGGTACACCGAGAGCTAATGCGTCCTGTTGCTTTGTCACGTTGTCACATTCAAGGTCTCCGACTCCTACCCACTTAGTCTCGAACCAAAAGTCTATTGCGAGCATAGACCTTCGGCCAGGACCGACACTGACTCAGTAGCCTGCGCTGGGCACGGTGCTAAATGAATCTTGTAATCATAAGCCCTCGAAAGGTGGTTATTGTCTTCGCACTCTCTAGGTAAGACCGTTGCCATGTCCTGCTTCCGCCAAGAGAAGATATAGTTCGTTGCATTTCGAACTGACATGGCATGTCAGTGGCATGTCGACTGACACAACGTGGTCTGCAGGGTCTCGTTGCATGCATCCGACCCGGAATATGTTACTTTTAAGGGTTTTACAAGAAGAATCTCTAGCTTGATGCCTACAGATCTGTGAAGACGCGCACCAAATCCTTGAATTTAGCCCTGAAATCATGACATTATCGTATCAATGGTTATTATCTGCCATTTCCGTCAAAGCAATACGTCTTGACCCCATTCGCGTGCTCGTTATGTCTTGCACCGGACGAGGGCTCGGATGCATGATTCTCAAGCCGTTGAATCGAGGTCTTGGCTCAGTTGACTCGCGCACAATCATGCGACCTTGATCGGAGGGATGGAAAGAGCTTGATTTAGTGCTAGTAGCCTTGGTTAGACAAGTCGAAGAACATCAAAGAAGGGAGACCAACGCTGCAGGAGCTGCAGGAGCAGCTGGAGCAGTTGCCAGAGCAGCAGTTGCAGGAGCAGGGAGACATGTTGATGATAGAGAGAAGGCTTTAAGCGTTTCAAAAGATGGGTTTGACAGTAGATTGATGATGGAGAGGATGATTGATTTAATGATAGGCAAGAACCTCGACTACCTGCGAAAACCACCCCCTATTTATACCTTTCCTGATCGCCCCTCTGTCCGAAGTTGGGCGGCAGTCGCGGTTAGTCGCCGGGAACGAACCTCATACCTCCCGGTGCTGAGTGGTGGCTTTGCTAGCTGCGTGGGGGAGCCACCAATGCAGCAAATAATCATCAACTTCGTGAACATGGCATGTCCAATACCTTGTAGCAAGTCGAACTATATCGCCAGAACTTGACCAACCACCCGGCCGTCGTGGGCTGACCTTCTCCTTCTCCACCCAGTCCAACAAGTAAAGTGGCCTAAAGCCACGCTAAGAGATCAGTTGCCTTATCCTCGCATGGGGTGGATTCGTATCCAGTGCAGCCGGAAGCGGATTGGGGACGGATGATCATTCTCATCCTCTCCTATCAATTCAAACTAAGGAACTCATCAATAAAATGGTGCAGACAAGAGAGCAAGACAAGCAGAGAAAACCCTTTCGAAAACTCTTGGGTGAGCTCGAGATTCACGAATTTTATAATATGCTGGAATGTGGGTGAGCACCTTGAGAGACAAGGACCTTGGTGGCCGCCTGTCCGGCTTCAAGGTCCTCACCATACCAGGCAGTTTCCACCCTCACTTTCCCCTCTTCCACCCTTGGCAATGACTTGATCTACGCACGAATCTAAGTTTTCACGGAGCCCGAAGTCATAGCCACTATTCTCCTTCTGATTAGGCGGAAAAGGTTGCCATATCACAGCTTACATGTGCCCCACGCACAACTCACGGCAGGTATTCCGACGACAGATCTCATGATATAAACCAGTCTTCTCGCAAAGAGAGTCAGACACAACCTTAGTAGTCAAACTCACATATGCTGATTGTTGCTGGCACAAAGTGTTGCACGTAACGTACAGGTCTTCGTCCCTCGAGCATAGCACGATTTTGTCCGCTTACCCCCACTGATTCCCCTATCCACTCATCAGCATTGACTGGCGTCAACACAATCGTGCCGAGATGCCTCTTTGGTTCGCTCCTGGGGTTTGACTAACAAGCACACAGTGGGGATAATGCAGGCCATCCTAGCAAAAGCAATTTCAACATTTCCTTGGCGCTTGTTAGATCCTGTCTGACCTCGTCAAGTGATCCAACAGTTCAACCCGAGCCTAGGATGGAGTGAGGCAAGAACAATTAGGAGAGTGAGGCAACCGGAGCGAGGTCATCACACAGGTTTCACATCGCGCGGCAAGCGTAGATGGCAATCGATAGCTGCTCAAATCACGGTTAGTACACTACGTGCACTCAGCTGCCCAAAAGCAAAGAAAGGCTTTCGGCTAGGATGTTAACCGGACCCAGCGCTCATAGACATCGAACTGAAGGTCGCCTACCATCTGTCGTCTTATAGCTTGAGAGTACTAGATCTCTGTTGTCTGGCCACGGAACCTGACACCTGTAACCCCGAAGCAAGGGAGAATCGCGTAGATCCGTCCATAGGGTGCAGGTCGAGCAGAGCCACCCATTTTCCAAGAATGTGAAATAAGCTAGTCTTTCCACTCCAGAGAGCTGGCTGGAGCAGACAGTATTGTCAGCGCAGCCGATACTCTGGCCCCGTGATCCAAGCGAGGTTATTACACGTTACCATGTCAGTTAGTCCTTCATCATAATTACAACCAAGAAGGAATTTAGGCATTGTTCCAGAGCCATCCTCCAAACTGTCATATATCGACAACTATCGACCAACTGTCAGAGTAAACAAAGACTGCGAGCCGGTGTAGTTTTCAAACAGAAACAGAGCAACCCAAGTGAAACCCGGAGACAACGTCCTGCGCACAACGCCTTCACAATAAGCAGTACGCACTTGGATGAGGTTTGATCTTCAACAAAATCGACGAAGAACACTCGCTGGGTCTTGATGTGAGTAGTACTATACATTCACCGTGGGAAAGCACCTACAAATAAATAGGTAGTATCTCTCAGTAACGAGGAGTCGCGTCTGCTTCGATGACCCCAGCCCGAGAATCAGAACTGCCTTCTTCGCCCAAGGCACTCAAGGACCTTGGGAAGTATACATGCTCAAACACGCCCTTTCTTCCCCACTAACTCGATCTTACCAAGATACTGCCAGCAATAATGTCTTGTTTCATCATATGCGTCGGAGATCATGTCCTTCCACCCCTCTCGCCTGACTACTACCTACCAATAGACAGGAGCAATCAGAAACCGGAATCATATTGAACCTGACTCGTGGAAATCAAACAAATACAGCCCAAGAAAGCCTAAGAGGAGAAATACACCTCGAGCCAACGGAAGGAAGATGCCCTCACCGCAACACTCTATCCCCTCAACCCCAAATCCCCCGACCCCAAAACTTTACTCCTCAACCGTAACATTCACCTTATTGGTGTCTTCATCCCAACAAATTAGCATCGGACCACCAAGCGACCGACTTCTGAAAATAAACTCACAGAAAGCCAGATGATCCTTGATATTCAACGCCGCCTCATACGGTTCAGCGTAATACCACACTGCATTGGGAATCGTTTTCTCTGGAGTTACCCGAGTAGAGGGTTGCACGATATCAGTCCCCCGTCAAGGAAGTACACTAAGTCAAATAGAAGCGGAGTACCCGACGTACCTCCCACTACGACCGAATAATACGAGGCGTGGCCCTTCCACGGACAAAAGGTCGACAACTCCGTCGGCACGAAGAGAGAGGGATCTTTGATTGACGAGGGAGGGAACTTTTGTTGGGCGGGGTTCTAGCTTAGCCTCACTTTCGGGGGATCGTGAAGTTGGGGAAGATGATGCTGGACTATGTACTATGTACGACTTACATAGATGTTGCCTTCGACTGTTTCCCAGTGGGTGGTCTCGGCGAGGACGGTGTTGTCGATGGTGGCTTTTGCGGTAGGCATGTTTGATTCTTTTTGCTCTTTTGAGTAGCTTCTTACTACAATATATCGAAAGTCGCAGATGAAGGGGGAGTTGCAGAGTTGATATGAGGTTCGTTTGATGTGGCTAGATTATGTACGATTAGAAGGCACGTGAAGTGCGGGGAAACTTGCGATGGAAAGTTGTTGCTGATTATCAATCAGAATTTTTAAATCCTTCAAATAACTTCGTGTCTAGAATATAGTAAGTACTGCACAGCTTACGAGAAGAAAAGCTCCGCGGAGCTACCGGGTTCAACCTCTCATTGCTGAGTGATACTTTCCAACCCTTTCTTCTCGTTGCATGAAGGGGTATTATCAACCACCAAACTTATTTAATCAACCATAGGTTTGAAAAAAAGTCCCTGACATATCGGAAGATCATAGTAAGATAGTAGTATAACATCATAGGAGTCAGTGGCGCTCCACGTAAGTATCGCTTCGTTATTGTATTGTATGTCGAACATGCAGTATACGCTGGGAACGGCGGTCTTCCTGCGAACATATCAACACATTCGCCCATTGGTTGTGCTCGCCAACTGATCTCTCTGTCAATTACCAGGTGTGCATGGGGCTATACTGTGCATTCAAAGCAAGCGAGTGTCCGAGTCATAATCATGAGCTTGGGGAAGTGCAGCAAACTATACGACAAACTCGACAACAATGTCTTTCATCCATCCTCAATGCTGACCACGTTCAGCTCAAAACTGGTACAACTCCATCCAGATTCTATCACCTCTCAACTCTTACCACCAAAGGAGAGTAACCTCGTCCTACTCTTCAAAGACCTCATTTTGCAACCCCCCACAGCGAAACAGCCCTCATCATCCCCGTGAATCCCTCCGCAACCCTCGCCAGAGGCGCCTCAATTGCTATGGGCGCCCACACCAAACTATCTCCATTGACACCCAATCTCGTCAGGAACTCCAAGCTAGTCTGCGCACCATTTCCTTCCGATACTCGGAGGAATGTTTTATTGCCCTGCCAACCAAACTCACATCCGTCCAGACATTTACTGGGAGACTATAGTTTAGTGAATACGCGTTGCCGCCACTGACCAAAGTGATATTGCTGATTGACCCGTTGCCGTTCAAAAGCGCTGAGTCAAGGCCCGTGAAAAGGGCCCCAGGCACGGAAGAAGTAGGCTTGACGGAGAATGAGAGCGTGTAGTCCCGTCCCTTACTATCGAGCGGGGTTTGAAGATAACACTGATCGGAGAAGATGATGGCTGAGTGCTGGATTTGGCAGCCATGAATTGTACCGTGATAGTCGTTTCCTGACAGATCCGCAACGGTGCTGCTGCTGTTCTGGAAGTGATACTCAAGGATTCTTTTCCCTTTGCTAGAGATCCGGCGGTCAGGATTCTGTCCATGGATTTTGTGGAAAACTTCGTCATATTCTGCTTCAAGGAGATCACCTCCCCACTGTTTATCGGCAAGGGCGGGCAAGACAGGTCGCCACGAGTAATATGCCTCCGATACGGTCGTCGCATTAGGCCCGTAGTCGTTCCACAGGGCAGTGATGTGTCCTAGCACCCGGGACTGTTGCGAGGTGGGTTGTTGGTGGCATTGTTAGTGTCAAAGATATTAGGGGCGTATGCACCCCCAGCGGGATTCCCATAGAACACCCGCGTCTTGTTGAGGTATTGAGGATAGCTTCCGGACCATTTTCCAACGATGTAAAATGCATCGTCCGAGTTGAGAACATTGTATCCGTTGTGAATGTAATCAAAGTAAGGATTGTCCTCAAAGTACTCCCAATGCTGAATCGAAACATCCTTGCTGACATTGGCGCCTTGAGCGAGGGTGAACGTGCCCCAGATGCGTACAGCCTTGCCAAGATCCTTGATGTAGTCATTCAACTGATTGACAAATCCGGTCTAATCGGCCACAAGACTGGAATTGTACTCGTCCGCTCCGAGGTGAACGGTCTTGCTGTGAAACCAGGGAAGAAGTGTCTTCCAGATGGTTTTCATGGTTGGGATTGTTTCCGGATGACTGATGTTCAACATGCTGAGATCTTTCAGACCTAGCTCCGGCCGCCATTGAACGATCGCCAAAGCGTGACCCGGTGCCTCAATCTCAGGTATAATGGTAACGCCTCTGCGCGCACACTGATGCTGGATTTGATCGAATTGTGCCTGCGTGTAGGTGTCGTTGGCGCGGTTGTTCAGGCCTGCGAGGGCAGGATCCTCGGACCATGGCCGGAACGCCGCGTAAAGCTCCATCGAGGCTTGTGTGGAGTACAGATCAACATTGTTGTAGAGGTTATCGCTAAAGTGTAGGTCTGCTTTAAAAAGGACAAGTACGAGCATAGTTCTATCAGAAAGTGAGGTGGATAATAATGGCGGCCGACGTCGAGCTGTACATTCAGTTCTGCATCATCACTGTCGCAGTCAAGACTCACTCACCATCACTCCTCGACTGGACCATCCTGGCGCATCAACCGCCGATCCATGTGGGAGAGCATAGCCATTCAAGACAGCTGCTTGAATCACTGAGCGAGATCCCCACCAGACTCCCAAGGGGCTTGCTCCAGCAATGGTGATACCATGACTGTCGATATCTAACGCATAACCCTCAGATGTCCACCGACCAGCAGCATCCTGGAAGCTTGTATGGTTAGTCAGAGTTAGAAAAATAGCATTGCGGCCTCTTTTCTTGTTGAAAGTGATCGGCACCTCCAGCCCCAGCGACGATCGAAGGTCTTCTTGGAATGTTGTTGCAAACTCATGAAGTGTTGGGGGAATCAACGTCTGCCCTTACTCATCCACTTGGCTGAAATAGCGCGAGTCAACCACAATGCTTGCCAGTTGACGGATTGAAAAAGATGTGCCGTTTCGCTCGATGAATGGCGTGGTGGGAACCGTCAGAAAGCGACTGTATCCTGCTTGGATGAGGACCTAACCACTTCCTCAGACATGACAGTATGCACTTACCGGTGATGCTGAGGGCCAAGAACCAGCAAAGACTGTGCCAAAGACTATGTAGAGCCATGGTGACTGGTTGCGACACCTCGAGGGATCAATAGGCTTGCTTGCGCCACCGGGGCTTAAATAATCAGGAACTCAGCGGGCAGCAACTCCCGGCAGTGTCAGCTGCCATGCACCTGCCAGCGTCTGGCCATCATTTGCAAGGTTGCAACGAATAGATTGAAGTTTGGAGATAGTATCTATCATTGGTGTGATCACGCTTTATCAGGGGGGTTATCGTGACCCCTCACGAGCTCAGAGGAGTTGAAACGGTCAAGTACGATGTGGTTATCGAAGCGGGTGTGACCTTCTCCTCACTTGGGATGGCACGAGGTGCTTGATTTGACCCGCTCTGCTGCAAAATATTCACCGCTATCTTTGCCCAAAAAAAAAAAAAAAAAAAAAAAAAAAATAAGAAAAGGTACAAGGAAGGAATGATTTACATATGAGCCAAAGGTTAGTCAGACGCCTGACGAAATCCATACGGCAATGAGCAAGCGACAAGACCATCTCCAACAAGGAGGGATCCTTCTCCAAAAATGCCAATGCAAGATTATCATACATGTTGCGAGGGCTCAAATCAGGAAATCAACTCCAGTAAAGTCGCACGGGCTTGTCGTTAATCGATACGGTGATATTTCCGGTGCCAGTCGCTTATGGGCTTCGCTTCGGCTATTAAGGGGGTAGCACTCGGACCAGGTTGCTGCAGGGTAATTCAAGTCCGGTCAGATGGCGATTGATGATCTTCAGGCGGGGGGGGGGGATTCGATGGAGATTTTCAAGTCGCTGTTGGGCTCTGGCTCAGACATCAGATGTGATGCTGCCGCTTCCTGGGATTGGTTGATGGCAGCGAATCGTTCGTAGGGTTTGTCGCGTTGGGTGATGAACTGCAGACGTTGCGTGACTGTGCCTCCACAGACCTCATACTCGAGTTCCCATTTTGTCAGCCTTGACTTGACTGTTGCTTTCAGAAAGAGAGTCGTCTACAACCGCTTCGGAAACGGGACCGCGATAAAACTTCTTGCCGCTGATGTACCAATAAACCAGGGCAAACAGCAAGACAAATACCAAGAAGACGCAGGCGTAGTTCATCTGCAGAGTTGAATCGAGGATTGTCAGCCACCTTTGAGACCATAACGAGATAAAGAGAGCGAACACGTACATTCTCCGCTGTCACCGGCCTGGCAGTGGGAAGGACGAAGATGATGGAGACGAACAAGGTCCACAAGCAAGCCCAAGCATTGACAAAGGGGCTCAGTCGGCCCATGTGCCAGGGACCAGGCTTGAACTTGCCAAAAAGGAGTTTGCAGAGAACCGGGATGCAGTAGCTCCAGTCAAGGGCAATAGAGCACAGGGTAAACACGGCTGAGATCGCAGTGTATGAGCCCAGGGCAATGAGGTTAATTGCAATGCAGAAAAATGTGGAAATCCACACTGCATTCAAGGGGGTTCCGGTGAGGGGAGATATCTTCGTCCACGCATTGGAAAAGGGCAACATCCGATCACGGGCACAGGCAAAGACGGTCCGGGCCAGGGCTTGTAGCGCCGTCCACGTGACGAACTTGATTATCAGCAATGCTGAGACGGTGTAGAATATCCCCCCTACCTTTCCGAGACTGTTGTAGAATAACTGCGCAACAGGTTGCTGCGTTGGAGAGCTTAGGATCGCACTCGGGTCCCCCATACAGAAACAGAGAACGATGTTAAAGAGAAAACCCGCGAGATAGGTGAAGAGCATCGCCGAAGAGATAGCCCATGGAGCCATGAGTTCTGGGCTTTTGATTTCTTCCGCAAGATGTGAGCTAGCGTCATAATCCGTCATGCACCAGGAGACTGAGAGGAAACCGAAGAGAAAGGAGAAACCTAATGGGTGCCAGCCTGAGGTTGACTCGACATGAGTGAATACGTATGTGGCGTCATGCTTGTTCTCTGTCTTGACCAGAAGCGCAATGGAGCATGAAACCAAGATCAGGACATGAAAGATGACATAGAACTTGGTTATCTTTTCGATCCAGGAAGTTGGTAGAGAGTTGATCAACCCCGTCGTGATAGTCAGTGCGGCCATGACTCCAACCGTGGTACCCGTGGTGATTTCGTAGTCAAAGTCCCTAGCCATGGAGACAGCAGCGAGCAGCATCTGCGCGGCACCATACTCTGAGGAGGCTACTCCACAGATTTGGCCCAATATATTTAGCCATCCGTCGAGCCAACAGATAGAGGAAACCCATTCTTGTGGGGCGAGTCTCGAGATGGTGAAATATCTAGTGAGTAGGATTAGAACAGGTGTTCGGGAGAGGGAGGGCAGCCGCACGGCCAAGGGCACTCACAATCCACCCGCTGTCGGGAGAGCCGAAACAAGTTCAGCAACGGAGCACTACAAGACCATCATATCAGCCCTAGGATTACTGATAAGGTCTTATTTCCGTCCGCAGAGATCCTGGACTCACCGCAAGGCACATGCAACCGATCCCAGAAATCAGCCAACACCAAACGACGGCGCTACTACCTCCAGCTTCCAAAGGATAAATCATGGTCGTCATCACAGTCGCGAACAGGCCCGAAATACTGACTGCGAAGGAGAATGTAGAGAAGTAACCGAACTCTCGCTTGAGAACTGGCTTATAGCCAAATTCGGCTGCAAGCTGAGCATCGGCATGATCCATGTTGGCAACACGGGTCTTGTCCACTCGCAGGGCTGCGTCAGGGCTCGATGGCTGGCCAGCGGATGTGTTTACGCTCTCCATTGTGATCTAAAAGAATACTCCAAAGTGCTAGACCTCATGCAGAGAACGAGATTGGAATTGAATTAGAAGAAAAGAGAAGACTGAACAATTCTTCTGATTCGTGATGAGAGGGGGATTTGTATCTATTTAAGAGCTTTTAGCATTTTGTATTATTTTTTTTTTCAGACTGGAATCTCGGCTAAGTTAGTTTAGGAAAGGTCTCGCAAGATGCCGGGTTTGGCCGTCATTGACTGTCGCAAGAGAGATAATGAATACTGGTTTATGGTTGGGATAATAAGAGACGCGATGCGATCGGGAATAGTGGAAAACATGCATCATGATAGGTGGGGTAGTGAGGGTAGGTACGTCTGCCCCTCCAGTCCGGCGAGACAATAGCAAAACAAGGAGTTAGTCTGTGAATAGCGAGTGGCTTATTGCTTGCCGTGCCTGGGCTCTGCCCATTTTGCTGGATTGTTCTGCTCTCCAGAGCTTAGTGTGTACTGGATTAGTGGCAGGTAAGCCGTGCGTTTGCCCCAATACAGACTAGATCTCATCTTCTGATCCGAACACCAATTGGTTCAATTGGCCATAGCCAGTTAGTCCGAGCGCCACGTGGAACCTTGCGCACCGCTAATATCCTTTGACTGGGTCAACATTTGGAAAAATCTCCCTTTCATGCCCGTTGAGGGTGGACACTCGAGTCTTGTCCCTCTGGAGAGCGGAGTCCCCGTATTTGAATTTTAGCATGTGATAATGGATATCATTCAATTATTGTTGGGAATGAAACCAACAAGGTGGGTGAGAAACGAAAATGGAGGAAGATTCAGAATGGTCGGGAACGAGGATGATTATGGATTATAACTACCTTAACTACTCATTTCAAAAGTGTAAGCTTGACTCTTTAATTACCCAGTTGAAAGGTCAGCATTCAGAAGAAGAAAACCGCTAGACCAGGGTGTCTGGTGGGATGCAACCTGTGACAAGGGTTCGCAACTGACTTAGTACACATCGGGTATAGCTGAGAAACCACCACAGCGTAGCAAGGAATGCTCAGCCAGCAATCGGAGAATCCCGTTGGTCGCTGACTTTCGTCATCTCAATGGCATCGCAGCGTAAGAAATGCTTGGCCCCCTCAAGGAAAGATAAGCAAAGACGAAGAAAGCTCGGCCGCTGGCGCAAGGAAGGGAAGCAATCTGTGCTGGATAATTTTTCCAGAACGGGAAAGCTCATTCTGGGTCAGCCACGTTCAGCACAATATTCTATTCAGTGCAGGAACAGAAAGGGGTCCGATGTTCCCGTCCTTCTTATTCTCGTCACGCAGCGGAACTTGAAGATTTGCAGAAGTTCCTTTCTGGCAATACGAACAGACCTCGTCCTATGACATCCTGCGTATTTCCCTCCGAAGAGAACAATTCCGTCTTGGCACGGTCCAACACCCTGTGATGTCACCCCCGGTTCCCACCCCTGAATGGAAGGCCCTCCTCGAACACTTTTCCACGCACCCAGATCCGTGAGGCAGCAAGGCAGCAAGGCAGAAAGGCAGCAAGGCACCCATCGAAGCACTCATTGAACACTATACAAAGTAAATAAAGTACAAAGTAAGTGAAGAAGTAAGGTGAGGAGCAAGGCGACGAGATGATCATTCGAGAAACTTAGTCAATTACTTTAACCATACTTCTCGTTGCCCTGCTCCTTGACTAAACTTTGCCCAGTGCTCAATGAGTGCGTGAATAGGTGCCTCGTTGCTTTATGTCTTGCTGCCTCGCGGATTTGAGTGCGTGGAAAAGTGCTCAGACAATGCCTTATATTCTGGGTAACTACTTCTGGAAGTATAGACAACCAATTCTGTACGTTCGAAAACATCTACAACAGCTTCAACCTCCTCGAGAGTATACAGCAAACAATAATAAACACAACAAAACATCCCACAATCCCAAAGAACCATCCCAACCCACCAGCATCCTGCCCAGGAACCGGCACATTCATGCCCCACAGCCCCGTGATCATATGCAACGGGACAAAGATACTCGCAAGAACCGTCACCTTACTCAGGATCTCGTTGATATTCAAGCTCAGCCGGATGTTGTTAACACTCATCTGTGCTAGAAAGTTAGCCTGCGACCGACCGACAATCTCGTCAAAGTGGGACAGATTGGTCAACGTGGTCACCAGATGGTCCTGCACGTCGCCCAAGTACACGATCATCTCCGCTTTCGAGAAGACGGCGTTCTGACTTTTTGCCTGACAGCGCTTGACGAATCCGTTGAGGACCTCAGCTTTCCCGCTCAGGCAATGGGTAAGCTGGCTGATGCTTTTGTGAAGACGATCGACCAGTGGGATGATGGCCTTAATGTCGTCGGCCCGCGCCATGAAGACTTGGTCTTCGATGGCGTCACAGTCACGCTCTGCGGCTCGCATGTAGGGGCCGAAGCTGTCAACGATATCGTCGCTGGTAGCGATCACATACATTAGCAACCTGTCCTTACAGGCTAGGTACGTAAAAGGAAGAGCTTACATCAATGCATAGCATATCCACTCGCTCGACATGATCGATGGATCTTGCATCCGGTGAATTCGGTCCAGCACCCGCGAAACATGATTACAGCCTCTGGGCGAGAAGGTGACAATGGCGTTCTTGAAGACGAGGATATAGAAGCCGGCCGAGTCAGGGATTGTACGAGGATCAGTGGTGAGAGACTTGCTGCGGCCCAAGTAGTCGCCCTCCGTAGCAGACAGCAAAGTCTGGAATGAGATCAGATAATAGTTCCGGAAGGTTTCGATCTTCTCACGTGTCTCTCGCGTGACGATGTCCTCGGCTGTTAACGGGTGGATGGACAGTGCCTGCCCAACAACCCTGACATCTTCTTCAGAGGCATCGCGAATATCTAACCACCACGCATTGACTTTGAGATCATTGATGTCTGGAGACTGCTCCGACGGATCGGTCAAGAGACCTTCAAAGTTGGAAGCTACTGTGACTTTATGAGATTGGCAGGAGAAGTGGGTGAAGCGAGGGTTGTCTTCCGATTGCATTGTGTACACTCATTGACTTGCAACAGGCAGTCAGAACGTGTTTGACATTGAATCTTGTCGGATAGCAGGGGACGCTGCGAATGTGGGTACTGTAGTCAACCCATCGACTTGAAGGCGTCTAGGACCTCGGACTGATTGTGGTTGGAATGACCGTAGATGATCCCATACGTGAGGTAGTAATGTAGAAAACAGTAATTTGACCTAATGAGAGTAAGAATCGAGGTCAAATCGCATCAGAAACTGTCTATAGAAAAGGGGATTGTGCATGGGGGGAGACCTCGTGGGCGGCCAGCCAGCCCTACAGGGCTGAAAGTAGTGGAGCTGTTGGGTCCGGGGTGGAGCCGACAAACTCCAGTTTTGGTCCTCGAAGTCCAGTCACAGCCGCCCAACCTCAGATGTGTGGCCTCATGCCCGCAGACAAAAGGACTTGGTTGGTTATCTTATGATTCCACCCGTGCCAACAGGGTGCTGGGAATTCGGCAAAGGGATTAGCCCGGCTGTGATTGACCAGGCAGCACAATTCTCGACACGTATATCACTACCCTCGCCATCTGCGAGGTCACATTTGCGTCCGCGAAATAACAGTAATGTGCTTTAGATAGTAGTAATATAGCTTCGAGAAACATCCATATTCCCAGCCGAGTGGATATATGGAACAATGGCTCCTCTGTCATGAATTGGAACTGGATAATCTTAGAGCCTAAATGACAGATAAATCTGACCGTAGTTTCACATACCATGCAAAAAGGATTCCTACCTCCCGAAGAAACCTAGTCAGGCATTAAGGATGGCAAACATGACAACTTCTGTCCTGTAAGACGATGATCATGAAGCACTGTGGGCTTTTTGTACTCACCCAAACAGGCGAGCTATTGTGTCCATCATGAAATATGCGGTCCTGCTGGTCATACGTCCCTTGATAGTAGTAATCGCTACCGGGGCGATTGTATCGCTATACCGATCCGGGATGTCGATTTTCGAGCAGATTCCACCGATCCTCTATAAACTGTACGTCGGGCCCCTGTCCTTGCCTCTTGTGCCTCCTGCTACTGGCTAACTCCAATCGAGATGTTTCGCTGCATGACTTATCAATCAAGTTCGATTAGCGTCTAGCTTGCACGGTTTATGCTCATAGACTGCGATTCTTTCTACTCTGTTGGTGTCTATCTAATCTAATCTACCTATTTATCTTCCAGCGACTGCCTAATCCCAACTATACTAGCAGCTCATCCACCCTCCACAAAAATCAATTGTAGGGCTTCTCTCTCAACTGCAACCACCCAGTGCACGCACCTGATATATGAAATCTTCATAACGCCTACCCACCTCGCAGCTCACGAAGTCGGGGGCTCTGCAATGTCAATACCACTACATCACCGCGGCCATTGTCGGCAGTAGGTGGTGGTAACTTGATTATAGACCCCTTTTTTTCTGCCTAAGGCTGCAGCTTCAGGTTTCGTGTCCAGCAATGCTGAGGAGATAGATGGATGTAGAGAGTGGTTGTAGATATTAGCAGAAATTTGCAGTGACTATGACTTAGATGAGAGATGAATTTTGTACAGATGAAGGGCACCGCTCTCATGGTTTGGAGATTAGCGTGTCTCCTCAGTGATTAGTAGAGGTCTGGGGTAGGGATGGGCCGTCAATCTACGGCCCGAACAAAGGGTCCAATACCTGATGCGGTCAGTGCAGGCTAGATCAGATCGTAAATTACCATCCAGTAGAGATCGAATCATTCATTTTGTCTAGGAATTGGCTGTATAAGCCTTATCCGTGGTGTGAATACATAAAGGCTCCTCAGAAATCACCTCTATACTATGGAGCATCTGCTTGCACCTTCCGCCTCATGTCCAGCCTTCAAGTTTAACCCACAACTCACTCCTTCCTCGAGACAAACTCATTTCAAACCTCAAACTTCCAATCTAGGCATAAGATTCCAATCCCCAAGAATCAGGACTCGAAGCCAGCCTCATACCTTCCCCAACATCGCCAATCACATCATCCAAACAAACAAGCCAAGCAGTCATCAACACGAATGACTCACCGTAGCAAACCCAGCTTCACCATCCACCATCCCCCGTCCCTCATCGTTCATTCTTCCAGACTCGTCGAGTCAAGTAACCGGTTGGATACTATTAAGTCCGCTCGTATCGCGCGCATCACGAGCCCCAACAGGAACACAGCCTTCCCGGCCCGTCCACGCCCCGTGCCCGATGCCGCGCCACAAACTCACCAGCACCGAGGTTACAGCTGCATGAAAGCGAGGACAGGAAGTGACGGAGGGTGGAAAGCCTCGCGGATCGACACCCTCACTGTCATCATACCTGCAGCTAAGTCTAATCATACCTGGAACTAAGCCTACAAGGCAAGGCTCATCGTCTATTTGCATGCATACTGTAGCCTGGTATAGTAGGTGTATCGCCTCGCTTCTAACTTACTTACTCTGCTCCAGCCAGGATCGTTGAGCCTTGCTCGAACAATCCGGCCAATAGCAAAGGAGACACTGAGACAGGTGTCTGTATAAATAAGCTGCGATCCACCTGTTACTATCTCTTCTTCGATGGATATCCACACTCAAGTTATTCATCTCGAAATACCAAACCAGATCCAATTTCCTACCTCATCAGTCTCATCGTTACTAGAACTGGAAGGCGAGGAAGATCTTCCTCTTTCTCAAGAAGGACTTTCACGCATCTAAGCCCGAATCCTAGTTCCAAGGAGACTCGGTGAATACATCTTGACGCTCGTCGCTGAATCCTCTCCTCAAACGAGACTCTTTCAACAACCTCTTCTAGGTCTTTGCGGAAGAGACACCAAACAAAAAAAGAGATGTGCTTCACCTCTCACAGTAACGAACGGCCACCTCCCGCCCGGTACTCTAATCATAAGATGTATTCCGGGAAGGTAAAGAGGAGTTCCGATCCGCGACGACATTACGCATCGAATGGGGTTTATGTCGATGGTGGAGGCGGTGGTGGAGGACACCATGGCGGAGGTGGACATCATGGAGGAGGGGGCTGTGGAGGCGGAGGAGGTGGACATGGAGGAGGTGGTGGTGGAGGTTGTGGAGGGGGTGGTGGCTCCTGAGATGGAGTTCTTCTGGGCTTTGAAATGATTCTTCCGAGAACAACTGTTTGACAGATCGTGATATACAATTGCTTGAGTCATGACGATTATCCAACCTAATACTACATCTATACAAGATACCAATACCGTCTACTTTTACTCCCGCTTGAGTACCTCCTCTGTCGTCTGCACGAGAATCTCAAATGCCCGGCGAATATACTTCTCCTCGGCAGCCGGGTTGGCACTCACAACACGGATGACATAGATCCCAGCGATAACGGTTGAAGTAATAAATATCTCTCCACGCGAGTTGATCAGCTCGTAGACCTCCTTCGTCAGCGCATTTGACGCCTCATCTGGCTGCAGAACGGAAGCGCCATCAGTAACAGCAGCCTTAGGACTCTTGATGCGAAACACAGTCAGCGCAAATGCCGGCTTGGTCATCAGCTCAAACATGTCTGGGCGGCTGCGGATCAAATCGGCAAATACCTCGCCGATGCCGATGGACTTGCGAATGTAGTCCTTCATTCCGTTGAGGCCGTAGCTGCGCATCACGAACCAGATCTTCAACGCCCTGAATCGACGGCCCAAGGACATGGACCAGTTGCGGTAATCGGTCACTTTGCCGGAGTCGGAATAGGGGTTCCGAAGGTATGCGGGCGTCATATCGAGGGCGTTGGTAAGGTCGTATCGATTACGAACGAACAGACAGCTATCATGTGAGGTTAGCGCACAAGATCCAATCCAAACTTTGCCGCGGGGGG